AAATATGCACTCCAGACAGACTCAGATAGCTCCTTGACCTCATCCAATTCTCAGTTTTATTATTCCACTATTACACCATCTTTCCATTAGTAGGGCATCAAATAACACAAAATATGCCATGGTATTAAACTGTGGAACAAGACAAAAATATGAAGGGAAAGCAGTGCAAGGAAAAGGCCACAATGAATGATCCTAACTCAGTTTTGTTCCACTTTTATGCTTGACTTTTGGAGCAACGAACTTTTTGGTGCAACAAATTTTTCATGTTAGTCCTATAAATAAAGCACTTTAACGGTTTTGCTTGTGTTGTTTTTCATCTTTTGCACATAGTATAATTATAATTGACTGATACAATCCTCAGTTAAGGTCACAGAATGTATTTTGAAAACTAGAAGCCAAAATACTCAACATTTAGGTAGATAAGATAAGAAATACTTTATTTAATGGTTTAAGATATAATACAAATAGACATTTTTCTCATTGTTACATAAAATATTTAATTCAATACCACAAGAGCTGATAAGAGGAACACCAAAGTTACCTGCAGTAAGGATGCACTTAAAACAAGACTTCTGGTCAATTCGAGGCCAAATTACAAACTTGGCACCAGGTCGCTGTTGTTTCAATGTTAGCAATGTCATTACCATGCTCATCCCTGTTGCCACTGGTAATACCAGACAAGCTTTTGCTGACCTAACACCTTTAAAAGACAGTACAGTGAGATATCAATACTGCTTTCTAACAATAGCAAGTAACATAAAAAAATTACTAACGAATCAAAATTGAAGACTAATGAAATCTGTTTTACTTTTTGTGTACTTGTATCATAACTATTGAGTAAACAAACAAATTATTGATGTCATCATCGGTCAGCCAGAAGTTTTTAAAAAATAATATATAAAAAAAGGAACTATTCAAACTATGCTGGGTCCTTTGACCCCTATGGTTGACTAGGATCTAATTTCTCCTTACGATATCATCCCTGAATCACTCATTATGATCACAAGAATAGAAGAAATAGTCACCAACTAAAGAAGCTATTGATTCTTAAACAAATTCTTCTTGTCAACACTATAGGAAATGTGTAACAAAACAGTATGGAGAACTTGCATACCGATGTTAGTACATAAAGGGTTAATAACCTTTGAGGTTGAATGCAGCTCCCCCCCCTTCCTTTTCAAGAAAAGGGGGAAAATTGTAAGTGATAATAAAACAAACTGTTATGCCCAGCGACGTTAACATTGGACCTCCCCTTCACCTGGAAAAACCTTTCTAAACATTTGTTAACAAATAAATGCCATTGGGAATATTTGGCCAAGTTCAGCTTCAAGCCTTAGTGAAATTCAAGTTACACTGTTTACATTGTCACTTAAATTCACAGGACTATTGAAATTAATTGGATTTCAAACCATGCTTGCATACTGAACCTGAATGAAGTAATTGTCATTCAGACACTAACCTGCTAGTTTGATAACATCCAGAGCCATGCAGTTGGTGAGTTTCATTAGAAGAGAAGAACCAGCAGCCTTGGGCTGGACGGCTGCTATGTCACCTGACCTGCCAATACCATGGCTTAGCCTGGGAATCAAAATAACAAAATAGAAGTTTAACCCTTTAACTCCTAGGAGTGACCAAGAGAGAATTTCTCCTTTACAATAGCAACACAACATCAAGCAGATGAGAACAAAGATCATAAATATCAACTGGGGGATTATTACTGACGTAACATAATAAGAATTGATTGGCAGATAGTAATGAGGATTTTTAAGGAGATCTTATGAGTGCAAGAGTAGGAGAAATTGCATTCTATCCAAGTGGAGTAACAATACTTCTAATCATATCTTACTAGAGGTAATGGGAACAGCTGTTAGTAGTAGCTATACAAGTCAATCTGGTATGCAGACTTTGACAATTTCACCATTATGTCTTTAGGTTTTGGTGATTTCCAATCAATGACAAATATTGTAAATGTGGTATAAGCCAGCCTGCCCCAACTTAGGGATTCTGGAAAAGTTTTCAGTTCGGACTGCTTTCTAAAAAGCCATTTCACAACAATTTAGACAACCTACATTTACCCTTTAACCCCTATGAGTGACTAACATCTAATTTCTCCTTACAACATCACCCCTGAATCAAACATAAAGGTCATGAGAATAAAGGAGATGATCATCAACCAAAGAAGCTCTTGATTTTTGAACAAATTCTCCTTGTCAGAGCCCTTGGAAATGTCTGAGGAGTGTGGAGAATATGCATACTGATGTTAGGGAGTAAAGGGTTAAGATATTAGTTACCTAAAATGTCTTCTTGACACTAAGGATGAAATTACTCTTCCTTCCCTCTCTCCTGCACCAACATTTCCTGAAAAAAAGCAAACTGATTAATACTGAAGATAATAACACAATTTTTTAAAAGAATAAATCTAATTTCACTTTTGGATGAAAATCAAGCAAAGAAATGATCATTGTGGGTGGACTGCAATTTAATCCTTTAACTCTAGTAATTTTAACAATTCATATGATGTTAGTTTGGAGAATTTGGAATTGGATCAACCAATAATCCCCTCATTAATATTTTTCTTTATTCTTGTTACTTGTCTGCTTGATATCGTACTGATGTGTAAGGAGAAGTTCTGTCTAGGTCACTGGTGGGACTTAAGGTTAAGCAATTGCAGAAAAGAAGCCTGAAAAATTTCAAGTTTTGATGGGATTTGAACCCAGGCCTCCCAGATACTAGTTGGGTTTTATTACCATCCAAGCAGCAAAGCCACAGGGAGCAAGGCAAATTTTAGAGGTTTCATCTTTCCCTTTAATCTTTAACTCCCAGAAGTGATTAAAAGAAAACTTCTCCCTCTAATATTCTTACAATATCCACCAAACAGGTAATGAGAGTACTCAAACTTATCTGGTTGAAATTTTTAATACCAAATTCTCATTACTAATTTACCAGGAAATGTCTAGCAGCTAGAGGGGAGAGTTAACAAATAGATCTTGGAAGTTAAAGGAATCTGATGGGTGTCACTACCAACTGAGCTATGAAGCTGAAGATAAGAATAAAAGATTTGTGTCCTCTTGAACCAATTGTGGCCAACACTTGAAGGGCTTGACAGCCATGAAGAAACCAGAAAAAAAAAAAGACAAGTTGCCTGTCCCAGATTGAAATTGTTGCCTGGTGAACTGTTATCAGATAAACATTTTACCTGGGAAGTTGTTACTGTCCATAATTGATAGTTCCTGCAACAGAAGTTCAATGCTAGTGTCATCCCAGCCCTCTGATGGCCATTTTCTCTGAATGAAAAAATAATAGAAATAAAATTTAAAAAAAAAGCTTCAATAAGAGAATTTAACACTTGTGTGAGGGAAGTAAACTTTATTTTACAGGGTGATCCAGTCAGCCACTAAGCTGGTATCCATAGGGGCCCTGGATAAATGTATTTCTGATTTCTGTTCATGGAGATACACTTGCATTTAGATTCTAAATGTAAACCCTTTTAACACCCTTGACTGACCAAAAGAGAACTTTTTATGACATCAATACAATATCAAGTACACAAGTGATGAGAATAAGGAAAAATACTAATCATAGGATTTTTAGTTGATCCAATACTAAATTCTTCCAACTAATATCATAAGATTGTATAGCAGACAGCAGGATGAATTACAAATTAGATCTTGGTATTGAAAGGGTTAAAATGACCTAACCCCTCTGAGCTTAACATATAGAATTTCCTCATTTTTTAATAAATGGGATGGCCACCAGTAACCTGTTGACATAGAGATGCACATACATGTATTTACATGCAACTGACAAGTGCTCCTGGTGACCTGTACACTTGACTGGTAAAATGTGTACTGCATTTTGTTAACCACATAACTTCAGTCTGTTATGCTGTGGTCTGTGTGATTGGTTATGATAATGAAAAAAAATAGCCTAAAAAGGGAGGTTGGTAAGAGAGTAAGAAAGAGGTCGGTAGTTATTGAATTATATAACTTGGCAAGCTTGATCAGATCATCTCGCACTTCCTTAAGATGGAATAACAGTTCTTGAAACAGTGCCATCCATATATCCAACACTTAACAGATACATTCTATGTTGCTGAGTGTCTGTGTAGTAATAGATCACAAATGATGTCAAAATGTGATAAGATCATCACAAAAAAGTGGTATGGAAGCAAATTTGTTGCCAAAATGGTGACGTCATCTATGGCGTCTGTCTACCTATCGATCATAAGTAAGAACCAATCAAGATGTGTGTATGGTTCAGCTTATCATATGAAAAGTATGGATCATGAACAAATGTTTCCAAACCGGAAGCTTTTTCCTATTGATCCGCCTGAATCCTCCCCCTCTCCTCGCCAACCTTGACAAATTTTTTGGAAAGATAATCATGAAACACTATGTTTTCACTTCCTTCAGTAAGCCAGCAGCTTCGGAAGGCATTGTCTTGCAATATTTTATTACAGTCAATACCATGATCTATTGAACAAATTATGCCTGCAATAGCAACGACTATTTACGGGTCACTAAATGGCAGCCAGCAGTCGAATAAACAATTGCCTAGTCTGGCAGTTTCATTTTAAGAAAGACATCACACCCTTTTACACTACTTACGTGCTCCAAGAAAATTCTGATTTGATTTTCCCGACTTTTTCTTGCATTCTGAGCTTGCTGTACGTACGAAACTGGGATAATATTGCCACACGCTTCAAAACTACCCGAAAACATGGTTCTTTCGCTTAAACCTCTCTAACAAGGTTGAGAAATTATTGAGAGTTACTAGTTTGAACATAGCAAGCGCGTCTAAATATTAATATTTTCTTATGTTTGTTACATTTTTTCTGACTCAAACACTAGAAAATCAACGATAAATCTTAAAAAATGAACTTATGTGGCAAAAAATATAACAATTATGATAAAATGTTTCATTTTTGTCGTAAATATTGACTTGATGGGAGTCATTTTCTCCTTACCTTTACTTGGAGAAGAATTAGTTATGATGCGAGGGAAATGGATCAGTGAAATATCAACAGAAATTATATAAAAAATGTCTTGTTTACAAGCGGGATCGGTTCTTTCTGCAACGGTAGAACAAGCCTTAGAGAACTGTCTTCTTGTCAGTGTTAAACACAGATCAAAAGTATTCAGAGGAGTGCTTTTTGACGAAAAGAACGCCGTTGTCTGGAGGTGGGTTCACCTTGATTTCCTCAGTGATGATAAATGATAAATTGTGAAAAATTATTTCTTTGAGATCCTTTATGCCATGATCCTCCCAGTTGAAAAGTTAAATGAATTACCGATTCACTGGCTTTAATTTTTTCTGAAGTTTGTGTTTTTTCTGCTCACTATTAATAAAGAACGTCCCTCGAAGAACAAGCTACAAATGTTGAACCAGAGAAGAAAACTTTAGGAAGTAGTAGTGCTATCGGTGATGGTGCCTCGAGATGGTCAACACGACAAGCCAGCCTGTTTTACAAGCGACACAACAACAGATCTTTTTCCAGTAGAAGGATTCCCAGTTTATTTAGCGAGGTGAAAGTCCTTACAGATGCAGATTTGATCAAGGAAAGTCGAGAGAGTTCTAAAAACATGGTGGACAAGATGGAAAGTTCAACTAAAAGACCATCTGCCTCTGGTTATCAGAAAAGCAAGCAAGGACAGATCACGAAAGCGAAGGAAAATTCAAGAAGAAAAACTAATCTTTCGAGCCAGATAAATGTTAGGAATTCTAAATGTGAAGCTAACTTGAAACGGAAGTCTTCAAATCAAGACAGCTGTAGCAGATCAAGGAAAAGGAGACCAGACAGTGTGAAGGTTGTAGGGAAGGGTGTCCAGAAACAAACCCAAACAAAGAAACCCAAGGCTGATTTCAAAGATCCACTAAAAACTGAAGTAAAAATGGAAAGCAAGTGGTCTCTTGGATCAAAGAATTTAGCAGCAAAGGGTGTTTCCTCAACACAGTTTAAATTACTCTTGACTAACTCATGTTCTGTTCCTGTTGTACCAGTTGAAGTTATGTCAAGCAGTGGACAGCGACAACTTGGGGCTGTTCTGTCATTTAATAAACTTGATCCACCTTTATGTACAGTGACAAAAAGAATGACTTCCAGCAATGACAAAGAATTGTTGACTTCTTTGACTGATGATCAGAATGTTCATGACAATGTTGACAAAACAGATCAAAATCAATCAAAACAGTCAGATGCAGAGGTGAATCCAACAAGCAGAAGAATTGAAAACAGCAATGAAATTGCAACTAGATCTGAGGGGACTGTTGAAGGAGAAGAAACATGTGTCTCTAACATTTTGCATGATCAGTATGTGAGGTTGTCGCCTTCACAGGAACAAGACATAGAAAGACAGGACAGTAATAAGATTACCCAGACTGAGGAAGTTGTAGAGGCTTTGGATGATTTTGATGGGGAAAGAAACAACAATGAGAGTGTGGCAAGTGAAGAACAACAGAATATTGGGACACAAGAGGCACAGCTTGTAAATGTTCCTCTTAAAAGATCAGCAAGAATAAGTGAACGCAGGGAATATATTTTGCACTCTCAACCAAAGAGTGCAAAACTTGGACACAAAAAATCATCTGTGGAATCTAATGTTTTGGAAGAAGTCGAATCAGTTTTTGGTCAAGATAATGCTGTTTTGAAATCATCAGGCTCCCTTATTTCAAACCAACCCACTGAAGGATCAACTCCCACAAATCAAAACTCTCATAAGCAAAAGAATAGTGCTTCATCCACTAAATACACTCAGAGAATGACCTGGAAACTTCAGCCCCAAATGACACCGGCAGATAACATAAACCCTGTGTCTGTTGGCGACATCGTGTGGGGTAAGGTCCATGGTCATCCATGGTGGCCTGGAAGGGTGTTGGCAATCAGTGGAATTCGGAATGAAGAAAGCAACAACCCTTGGGACAGGGATGCACATGTATCATGGTTTGGGTCCAATACCAGCTCTATTATGCACATTCACAGTCTTCAGTTATTCCTGCCCAACTTTGCCAAACGACACAAAAAGCAGAAGAAAGGGTATTACAGAGTAGCTGTTCGACAGGCACAGGAAGCCTTGATGGCTCTAAATGGCACTGATTGATACCAGCTGCAAATATCCTGGATATCAGAAATACAAACAATGAAAACAGCATAGCACTCTCTAACCCTTCATACCCTAACATCAGTATCTATGTTTTTCTCTTTTCGTTTCCTTTGGTACTGACAAGAGGAATTTGTTTACCAATCATAGCTCCTTAGATTGGGGATCATTTCCTTTATTCTCATGATCTCAATGAATGATTTAGCAGTATTGAAATAAGGAGAAATTTGATGCTGGTTACTTTTTGGGTCTAAGGGGTTGGATGTACTTTAATAAACAGTAAGTTACAGCACTGAAGGAAATTATTGGTTAACCCAACTACAAGAAGGCTGTACAATCATGTGATTGGCCTTGACTTTTTGCCACTCTGGAACATACCAAGGCAGAATTGGTTCAAGGCTATTTTTGCTTTATTGTTCTTCAGGAAGGGGTAAGTGAAAGAACTGCATGCATAAATATCATGTCATGCTAAATATTTCAAATTTAATCTCCTTATAGGCTTAAGTTATTTAATTTTTTTGGCATGTGACCTAAATTCTGTTAAAAAACATCTTGAAAACAAGATAAAAATTAAGTCCTACCCTTGTTTAATTTTAAAAAGCTGACATTTCAAACTTTATGACAGCATTAGATGAGTGAGCTGAATTAAAACCTTGCCTATTGTTCCACAAGAGCAGTTCAACATATGTTTTTAAATACATGATAGGACTCTCAAAGAAGTAAAACAGTTGCACTATATAGTAAAACACACAATGTGAAGTTTTCTGAATAATAGCATGGTTATATGTTGCCTAAAAGTAAATCAGTTCATGTCAAGGCACCAAAGTAATCTTTGTTGAGAGAAATTAGTCAAATTTGGTATTCATGTGACACCACTGTGAGTTAGCACAACTGCTAGATGAATGATTTTACCATAAAACAACTATATAAGGAATACCGTGAGGTGAGGTAAACTTCCAAAGAAACTGTAGTACTGCGTCAGTGAGGGATATTACATGATAATTTGGTTCCATCAACTGAGTTGATAAATAAATGTAAATTGGCCTCCATTGGGAGCCCATTAGCCGGAGCTTCCGTCTTCCATACTTACCCTCTGAGTCAACCCTGTTCCATATCTTTTTATTTTTAGAAGCATCTCCCACAGGGTTTTTTGAGGGTGTTTACTTAATAGCCAATCATAAGAGAGCTGTGGTCCTCTATTGTTTTCATCACATGCAGGCTGCATGAAAGCATTTCAATTATGTGCACATCAGCGTGTTTTTGCAGGAAATTAAAGAACTCCCCACATATCTCAGTTCTAAAAATAAAAAGATAGGGGACAGGGTTGACTCAAGGGTACAATTGGTATGGAGGCTCCAGGTAATGGACTCCTGCCTCAATAAAGAGTTTCTAAAGCTGGCATTTAGCTTTGAAGAAGGGCTGACACTTGAAATATCAGCTTTTGAAACTCTTTATTGGGGCCAATTTACATTGACAATTCAGTTAGTAAAGCCACATTTTCTTGAAGGAATATTCATACAAGTTGTTTGACCTCTACTGAGGGCAATGCTAGGAAATTAGAGTAATGTGGTGCTTTATAAAAAGAAATACTGTTAGTATTTTTTGGAAAAAAAAATTCTTCACATCCTAAGAGTTTGCCAATTGTAGAGGGAACACAGCAACTAATTACAATCAAATTCCATTTCCACGAAGTTGGTGATTTAAGCTGAGAAAGTGAGAAATCTTGACTTTTTTCAAAGGTTTCTGTGAGAAAGAAGTGATTGACAAGTAATAGTGGTGAATCATTTATGATGAACATCAAAATTGTGCAGACACAAACTGACCAACCAAGAAATTATCTGTAAAAGGTAAAGAATTTAATGTAACTATGGGATGACTTATGAGGAGCCAGAATTTACATTTAATTGTTAACTAAGTGGTTGGATAACAGTGAGTCTGGGTAAATTGTAATATTTAGATGAAGTCTCTCCTTTAGAGTTTAATGGGAAAATTAAGTTATTTGTTAAACATTTGTATTATTGCATAATTTGCAAAAATTTGTGTCAGAAAGCAATAAGTTAATTTATGTTATTTAAAGAATAATTTTCGTTAAAATTGTTAGTTATTGTTTATGCTAGCACATATTAGAGAGTTTTTGGGCTAGTTAGATGGCCATGTTAGGAAGCCTAAGGCTTTTGAATAATATTAAATAACTTGAGGTTTCTAAATTAAGAGAAAATGTAACTGTTTTGTAGGATGTATATTTTGTAGATAACAAAGAATCGTTGAAAGAGAAATAAATATAAATATCATAACTCTTTGAGTTTTGGTTTATTGTTCTCAGAAAGTTATCTTATTTGTGCAAGACAGCAACTGTGCAAACTGGGTGAGAACATGAAATGTTTTGAAGCTCAATATCTGTAGTTGAAGGGAGTTTTGAGCAAGTTTTGCCAGAGTACTTATCTGTAGATTTCCAATGAATTTGAATGTTGATGCAAATTATCATCGATATATTGAGTGAAGTCTCAGTTTACCCTTTACACCTCAACCTCAGCATACATATTCTCCATAATGTTCTATATACATTTCCTAAGGTGCCGACAAGGAGAATTTGTTTAACAATCAAGAGTTTCTTCAGTTGGTGATCATTTCTTTCATTCTCCTGACCTTAACATGTGAGTTAGGCTGATATTGTAAAGAGATGTTAGATTCTCGTCACTCTTGGGGTTCAAAGGGTTGAAAGTTTCAAAATGCTTTTGACCAAATAACTGATTTCACCAGTACAGTGACTTTTTTCAATCACATTTCTGTTTTGCATACTATCAAACTTTGGAGCAAACAGTTGTTTTTAAAAGTTCCAATGTTAGACTACCAATTAAAACCTGATACATGTATGTATCATGTAAAATGACAACAATGACAGAAGACTAGTGAAGTCTTCATTAGGATGTCAAGTCAATTGTGGATGATTGCTGGTTATTTTATTGCAATTTTCTTGCTGTCTAGAGTTTGTCTTTTTTTTTTAGTTTAGTTTGATTGCCCTGCATTTTTGTATATGATCTACAAATTAATTGCAGCACACCTATCTGAAATTTTTAACAAAAATGTATGCATTAGTTCTTAATGTGTTGGGCAGAATCAAAGATATTTTTATCAATTTTCACCAGACCACAAAATCAAGAAAAAAAAAGCAAAAAAAAAATCAAAATTTAAAGAAATGAAAATAATAAAAAAAAACACCAATGTCAAAAGGAGTTTTTGTGACCAAAATTGAACATCAAAATGGATGTTAGACAAAATCTTGGGCCTACAGAGAAGAATAATTTCTGATGATTTGCTCAGTAGCAGCAAAACTGTCCACAAAATGATCTTCAGTCATTCCATACTTTAAATACTGATGAACATAAGCTCGAGAAGTAAACATGTTCCAGGCTTTCTGGACAACAGAGTTTAAGGGTACTACAGGAGTTTGACTGTTTGTAAGTAATGTCGCAGATTTTTCATAATGGTTGAAAGGCCTATGGTGGCACCACACTGTATTGGCCCAAGTCTGTGGTACCCAGCTTGCATGAAGCCTTGTATCATTAAAAGAAGACAGATCTGCCTTGTGAACATCCACTCCTCGCAAAACCAAAAGGTTGGCAATAGATTTGTTCAATCTATTCCTCAATCTTGGCAGTTGTCCAGGTCTTTGGTGAAAATCTGCACCGTCTGGGTTTGACGGCACAGGCAACTTGACTTCCCAGTCAATGCCTGCAGGGGAGATTTATAAAGTGCAGATATTTAAAGAAAATGCCAGGAACATTAACAGTGGTGTCTCCCCTGGCCTTTTTTCTCTAACTTTTTGTTTAACCTTCATTTAAAGGTATTCATTATCATGGATCTAAGGAGGGAAATGTTTACCCTAGTGACTGAAGTGATAGATGACATATTTTAGCAGGTGACACCAGCTTACTCAACTCTACAAAAAAAATTCCAAGTGTAACTATCAGGAGTTAAACTTCTGATTTTCAAGTTCTTGAAATACTCATCAGAAGGTTATAGATTTTCAACTAATTTTAGTTGTGATACGGTAGCGCTAAGAATACCTTTTTCTTCTAAGTAAGCCTATTTCATCCACGGAAAAACATTGTCTTCCCAATTTCATCTTTTGCATTAAAATAATTATATACATGTATCTTCAGCTCACTGAGACACACTGCCATCAAAAATGCATGTTGAGAAAGATGTTTTCTCTGTCTTGTTGTGGGCTTTGAACAAAGAAAATAGAAAAAAAATCTTCTCCTTTGTCAGTGCTGAGCTCAAAATTTACTCTCTAGCTCACTATAGATCATCTGTAGCTCAAAAGTAGAGCATTAGAACATGGCAGAAAGTCTGGGGTTTGATTTCTCTTGGGGACTCAGAATATTTTTATAGTCCTATGCTCATAAAAAGACCTAAAAAACATCTTCATCAACTTTACCAAGCTCACAATTTAATATCTTTCTCATTTGATATACACGTTGTAGGTTAAAATGATTTCAGTCTACATGTAAATTCATTCCCATCATAATTTGTTTGAGAATCAAGACAACTTATTTAAAGACTAGTAAAAAATAATTTTGACCAAAAGTCATTTCAAACTACAACATACATGTCAAGTGTTTGTTTGTTTGTTTTTACAACTACAGAACAACAAATATAACACAGATTTAATTCCATACCTTCTTCCATGCTAGCATCAGCTATCAGCATCTGTCGTAGGTGCTTTAGGAGTCCAGGCCACGTGTAAGTGCTGTAAGCTAAAGAGTTTTCAGCCATTTGTGGAATGTTCTTCAAAGTCATCAACTTATATTCTGGATGTGGACAAACTTGCTCAATCAGATCACCAAGTAGATTTCTGACTGAGACAGCTCTTTTGTAAAAAACAGGTTCTTGGTTGGGAGAAAACAGTTTTACTGGCTGAAGGACACTGGCAAGTTTATGAGAAATCACTCTGTTGATATCCTTGAAAGATATATGTTTTAAATTCATCAACCTGGAGCATATACTTTGTAATTTATCATTTTCCAGGATAATTATTCCATCCGAGCACTTATACAAGTGAGATAAAGTTAAGATAGCATTGTAGTTTTGAACAATCACCTCACCCGTACCATAAGGCCAAACAACTTGATTCAATATGAACGAATGGGGAAACTCTTCACGAAGACAACCTGTAACATATGCCCCTACACCTGAGCCTGTTCCACCGGCCAAGCTAAGAAAAATAAAAAATCCACCGAATCTGTCGCACTTTTCCACCTCTTTCTGCACCATTTCAAGCACAGTGTCTGAGGACTTTGGTCCATGCTCCAGGAATCCATGGGCCCAGTTGTTCCCAGATCCACGTTTTTGACAAAATTGCTGTCCCAAAGGATATGTCCACTTTCCCGAGTTCTTAGCCTCTAGAAGGGTTTGAGATATCGCTTTCGATTCCATATCGATCATAACAGCCCGTGCATTGGCTGCTCCTGTTCTGTCTCGTGAAAAGAATCTTTCCAGTACTTCTTCCTCGTATTCGTGGTTGACTTTATGATCGACATTTTTCGAAATAAACTGGGGATTTAGTTTTGATGCATCATCTATTAACGTGTTAAATAGTTCTCCGCCTATCTGATTGCCACATTGTCCTAGCTGCAGCGAAACAACGGACATTTTGAACGTTCACCAAGTTGTCGGATACTTATCCACCATGTTGGATCTTTGAGTTGCGGGAGCCTGGGTACCTCTAAGAGATGGCCTCTCGGACGCATACATTATGTAATCATAACAAACGACAAAGGTGTAATGACAGAGCCCAGATTGCGCGCGCACATCTTCACTTCAAATGAGGAAACGCTAACAAATTTGCGTCATCTGCTCAGGACTATTACGTCACAATTGATAAAACCATCTTTTACTTCCAGATTATCGCGATAGTGTCGAACAGATTTACTGTAACTGATTGTTCATTACGAGCAAGAAAACCAGGAAAGTGTCTGAATAAGGAAACTTGTTTCACTTGCATCTCAGGCAAGCGTGGGCAACACAATTTCTTCCATTACTTCATTCCAGGAGTTAAAGTGCAAGACACAAAGTCCGTTGATGTTCATGCTTCATCAAAATCAACGTTAAATCTGTCTATAGAAGGGTATGGAGTGCCCGCACTGTTGTTCAGTAAGAATAGTTACTTGTCAGTGTTTTGGGGTCTTAGCCACATATCAGTGGCTTGCCAACGAGTGATCTTTCTTCACTTCCTCTGATGGGTGTGGTGAGCTGCAGGCAAAGTGTGGACCGATGGTATGTAAATAACGACGTCGACCCGATTGGTTACCTGCATATTCTAGTCAACCTCGCTATTAGGGCCATTTCCGCCCTGACATTAGAGAGGGAATGTACCGTTGGTACAAAGACGAACGAATTTAATTAACTTAGACAGAAAAAAAGAGTGTTCTTCACGACCACGGCATTCCCGAAAAGGTAACTCGGTGCGATCTAATCACTAAAGTAAGGAAAAAAAGAAAGAAAGAAAGAAAGAAAGAAAGAAAAACGGTTTTTTGTGGTTTCACATTACTCAGTCACCTTTGAGGAGAGAGGGTCATCAGAACTTAAAATTTGTGTCTGCCTATTTATTCCATAGTTGCACTTTAAATAATTTGCTTATTTATACTAATAATAAAAGTTAAGTTGGGAAAATTTTGCTGATGTAAACCCATCAAGTCCTAAGGGGCTAGTGTCTATTAGAGAGAAAGCCTCATTATAGCAGGGATGTGGATAAACACAATACTGGAGTTTTTGTTTACAGGAAGTGCTTCTTTTTCAAAGGGGAAGGGGGTGTTTCAAAGAGGCTTTGGGCTCAAGACAGGGACATGACAAGGAGGGGAATTTCAGAGAGATATTGGCAGGTGGTTTATTAGAGTGAGGTGTTCACCAGCAAAGACCTCCTGGTACAGCTCAGCCGATGTGGGCTTTGATGCAGACAGCATGCGTAACAAATCAAAGTTCTTAATAACAAAACAAGAGAAGCAGAATAATGAGTTTACTGCAGCAAAAACTATATACATTTGGTAATTTATAAAGCAACCTAACTGAAAATATTTTTGTACACTTTTCTTGAAATTCTTGCATATTCAAATGTAGAAATTCCAATGGTTCATTTAAAGCTTGATTTGAATGTAGCCTAAATACAGTATGCATTAATCTTGGAGACTGGACCATGTTAAAAACAGCAAAACGTAATTTTGAACATAGACCCATCTGAATAATCATTATTAGAGTAAATACTATGTTCAAATATGGAAAATAAACTAAACCTTTGGCTGAAATGTCCTTATTATTGAATTGCGGCTTGCAAATTAGTCCTATGTGAAATCATATTGATTTGGGATAGATATGGGTTATGAGCTTGTCTGAAACTGAAGACCATTTGGTAAGAGTCATACCTTTTCCATATTCCCAAAACTTACAACTCAAATTTCAAAGGTGTTGTTACTCAGTATGAATTGAAACTAATTATTAAACATGCTTCCCACATTAGCATACTGTAATGGTATCAAATGGTTGCCTAGGATTATTAGCAGGAAAAAAGGACAAAAATATTTTGTGAACATTTAGTGTGCCATACAAGATAAAACTTTTTAACACAGCCAAAGCAGAAGCACTTCATTTCAGTAATCAAAGAAACACTCTGATATCAAACAGATTTTAACATAATGGCTGGTGCCTCTGTCACTTGAATTTGTCATAAGATGACTGCAATAAAATTAAGTATATAAACAATATATGTGCAACTAGCATCTTACATGATCGTTAGCCAATTTATTTCATTTCACATTTATAAAATGTGATAAAGCTACATTCAAAATGTGGAAACCATTTAGTCTATAACACTTGCTGTGATTATACACAAGAATTCCCAAAAGGTATGTGATCACAGTGAAAAGAATATCTGCAAGTTATCAAGTGCAAACTGTTACATGAAGTTTCCCCTCACAATTAAAAAAAAAAATTCAACACTCATATAGAACCAAAGCCAACTCTTTTGTACTATCTCTGTTTTCCTTAGTTTTCTGAAGTATCATAATAGTTAATTTTGAAAATCAATACAGAGGACAAAAAGGCTGTGAACAGGACCTCTTCATAAGAAGGGTGTATGGCTGAGCTTCATGGTCAGAATCTGAGAAGCAAGGTTTCAGTACAAACAGCTGAGTTTGATGATTTGAAAACTGCAAATTCCAGAATATAGGTCTATCATTTCATACTGCTTCACTTGCGGTTGCCACAATTTTTCCTCTGTAAAGAAGAGACTAGACAAGTCTTAACATCTCAATGACTTTGCTAACTGCTTTCCCTAGAGATCCTCCTCACAAACCAAGAAATTTATGGCAAGGATTAAAACTTGTGGCCAATATGGCTACATATGTCAACACAGAACGTCCGTGTCACACAAAGGCATAGTTAGTATCTTAAGTATCTAGTTCTAACCCAAAATCCTTATCATTTGGTTTTGTTTAGTTTCCTGTAGCGATCTAACCAATCATCAATCAGTTGGTTGACAAGTGCAGGTCTTGGTGTCAGCTTCTGCTTTGCCACTAGGACCCCACCTTCTGTCACACAACAGTCTAGCCACTCATGCAACAGGCGCTCTTCACTACCCCTCTGAAAGTGTAAAGACAAGGATTACATGATATATTTTAATAAGCTTAACCCTTAGATCCAGAGGATAGACTAATATCTAATTTCTCCTTACAATATCAACCTTGAATCACACATAAAGGTCACAAGAATAAAGGAAATGATCACCAACTTAGGAAGATATGATTGTTGGACAAATTCTTCTCGCCAGCAGCTTAGGAAAGGTATGGAGAGCAGTATGGAGAATTTGGATACAGTTGTTAGGTTGTAAAGGGTCAAAAACCCCACTAAACAATCATCATCTTTGCTGCAATTACAACAGAAAATGCTCTACTGTGATACTCTCTTCATGCTTAAAAACACTGGGATAAGCTACAACAGCAAAGTAGGTAAATCTTTCAGAAGGGCTTGATCGTCTTTACATAATCCAGATAAAGCATCTAAAAAATCCTTGTAATGAGGAAATACCAACCTCCTCTGCAGACAAAAAGTGAACAGGTAGTAATTTGCCCTCATAGTCAACCAGAGGTAAATAGGTCACATGAACACTGTCTATACTATCCACATTGGCTCCTGCACCAAGTTCATTAGAGTTATCAGTTTCCATTGCCACCAAAGCAGAGAAATGTCCCCTTGTATAGCCTAATACTAATGGATTCTTCCAACAGAAAGTCTGTTCCCATAAAACAGGTAGATAGACTCCTAAAACAAACAATAGAGGTAACATCCTTTAAAAAATGACAAAAATACTAACGGATAATATATCCAAAGATATCTGGCGAGCCATTTTCAAAGTAATATTCAAAAATTAAAGGTTTTGTCAATAACAATCATTGTTAATCCACTGAAAAGAACCATCATAAGCACATTTTCCTTTTATCATATGTTGACTATGCTGCACAATTTTGAAAGATTTTACTGAAAATGGACATTATCAAAGGACAGACAGTAAGACACATTCAACCCTTTGACTCCTAAGAGTTACTAACATCTAATTCATCATTACAATATTAACCCAATATCAAACAATAAGGTCATGAGAATAAAGGAAAGGATAAGCAAATAAGGAAGTTCTTGATTGTTAAAAAAAAGTCTCCTTGCCATTACCTTAGGAAATGTTTAGAAAATAGTAGGTATTACAGTGTATGCATGCTGATGTTGGGTTGTATTGGGTTAAGGCATGATAAACCAAGTGAAAAGTACCTTGAAACCTAGCAAGCCCAAGCACCTCTCCTCTGAAACTCTTGACATATTTCACACCATAAATGATTACAGGTCGGCGTAGAATGTGTGCCAGAGCGAATACATGTGACTGCTCTAAGGAAGTTCCAGGCTGACCAGCAAGACTAAGAATGGAGGCCCAGTCCTGTTCCCATTGATCTTCATCTAGAGAATATTGAAGAGTTTCTGCTTGCATAGATTCCCACTCCTTGTACCTACTGAAAAACCTGGAAGAAAAAACATCACCCAAGAAATTTCAAAATCAGTGGAACTTCTCCCTTGAGACAGTCTTCATCAAACACCTCCATTCAATAAACAAAAAAACTGCATCCATGTTTATCCAAATGACAGCTACCCGTAAGACCCTGAAGCTGGCCAAAATCACAGGATAGTCTGCAATCTTCAGCTGGCTACCTTCACCTCATTTTAATAAAATTTCTGAAGAAAAATTACACAACTATCTGAGAAATTTGCACAGCATCCATTTCCAAGTTTTGAGATGAAATTGACCATAATTTACAGGTAATGGGTTTCAATGGGTGAATGGATTATAAGTTTGTATGAAAAGATGTTAAAACTTTGCCCAAAATTATGACATCTCCCTTACCTTGAGCCTCCTTCTGTTAAGCTGTCATAAAGTGCTCGTCTTAGAGTATTATCTCTGTCAAAGACACCATATGAAGCTTGAAGAACAGAGTCTAGAAGGCAGTCACCAGCAGAACGATTCCATAAGGGGTAGATCCTACTTCCTAACTGTTCAGTAATCTCTTCACTCCAGTTGATAACAGGAGATTCCATCTCTAGAACTGAAGGGGAAATGGACCAAATATTGAGAAGAAGAGACAAATTGGATAACTTTTGGATTGAAATATAACCAAACTGAACATTGGATGGAGAGAGCAAAGTCCTTGTGTTCTTGGGCAAGACTCTCCCACACAGTTTGATCAGTGAATAACAGCAAACAATCAGCATCACTTATCACATTATATTGAAAATTAATAACATCAGCTTCAATTAAAATGCTGAAGAACACAATTTCTTATTCAAAACATTCATAATGGAAGGATACCAGGTACTGTGGATAAATTTAAGAATGGTTGGCAGTATCAATAATACCAGGAGAAATCTGATATCAATTCTGATAACCATAAGATGACTTTTCGTCTTACCTCTTTGAACTTCCCTGTCTAAGATGTCATCAAACACTTGCCTCTGTACTCTTCCTGGAAAGTCTTGAACCTCTGAAACAAGTTAATATTGTGATATAATCTACAATGATGTGAAAACCCAAAAACAAAGCAAAACCTCCTTGACTTTTTGGCATTGGCAATAATGATGACAAGTTATGAAAATATTCAAACTTATCAGGTAGAAGCTGTTATCTTGATCTAAAAGCAAATTCTTGTTACTGATTTGCAAGGAATTGTGTGGCAGTTAGAAGGGAGATTAAACAATCAGATCTTGAGAGTTGAAGGGTTAATTTTATAATTATGGAAACCACAGAAAATAAAGATAAAGAGGAAGGATGCAAGTCACCAGAGGTTAAATCTTTGGGGTTGAATGCCTGAAAGCTATTGTCTTAGAGAGGTTCATAGGTTGCCATGTTTTCTTTTTGAACAAAAATTCTTCTTCTGTGTGAAAAGCTTTAATTTTAACCCATCATCTCCCTTGATCTGATTGTTAATTCTCCTTTCCAGCTAATAGATATCTCATACTAAATTAGGTGGGATCGTTTGGTTCTTTTCAAGATGCACATCCTCAGGCTACCAGGTCTTCTTATTTTCATGTATTAAAATTGTAAAGAAAAGTTGGATATGTTATAGAAAATGTTGTTACTTGTGGTTTTGTACATAAAAGAATCATTTCATTGTTTGTCTCACAATGTACATGAATTTTACTGATTGTAATGTTTTGACTGCTATATTACTAATCTTTATCAGGTGACAGGGTAGAGATTTTACATGTTGCTATTTATAACACTAGAGATATTCATCATGTCTGAGAGTTGAAGAGTTAAAAAGCTGATAGTCCAGTTTACAAGATGTTCAAAACTACAATAATTTTGGTTAAAATTCTCACCTGCTGGTAGAACAAATGTAACCTGATCAGTGAAGAAGTAACAACGCCAATCTCCTTTACGTTGCCTCATGGTGTGACCCATCTGTTTCCTAATGTCTGCAGCAAGTTCAGGGCATGCAATGCAGGGGACACGTCTTAAATGATGGCTTGTCACTTCTGGAGTGAGCAAAATTGTCATGAGCTCCTCTCTTTTAAATTTAAAGGCCAAATGTACTAATGTGTGCCCCACTTCAAACACTCCAGGTCGGTTTAGCACCAGACAATCTTCTCTTGTCAATTGTCTGGAAAGATCGTTACCCGAGTTTAAATAGCTCTCCACAGAAGCCGTATCACCTTCAACAACGCCTATACAAGCACTCAACCACAGCCAGTCAGAGTCCTTTAAACAATTTCGGATTTGGAGAACTTCTTCATTATCATTAACATCATCCGAGGCTGGAATATCATAAATTATCGTTTCGCCAATCTGACTGCTTGGCTGGATTTCTAAAGTGGCTTCACTGACAGATGAAGTAGGCGATCTCTTTTTCGACGTGGATGGTCTTTTTGGGTTATTGTCTAGCAGCGTGTTCTTTGCAACTTCTTCTTGTTTTATTTTGGCCGGTTTCAAACACTTGCAAAGGACGCACTTCGTAGTTTTTGGCCAGTTCTCGTACGTACACTGCGGACAAGTCCACTTGTGAATTTTCAACAGCGCGCGGTTTTTGTCATTGTTGATTGTTTTGGAGTCTAACCTACCATTGTTACCAACAGAACGAGGTGACTTCGGAGACACACTTTTCGACGAAGCATCCCTGTTTCCATTTCCAGACTCTGTGTACCTTCCGTTCTTGCCTGATTTTTGTTTTGAAGCTCGGCACATCACGCAGTGAAGGGACCTAGGCCAATTTTCGTACGTACAACAAGCACAGGTCCATTTCGAGTTGTCTTCTGTCTGTTCGGTTAGTCGTGGTGACAAGCTTTTGTTGTCGCTCGACGAGCAAATTATCGGGTCAGTTGAGATTATCCTGTCGCTGCTAGCAGCCTCGTAAATATCCTCTGATACATTTGTTGTTCTGCTTGCTTCTTGCGTGATAACTCGAGGCGGTCTTGGTGCACGGCACAAAGTGCATTTTACAGAACAGGGCCAATTAAAGTACGTGCAATACTTGCACGCCCATTTTAAGCTTTCTTCTTTCTTTGGCATGATGAAAATAATCTAATAAGGAAGTGAAAATTCGTCCAAATCGAGGAGAATGTCTCAACCGCTCACAATCTACCGAATGCCGTCTTATCCAAACAGCAATTTTCTTTACAGACCCGTGAAGCTTTATCGAGTTCGCTTGACTTCTTCGAGCTCTAGAGCCTTCCACAGCGACAGCTCCGGCTAATCGTGATTTTCTTAAAGTTTTAGGTTTCATGAAGATGATTTTCTTTCTCCTTTGATGATGTTACATGACGTTTGCATTGAAAATCCGGGAAAAATTTCCTTGCATTTAATATCACAGCTGTCGCCATGATGTTTTGAAAACTGAAAGCCTCGTGTTGTGACGTCAACAAACATCTGGCATCCTGGTACCCAGGTTCCACTGGATAGATTACGCTCGATGCAGTTAAAGTTTGCTTTAATCTTCGTTTTGTAACCCCTAAATGTTCAGATAAACTAAATCTTCACAAAGTAATTATCGGTGGGAATGAAAAAGCTAAGAATTGCTCTATTCCTTTCTCGAACGAAAATAAAAGGGAAAAAGGGAAGAGAACACTTACTCTTCCTCATTAGGTTTTGCTGACACATCACAAATGATGTAATTCAGAACTTTGATAACTTTTCTTTTTCTTTTTTCTCATTGGAGCCACCAGTAACTATTCAATCAAGAAAAATATTACCCTTAGTAGCTTTTGAGCTTTCGCTCAAAAGTGTGTTTTTGCATTTTTGTCGTACTGCGTAATAGGGCGTGTCGTATGTCTCGAAAACTAGAATATTCTACGTAGAAATTTGGATAGAAAATAAAATTACAAAAAATACATTATAACTAGGGTTAGATATCTGCTAAATTTTCAAGAAGGAAAGTTGAGATCGTTGAGGATCACTTTGATTGGACTCGATCTCCTTCTGTGGGACTTGTTTCCAATCCCCACAGATCCTTGCGTTGTGGCTAAACTAAATCTGAAGACAAAGCTTTGAAGGGGGAAGAAAGAAAGCCAGGTAAACTATTTCGTGGGCAACTTGAAAACACAAAGAAGGAGAGTGTTGTATCCCCCGCTGGCTTGATAGCTCAGTATGTTTGAGCAATACACTGGTATCAAAGGAAGATGAAATCGAATTTATTCCAGGCTCAATGCTTTCTCGCGCTTTCAAATTACACCTACCCTGTTACGTTGCCTGGCAACTAGTTTTAGGCGCAAACCAAAGAATACTGCGCTTCTTTCATTCAGTTGAATTTTATTAGGTCTAGTTTGCCAATTTAAGTAAAAATTTAAGTTCGGGCTACTAAAATAATTCGAAATAGGTGAAGAAATGGCAAGCCTTAGCCGCGTCCGACAAGATCAAACGTCTGCAAGCCAACTCCGCAAACTGCAGCGACTAGGAGGCCATCCCTGCAAATCAAAAGAACAAAAATTAAAGTAACATAAGGTGGAATTTTGTCGCTATCTACGAACATAAAGGGGCCATTCAAAATGATCTCAATTACGGGAAAGCGGGAGGAGGAGGGAGGTGTTTGAAAAACGATCTTGTCCACAATGCGTTTTTCTCGTAGAATATGAAAAGCACTTTGAGGACGAAGTTAGGTACAAACTCTGACCGAGATTGCAAAGATTAGTTCTATCCTTAGCAACTCGGAAGAGGTCGTTATTAGAAAATGTCGTGCTTCCCTTCCATTTCCCACCATTCCCCGTCATTTCTTTCCATTTCCTTCCATTCCCTGCTCGTTGGACCTAGTTCGAAATTTAGATTTGAGAGAGTTGTTGTGTAGCTTCCATCAGGAATTGTTGCTTTTTTTTTCACTTTGAGAAAGTTATTTTTGGGGTTCCTGTTGATATGTTCTCGAATTCGATGTTTCTATAGTTGTCACAATCTAAAGCGTTTTATTTGCTTGAAATTTTTAGCTTGTTCATCAGCGCAAGGTTCACATCTGTAAGTGTTGTCTAACTATGGAGTTTATCTCTAACATTCAAGCCTTTGGTGGGTGGTGGAAGAAAACCCAAGGGGTAGGGGATGGGGGTCAACTTACTGCAATTCTCTGAGAAAAGTCCATGGAGCAGGACTCCAATTAAAGATAACGAGAAGATAAGGATTTCCGAGGATAAAAATCATGGCGTAAATTTCCAGAAAAATTAAAGATTAGGACAAATCCAATCTAAATATTCACGTATTGCAGTCAAGAGTACCTTTCGCCCCAGACTTCCAAGTCCTGGACATCGGCAACGTCCATGATTTCGGAGGCGCGCTGACGGAAAACTGAAGAACCCTTAAAAAAATTGAAAGGAGAACTTATTGCTAGAAGAATTTCACCAGTCGTGTGAACTGCAACAACCAACCCAAATTCGAGCTGAAATAAGCCCTTACAATTGTCTATGTCCAAAAGGACCAAAACCGCACGGATAAATTTCTGGATCGGACACAGTCATTAAAACGCGAGTTCCCTTGATACTTGCTACTTGCGAAAGGAAAACGCAAGAGTAAGAACTTTGGTTCCAACTTAAACAAACCTGCGCTGAAACTTAAGTATTATCCAGATGCGACATACTTAAGAGAAACCGAGAGCAGTAATCAATAGACAGGTCATTCGTCCGCTGAGTGGAAGGCGTTTATTGTTCCGATTTCTTCGGTTTGAAGAAACAGCTCAAGGAGAGCGCCTTGTCCTGATTGATCCTTTTTAAACTGAGGTAGAAAAGATAAAGCTTACAGCGCATGCCAAGTCGGCGCACGAGCAAGATTACTCAGCTAAGTTACTACATACCTGCCCTGTATCTACGATCTCCCACAGAACGATTCTCTGATCTACAGATGACGAGATCGCAAATCCATCCTTCAAAGCCTTAACACCTAACAAAGAAACAAAGAACAAAGAAACATTGGAAGTTACTTGAAAAGCAATATCTACTAGGGAAAAAATCGATGCTCGCTACGAAACTCCATCAACCCTTTACATCCCAGCGTCATTATGCATATTCTCCATACTGTTGTCTACAAATTTCTCATACAAGGCGCTGAGAATTTGTTTTACAATCGAGAGCTACTTTCGTTAGTGACCACTTCCTTTATTCCTATGACCTTAATGTGTAATTCTGGATGATATTGTGAGGAGAAATTAGATGCTAGTCACTCTTAGGAGTTAAAGAGATAAAAATTTGCCTTTTGTTCGTAAAGTTATTTAATAACCTAGGCTAGTTGACAGAGCGTCATACACTTTTGCAATATCGTTTTTAGCAAATCAGTCCATTCAATTCTTCTTCAATCCCAGTCGATTCCGCCCATATTCATTCAGTGCATTTCTTTTTTTGAAAATGGGAAGTGTTTCATTTTAATCTTTTATTGCGTGGATCATGATGGTTAGACATCCTCGAATACTTAGTCTACACGACGACGTTCGTCAAGAACCTCACCCGAAGGAAAGGATCTAAAAATAAATTCAAGTGATCTACTGTCAACCTCATTGCCAGGGTCTCTCTTTTCCTTTCTCGAGGTAGAAGAGAGAGGACCCTGAAAACGAGGTTGAGCCACTGTTACCTGTCACTGATGACGTATGAGCGGACGGTTCAGACACTTCACGGGTCACGTGAACCTTGGTGACGTCATTCTTGTTTTGCTTCAAGTTGAACTCTGCAGCGTAGAGTGCAGCATCATCCCCACCACTGACCAGTAAGTACTGTCCTGAAACTAAAATGGGTGCAACATTCACATAAAAGTTGGTGCGTCACGGTTTGAGAACCTTACAGATTGCTGAAGGCAAAAAAAATTTACGTTCGTCATATGCTTTTAGTCTTGATCTTCTCCTGCCTCAGCTATCTTGTTCCATCTTGGTGTATTATTGCCACTTACGCGTTCTTCCATCTAACTAGGCTAATATTTTGTAGTCTCTTTCGAGGTAATTTTGCAAGGCGCATTATGACTCAGAATGCAGATATTGAAACACCCTTATAGCAAAAATTTCACAAAGATTACTTTACTGCCGATGAGGTGAAATCTCTTCGATTTTCCCATACAAGTTGCTTGACAATACCCATGACGAAAATTTAGCGAGACATTTTCCCAAATGGCCGCGTTGTTTCTGATTGGCTTATAACTGTGACAAAAATCGCCTCCGATGGGTTCTTACAAAGACCAATTTATTCAAGGTTGCCCACGTGATCCTTTCTCTCATCTTACCATCATTTTTCACGAGCGAGATTGCATTTACACCGGATTGGTGCGCGTGAAACACGTGGGTAGGAAGACCGAGGAAGACTGGCACGAGAGGAAGACACGAGAAGTCACTTTGGCCCACCAGTATGGCATTCAACTCTTCACCATTTTGATCAGTTACACTAATTTGACCAGGTATCTCACTTCCGATAGAAATGAGATCATTTGAGATAGCTTCATTCAAAACCTCTTGTCCAAAGTTGACTGAATCTTGGTTCTGTGCTGAAGGACCAGTGTCAACGATTACGTTTGTTTCTTCAGTCTGCTGTTTGTCAGCAACTGTCACGCTTTCAGATACGTTACAATCAGTCACGCAATCCTCCAGCCCTCCTTCTTTCCAACAGCCGCGTGATGAAACGTTAATGTCCGTCGTCACACAACTTTCTGAGCTCAAAGCAGCCATTCTAGGTTGGGATGTATCATTCTTTTCTACAGAGACATGCCCGTCTAAAACCTGCTTTTCACCTTCATTATTATCGACAGTTTCTCGTTTGTTTTCCACTAATGAGTCCCCTGCAGGGAGCGTTACCTTTTCTGAATTCATTGTATTTGTCATTATAGAGTCCTCCACATTCGTCAAGTCACAATGTTCCCTAATGTGGTTACATAACAATGAGGTGATGTCCCAACAAGAAATTTTTCCAGCTGTGTCTCCCGCAAACATCATAACCAGAGGACTACCGCTCGTACAAAAATCAACCACGTGACTGATTGTCAGCACACAGCGTTTCAGGTAAAGGGACTGAGCCAGAAGTGAAAACCTGTTTCGTCGCTCATCAAAGCTAAAAATTCTGAAGGGAAAAGAGGTCAGTGTTTAAAGTCACTAAAAAATTATAAGAAGGAAGCAAAATCACTTTTCAACATACTTAATTGTAACCACATTTATCATTTTCCTTCTATCAAAATAAGAGGGTGCGGTTTAGGCGAGTTTTGCCCCTGCTTTTTAATGAAGGTCGATTTTGCAGTGAGTTAAACAAGGCATCTTTTTAATCTCTAACAAATCAAGTCTTTACAAAGTTAAAAAACAAACATCAGATAGGAAACAAAAAGACAACAAACAAAACATTCAGCGAAAGAATTGACACAGCCCGGGCTGTAAACCAAAGATTCATTGAGGGAAGTGAGTTATCAGAAAAGGTGAATGAGTTAACCTATGCAGCTTCATTCTCTCTGCTATCATTTTGGGTCTTTACGTGCCAATTATGAGGCCAATAACGCGTTATATCAGCGAATAATACATCGGGTTAAACTTCAAACAAGGAAAAAAAAGACGTAAATGATATTCTCATTGCAAAGAGTCCAGTTACTAAAATAATACGCTGAACTCTTCTTATTTTAGGAGGAAATAGAGCGGAAAAGGGATCACACGCACCTGACAAACCCATCTGAGCACGCTGCCAAGACAAAAGACAACGACTGACAGCTGTCCTTCAAATTAGCAGCACTCAATGACGTCAAAGACATAAACCTAATCTCTGAAAAGGACTGAGAATCGTGTTTCCTTCGTCTCCGCCGGTGATTACTTAAGCGAAACGAACATTCTCCGAGAAAAACCATAGGTGAAGACGTCATCTTATCCCCCTGGCGATTGTCATTGATGCGTGACAGATCCACACGCCAGCATTTGAGTGAGGCACGTCCCCCGCCAGAAAAGAGAAGATAACAAGTCTTATCATTTGTGGGGTGACCGTTTATCTGTTCCTTTGGCTGTATGTTTGGCCTTGGGGATTTGGTGGCGCACAAGGCACGGACACTAGATATATGGCCATGGGCAGTGAAAATTGACGAGGTCATACCAGTGGAACGGTCAGCTGAGGGAAAGAGAGTTAAGGAAACAATCTATGAAAGAGAGTATCCAAAAATATCAAAGTTTCGTCACTCCCAATTACATTGAAATGAGGCAGATAACGTCTAATTTTTCGACATTTTCTGACACCGTGAGAGTCTCCGTTGACATCTTCAAAAAGGCAAACCTATTTGTTCGAAACGTCAGTTTCTTTAGAAACTTGCCCCTTTATAATCTAATGAAATTCGATTAAAAGTGAGAGAACTGTCACTGGGAGAAGTTTATTAAAAACTCTAGAAATTTTATTATTCAGGCTTCATGAATCTGAGTATGTAATGACGGTAATGTAACTATTCTCTCACTGCCATAATGGTGTTTCTATTGTATGTGATACGTATCTATTGGTGAGCTAAAGAGGACAAACTTACAAAATCAATACTTTTTTTCGATGTGCCTCAATTTCAGTAGAAGATACTTTTTAACCCTATAGAAAAATTGGGTAAAATATGCTTGACCTCAATTAGTATTACTACTACAGAACTTTTTTAGCAGTTAAGTCCTTCTCTTTCCTCTAAATGGCCCTAAAAAAACTACTCTAACTGTTAAAAAACTGGATACAAATCATCAGCTGGATGTTGGTATCTTCGCTCCCTGTTACAAATACGTCGCTGATATCACCTGAAAAAGAAGCAAGTAAAACAGTTTAAGAAACACCTTCAACACCTTACCCATTACAACCTAACATCAGTATGCATATTCTCCATACTGTTTTCCTTACATTTCCTTCGGCACTGACAAGGAGAAATTGTTTAACAATCAAGAGCTTCTTAAGTTGATGATCATTTATTTTATTCTCATGACCTTAATGTGTGATTTGAGGGTGATGTGGTAGGAGAAATTACATGCTAATCATTGTTAGGGGTCAAAGGGTTAAATAGAACTAATCATTTAACTTTGATAAACCTTCCAGTGCTGTTTGGTTTGCAATAAACACTAAAATAAGCACCACCCCCTGTCTAAGGCTTTAAGAATTTTGGAAGCTACCCCTTCCTATCCAAAGCATCACGTTTATACCCCTATCTTCTGAGCCACTCTACTCCCTTTCTTTGTAAACAAAAGCTTCAATACATATTTGGTTTGGAACAGTTTTGTAGGTTTTTCAACCCTATACATAATGTTTATCATAGATGTGGAAGCTCCCCCCCTCCACATTGACTGAGCCCTCTATCTGAAAGACATGGAAATAAATAAGCCACGCCCCTATCCCCTCAGGCTAATTGGAGCAACTACAGTGTTTGAGCCTGCTCTAAGATGGAGTCTGACCTTGGCAATTTTTCCAATTCCTGTAAACTGTAAGAAACTGGAACACGACTGGGTTCAAATTCACCACCACACCCCCCCTTTTTTTCTCTAGTTGCCTACCTTGTTGCCCCACAATTGAATCTACATGGCAAATACATGTTACTTCTCGTCCATGAAAACCTGACTGTGAATTAAGAAAAAAGTGATCTTATGAATAAAGATTGACTGTATAAAGAGGTAAATTCTCTCAAAAATTCACATGGTAAACCTGTGGAAATTAGCAGGGAACTTATGCAGTTAGGTCGGCAACGCCAAGGTGGAGGTAGATAAAAAAATGAATTTATATTTTCAGCTAGAATTTAGAATGTGTTCACTGTCTTTTTTATCAATTGCGCCATCCCTTAACTTCAGTACAGCGTATGTGGGCAGCGCTGAGTTCCAAATGGAAACTTACATAATTTACCCACAGGGTTTCCATTTTTAGACCACCTGACTTGGTGATTGGTGATTTCGCCTTATGGTTTTGCATGGGACAGCTAAAGAAAAGTACAAAGTTTCAAAACGCATGTGCTGAGCTATTGTTCTGCCCAGTAGATTTTTCATTTTGCCACGTCTTCATTGCCTTTGCCGTCGTGGTTTGCTAAGGTCTCTAATATCAACACACGTAAGGGTATGTATCAAAATCAAAACGTAGACTTATAACATGTTTCACTACCAGTAAAGATTATGTACTTAGCAAAGTTGATTACCTTCAACATCGCCTTTTTCAGCTCACACGGGAAGGTCATCTTGTGCGTGTAAATAGTGGAGTCTTTGATAAACGCCAGCACTCCTCCACAAACAGATGAATCCTGGTAATAAATTTAAATGCCATATATCCGCTAATCATGTCCACCACACTTATTTCAAATTTGTGAGAAAATAGAGGGAGTTAATTAAAGGGTTATTCGTGTTTTCCTAGATCACGACTACGTGTGATGTTTCCTTTTTATTTGCAGCATTTCCACAGAAAAAATACTACACAAGCCGAGTGTCATATTCTAGCTGATCCTTATATTTTTTAACAGAGCTACAACTATTACAAAAAAGATGCTAGTATATACCACAAAGGTGAAAAGCGCGCACTGATTGGCTGATTCAGAAGTGATTAGTGGGCGCTATTCACCTCCTAGCAGCCGAAGAGATAAAATAGCATGTGAACAATCTAATATTTGACAGAAATAAACTGATTTTTTTTGTTCCAGTGTGATGTACGGTAAAACAATTATTTATCTCAGTGTTGGTGAAAGTGGTGGATATTTAATGAGTGGCGAAGCAGCTTGGTAAATATCCACCACTGTTCACCTCCACTTTGGTGAATAATTGTTAATTATTCTGAAGAAAGTATGGTATCTGTGTTCAAGGCCAAACAACCAACACAATAAATCAATAGTTATCTTAGCTCTCATCCACTAAAAAAAGAGAAGGGGGAAAGAGGAGGTAATTATTTAAATGGGGGGGAGAGAATGATTTTAACTTCTGAGTGCTTATTTGTGACGATCAGGTTAGTCAAAGATTTCCAAAATGTCAAAAAAATATTATAATTGACATTAATTAAAAGTAAGAGAAAGTTTTACAACTTTTAAACCATCACTGTTATCGATAAATCCCAAAATCCTTTAGTGCATGTGTGTGAGTGATTTCTTGAACAAGTAATTAAGTATGTACCGACTGTTGAAGGACTAGGTCCCAGACTCTGTGTGCTCCACCACACATCACTCTCCACAAGAGCTCATTGTGCTGTACACTCCATAATACAAAATATGCCTGTGTGGTGAGATACAACAAAATCACATAAGAATTGAAAGCATTTTAATTTGGTATCCCGCTTGAGCAAATAAAATGTGTGGCAAAAAAAAACACTTGTGTCTTACAGCATGGAAGCCTGCAATGAGAAGATCTCCATTGTCCATGAATAGCAGTCGCTCCACCCAGTCGAGGCCTTTGTAGACCTAAAGAGTAGGTTAGCATCAATTTTTTTGTAATGAAATAAATTCCATTTGACTAGCAGATAGAAGTCAAGCCAAAGACATGATCCTTGGAACCCATTGCCTACCAGCTAGCATCTGGGAGGCAATGGCTTCCAATTTGGTTAAAGCCTGAATGTCTTCAGGCTTTTTTCCTGTAATTGCTTAAATTTCTCTCCACTTACAAGGACCATTTCTTTGCTTGCTTAGGTTGTTGATACCAATATACAAATTGGCCAGACTTAACATTGATAAAATAAACTTCTAATGGGTAAACCTACATGAACTCAAACTAAATTCCATTTACTTTAACTTTCATCAAATATTTACACTCATTTTACCTGACTGTGAATACATAAAAATCATATATGTGAACTGTGGATCATGCAATGAATATGAGAGCAATCTTTGCTCTCATATCTATGTGAACTGCAATCTATGTGAACTGTGGATCATGCAATGAATATAAGAGCAATCTTTGCAGTAATGAAAACTATTGAACACCAAGCAGTAGTGAATTTAAAGGATTAGAAGGCCTGTACTGTGGTCAAATCAAAGCCTCAATTGAAATGGCATGATACTAGATTAAGAATGACAAAGAAAAAGATAGAGAATGACAATTCTTGCTAATAAAGACAATACATTGCAAAAAACAGTCTGTCCAGGTCAAAGTTAAAAGTCAAGTCAGTGTCAAGGGGAAGGTGAGGTAAAAGGTTTTTAAGTCACTGTTAAGTAAGTCATCTGAAAATATCACCATGCTCATAGAACAATGTGCTATCTCTGTCACTACCAAGATCTAAATATAAATTCTCTGCAGTGTCTGTGATACATTTCTAATAATTCTATCCCTGAGAATCTGGCATTGAATCAAAAGCAGCCCACTGTTGATTGTTTTCTTTGCTCTTCTTACCTTCCTGCTTTAAGATGTGCTGATAATATAAAGAGAAACTCATTGTTGGTCATTACCACTAACCTACCACAGTTTGTCTGTTTCCTTAACATCTATTGACCCTTTAACTCCCTCAGGTGATTAAAATGTACCTTCTTCCAAAAATATCCATACATTATCCAGCAAACAGGTAATGAGAATACTCTAACTTATCAGGTAGAAGTTGTTATCCTGATCTAACACCAAATTCTTGAAACAAATTTACAAGGAATGTGTAGCAACTAGAGAGGAGAATTAGCTATAAGATATTGGAATATAAATCATAAATACCTTTTTGGTATCTATAACCTCCAGAGTATTGTTTTGTATCCTAAGCTGCCTGTACACTCCGTCTCTTCCAGCTGAGTACATTGTGTTATTATAAAGGCACAAGTGACTTACTCCAGCTTTACCATGAAGCAGAGGAAGGGAATGTACTGGGCCAATACACTGAAAGATTCAAATATTGATATATTCAAACAACTTTGTTCAGTACAAAGTGAAGAGTTCCATTTCTCTTTTTCATTTTTATCAGAATTTATAAGAGTACTCTTTACTTAAACCATTGCACTCAAAAAACACAAACAAACAAATAAACAAAAACTGAACTCTACATCTCCTGACTGATAACCATAACTTTTGTTAAAGGCTGTACAACTGGTTTCTGGATTCTCTCCTCTTCCCACCTCCCAGGAGTGCCCAGGAGGGTAAAAAGAGGAGAGACCCTGGACACAAGGTTTTAGCAGCTGTTTTTTAAGTTCATAGCAAAGAGTTCTTTTATTTTTACCAGAATTGGTACAAGTACTCTTAACTTATACCATTGTACTCAAAAACTTAAGTTAACAAACAAACAAAAAAAACTAAACTTCTGGTCTCCTTACTGATAACCACACATTTTGTTGTAGGCTGTCCAACTGGTTCCCAGTATTTCCTTTCATCCCACCAACCTGGGGTACCCAGGAGGGTAAGAAGAGGAGAGACACAGAGACAAATCAGGAAACAAGAATGTTTCATCATTTACCTAGAGATATAGTAAATTAAAAAGATTTGCAAAGACAAATCCGCGGCAAACTTCCTCGTTAAGTTTGAGATGCATCTCGATTGATAACTAGATGCCATCTTGGATTTAGGTGAGCTTAAACGTTGCATATCATCCATCCTAGTGTCCACTTTGTTGCACGTAAAAGATCTTTTCCCTTACTTAATTTCTAGAGCGATGACAGAGTAAAAAAAAGGTTTTGTTTGTCTTTCAAAATGGCGACCAACTTTTTTTAAATTGGCTACCACTTTGATGAATTTAGGAGCCAAGTGGCTATCAGAAAAAAAAATTAATTTCACGCCCTGTGGAAACAAGGTTTTTTACAGCTGTTACCAGGAGTTTGATATTATATCAAGAAAAAAAACAAGGTTGATAATTTGGTAACTGTCTGTTTGACAGTGCATTGGAGCTGTGAAATATTGAGCAACTGCAAGGTCGATGTGGCTGGATATTGACCATCTTTTTTCTGGCACTATCACAGCTGAGATGCTTTTACTGTTGAACAAATTCTCCTTGTCAGTACCAAAGGAAATGTATAGAGAAGAGTAAAAAAATATGAGTACTGATGTTAGAGAGTAAAAAGTTAATATTGCTATGGAATAAGCAAAGATTCACTATTAATCTTAAATCTGTAGACTACAACTTGGACAACTTGCCTTTTCAGCTGACAAATCACCAATGCTAGCATCAAACAGATGCAATGACCCTTTTCTATCCCCACAGACTATCAGAGCAGATTTGTTGGTCACTGTTTCTTTATCAGATAATTGGAAAATTTCAATAGCTGATGCCCAACGTTGCTTGGATGGTGGAAGAGTGAAGATGCACAAAGGAGTCACATTAATTGTAGTGGTTTCTCCTTTTGTGCAAATGATATTCCACCATGTGATTTGTCCATCTGGCCCACAAGAAAAGAGATGCTGAGGAGAATGCTGCTGGCTCCAAAGCAGATTGTGAACTTTACCTGAGTAGGCCTGTAGTTCAACACTGGGGTGATTGAAATCTGTTAAAAGAATTCAGAAAACTTAACCCTTTGACTCCCACAATCAAGTTATTAATTCTAAACATTGTCTGTCATACATTCCAAAATACTCTTGGGTATTTTCATAATTGTATTGGAAATACAATACTTATTAGTATATTCTTTAACATCCTAGGCTATTTAGTTCTATTCCTTAAACAGAAGGACTTTGATTCATGTTTGGTCTCCTCTATTGACTGTCAATTATACTTCTAGCCCCTTCCTTTATATGCACATGTAAATATATAGATTAGAAGAGGAAGGGTCTTTGGCCTCAGAAATCCAAAGTAAATGGGGTTTCTAATGGGTTTGGAAACCAAGGCAAGGGGATGATAGTGGCTCAAAAAATTCAGCCATCCATGAGGGGATGTGAATTTTTTGCAAAAATATTTCAGCTAAAAAATCATTATCAAATAATAACAAAATCCTTCCATGACATGAAGGAAGAAAGTATAATTATGTTGCCACTGTTGTTTTACAGTTAATACAATCTTGGTTTCAATCAACAGCCACATTGGTTCCAACTCACTTGCATCTTGCAGTTTGATTTTCCCTCTCAAATTTCCAAAAGCAACCATCTTGTGACAGGGAGACAAAGCCACAACACTGTATGAGGAATACTCTGCATCTTTGAGAAGCAGCCTCCATTGATCCTTATGATTTGTGTCATCAGTGTTTGAACTTAGTGACAAGACATTGTGGTCTCCAGGAGAACTCTTGTTTTTCATCCAGCTGTACTTATACAGACACCTGGTTAGAAGAGGAAGTTTATTGATAGTTTAATTAATATTACTATTTTTAGTTATATTATTTCCTGTAATTTTCACATTTCTAGGTATGTTTTTACAAGTTGGGGGCAGCATTCTAGTTCCTGCAGATGTACGCCTTCTGTCTTTGAGGCTGGTACAGTTCAATTGTGACAGAATGCATAAATAAAAGATTTGGACTGATTAAAGTGACACCTTTAAAATCTCAAGATCTTGGAATCTGATATCTGAATAGTAAGGTATCTTAATTCCTAACTGATACCTTCTCTATATATTTTGCTGGTCCTGAAGAATGTTGCAAACAAATTTAACTCCTGTTTCTAATTTTCTTAATATTAAAATTTCTGTCTGTTTGACTTTTGTAAGTTCCCTTTTAAAAGGAAAAATGTCTTTACAATGAGCTCTCCAAGTAGGAAAAGAGTTGATAAAAAAATGAAGAACATTGAAAGAGGCATGAAAAAAAGATTGAAGCTATTCATTTGTTATAAATTACATCAATTACTTCTCTTATATGAACAATTCTCTCAATAGAAAACTTCATAATTATGAGCACTTTTTTAAAAACAATTTGCTGTGACTGTTCAGTAAAAAGAGTTGACAGAATACAGCTACTTACCCTTCATTTGTCATGATCAACAAGTTAAACTGGTCCAACAAGCTCACAAATCTTGGATAATCCTCCTTTTTGGTTTTCCTTGTGTTCATTTGATTGTTAGCTGTAGTTTCTATGGAGGGTAGACGAGCTTCTCTCAAAATGGCATTGCTGTTATGATCAGGACTTGATAATGGCCACAGCCTGATACTTCCATCTCCACCACCTGTGGCTATGAGATTTTCATTTTGGTTGACAGCAAGACTCCAGATGTTGCGACCTGTAGAAGATGGTACATGGCTCATTACAACAGGCTACAGTTGACAGAAGTGAATGTAAAAACATAGAAAAATAGATTCTATGTTGTCAAGTGTCTGTTCCATAGAAGATCACTGAAAACATCAAAATGTGGTATAAACAAAAAAGTGGCACAGAAAGCCCAGCTGAGTGTAACACTGCTGTTCTTACCACAAATTTAGGTCTTCTGTGATCTATCACTGAACAGACTTATGATAAGATGGAATCTATTTTAATTAATAAGGTAAACAAGAAAACTTTTGTTTATGATGATGTTATTTATGGATCTGTCCTCCAACAAATCATAAGTAAGAATGATTCAAAATGTGTACATAATTCAGCTTATCAAGACATATAACAACCAATTGTGTATCATAACACCATTATAAAGGAAGTAAAAAAAACCAAGCAGAACAAATGTAAATATAAAAATGGGCTGGTGAAAAAGCAACTTATGCAATAAGCCTTAAGAACAAAACAGAGGATCAAGTGGGAAATTGGTTTTAGTTTTTCAGTCATACAATTTGTTGATAAGATGGTCGTATTATAAGTATCAACCTGGATTACTTTAATTTATCACTCAAACTAGAATCCTGATGATTATAAATAATTTTCAGAGAGCAAGTGGAGCTTTCCTTCAGTTTATGAAAGGCACATGTACATAACATTGAATTTAAAAAATACTTGAGAAATTAAAAATTATTGGATAATCAATTTGGCTTGCTCTTAGCCAGTTAGGCTACATATCATTTGTCACTTCAAAATAAAAATAATTTGCCATGCAGTCTCTGTAAATACTTGCACTTATGCATTTTCAAAAAATATTTTCTTGAAAACAAAATTATTCAAGTTTAAATTAACCAATTAAAAACATTTTGGGACAAAGGATAAGTTTTTGGTTAAATGAAGAATTGGTTTGAGTCTTACATCATAGAACCTGTGAAAAAAAAAGTGCATCAGTTTGAAAAAAAATTTACTCCATCGGTTGCTAAAGTATGAAAAACCATCCTCATTGTTGGTAATAACCTATTGACCCTTAAGAGTGACTAGCATCTAATTTCTCACCCCTGAATCAAACATTAAGGTCAGGAGAAAAAAAGTAAATGATCACCAACTGAAGAAGCTTCAGATTGTAACACAAATTCTCCTCTATACATCTTAAGAAATGTATAGAGAACAGTATAGAGAATATGCATGCTGATGTTAAGGTGTAAAGGATTAAGTAGCCTGATACCTGTATGACCTTTATAGGACTTCACAATGCTTCCATCATAGCTCCACACATTGCATACCAAGTCCTCTCCAATACTAACAAAACACATCTCCAACAATTTTGCATTCCAGACTCGTGCAGAATGCCCATAAACAACAAGCAAAGGTTCCACAGAGCCATTTGATTCAAGTGTTGATAAGTTTGTTATTTTCCATAGTCGTATGCTCCTGTCATCCGAAACAGAACTCAAAAGTGTTCCTTGTTTGTTAAAGTTTATGGCAAAAATAACTCCAGAGTGACCTGTAAGCCTCTGCAGAATCAGTGTTCGGTTATTTCCGTCTTTCTTTCCTTGCACTCTCCAAAGAAGGACTTGATTAAAAACTGTGCCAGATGCAATGATCAAATTTTCTAAATCAGATCCAAAGAAACATGCAGAATATCTTTACCAAAAGAAAGTTACGGGAAATAACTAAAGAGTATCTATAGCGACGCTTGATCGCCGCTAGCTGGACCGTACGAATCTCACTGATCGACACAACAAATATCGCCCCAATTTCTTTCATGGAACGCCTCCTTTATTAAATGTCGTATTTGACCGTGAAGCTAAAAATAATTGATTCACAAAATTAGGGACAAGAAATTAGCTATAGAAGCACTCGAGGTAAATTAAACTTACATTGTTGCCGGATCTGGTGAGAGTTGACACAAAAAAGACCTTTCCTTCCTTCGATAAAAACGACAGACAATTTCTTTCTATTAAACCACGAGTGCTTGCGAAATCAATCGAATTATTGAATTGCACAATAGATCCGTTCTGTTTGGAAATGCGATACCACTTACGGAACGCGTGACGAGGCACCTAGTGTGACTTTTACAGATTATTAATTAAACGATTACTAAATCAAAACAAGGGATAAACCCGTGCCTTAGGGGCACTTACAGTATCAAAATCAACCACAGAATAAACTCAAGGAAAGAACAACATAAAGTCCTTATATCTTTTGAGTTTCACTAATTACTTCATTGAGGCATAAGAAAAAAGTAGTCTGTTCATGAACTAACTTGGTAATTCCCAATCTTCTTTTTTTTTCTTTTTTTAAATTTTTTTCATTATTTTTTTAAAAATTTTTTTCTATATATTATACTTAAATATGTACTTACACTATACTTACTTCTTACACGATGCTTATACTACATTAACTTGCACTACTTACAATTATACATATATTACAATACAATTACACTAGTCAAATTGAATTACAGTTGATCTATTTACATTATTGTTTGCATGTTAATTGTTCGAGTCACTAATAGGAATTTTGTTTGTTAATTACACTACATAGGGTATTAATTTTCTAGAATTTAATAGATTATTAAATAAATAGGTACCAAAAAGAAACAAGTCAAAATACCAAATCTTCTGCTCATTGAAAGTTATTTTCAGATTGTTTAAAGTATCTTTCACAAACAAGGGAAGGTATTTCTTTAAAGGAAACAAATTGGTAGAAAAGGCTTAATTACTTGAGTCCTGCTAAAACTATTTTATGGCCTTATAGGTCTGTATAAAGGATACAGTATACATGGCTCTTCACATTGGGCAACTAATTGTTTAACATCATTTTTCCAATCCCAGCACCATACAGCATTGTGTGCAGTTGCAATAGCCACTAGTTTTGGTACCTTATCCTGGTACAGCCAGTGAGCATCCCAGATCAGATCAGGAAAAGCTACAATATCTGATTCAGCCTCAACTCTGAAGACAAAAGAATACCTAACATGTTTGTCAGTGGCATGAGAAATTGTAAAGAAAAACAAAGAGAGATCCTTCTTTTCTAAAGAATGGATCAGGCTCCCTGACCCTAAGGTTGCCTTGCACTTGACCCAACCTGCTAAAAGAAAACCAAATCAGCCAAAAGCCACCTGAGGCTGATTTGGTCAGTAGGGTAAAAAAAGCAAACAAGCAGAAAAAAAAGTTCTAAACCATTCTAGGAAGGCCAGCATGGGAAAAAACTGTACCTTTGGTACCCATGACCAAGTTTCCAGAATGAATGTTCTTGCCATAAGCATGCATGAATGTTCTTGCCAAAATTTTCAGAATTTAATCATAGAGAAGAAAACTATAAGAAGTAAATTGTGAATGTGTTCAGTATTTCACTCTTACCTTACACTTGAATTGGAGGGATTCTCTTGTAATTTGATAACCCTTATGACCTTTTGTCCAAATATAAGCACCAAGTTACCAAAGGTCTTTTCACCTAAACAAGGGAAACCAATGTGATTGGACATATACAAGAGTTTGGAATTATTTATAATAGAGTTTTAGATCCACATTTGTTTCTGAATATGTGGAGTCGCATGACCAGACTCCAGTGGTCACTTTCGCCATTTGCCATCCACATTTGATCTTTAGGCAAGGCAGTTTCAGGTAGTTGAAGTCTCTCTGCCCTTTTTTCTCCCTGTTTAAAAGTTATCATGTATGTCCTATAAATATAAGTGAGGTGAGGTCTTTTCTTTACAACAAATCCCTTTGAAATGCTAGAAAATCAATCTTTTCACCACATTTTGTGTTTGAAATGAAGGACCTTCATCATGTGTGTAATTCAAGATGGCAGCACATATGTTGATTTTTTTTTCAGGTGAAAGTTGACATTGATCTAAAAACCTGAAAGTCTCAAAAATCTCACTTCTAATCACAAACTGCTGACCTTGGTTTGACATTTGCAGTGAACACAGGAAACATGGATCTCCAATGTTCTCACCCACAATTCTTTATTTTTTCACTTACAGTACAACATAGAAAATTACAATTATAGAAACTCTACGAACAATTCATTACTTGACTAAACCATTTCACCCCTAATTGTGATCAGCACTTAATTTCTCCTTACAGTAATACTGCTGAATCATTCAATAAGATCATGAGAATAAAGGAAAGGATCTTCAACCAAAGAAGTAATGATTTTTGAACAAATTCTCCATGTTAGCACTAAAGTAAAATTTTTCAAGCACTTTCCATGGTATGATGCTATTGTTTTGAACATACTGAGATTTTTCCTATCTGACCAACAAATTTCATAGATTCTCATTATTTTGAGAACATCCTGAATAAACTAGAGTCGAACCCTATAAATTAACAACCTAAATGTACAATGTACCTCTTATTCCATGTATCCTTGAGCCTTGCAATAGACATTTTTCAATTAATAAAACTCCCTTTGCTGCAGAATACACACCAAGCAATGGTCCATTTCCTAAAGAAAGTAAAATCAGCATTTTTTTCAAAATGACTGACAAATTACATACTCTTTAATTAAATATTTTGGAATACTTTTACTTTGATAGAGTTCTCTACTATTAATTAGTTCAATTTTTAATTTTCCAATTTCATTCCAGGTCATCTCAAAGTAGTAGCCTTGAATGCTGTTGGGTAATTATGTGATTTTTTTCTTTTTCATTGTGGCAAACAGAATGTGAGAATGTGCTCAGATGAATATCTGCTAATTCACAATTATTTTCCCAAGTGGAGGTGAATAGTGGTGGATATTTATTGAGCCTCATGGCACACAGGTGAATAATTGTTTTAGTACAATTTTATATCACACAGAAACCAAAAACTGTCAATATACCAAATATTGTCCGAAATTTAACTCTAAATGCCCTCACTTGTCTCACTGACTGCCTGAAGGTGAATGGTTCTTGCTAAACGCCTCCAAACCAGCAAATCAGCATGAGAGAAAAGTACTATTCACCTGTATGTATGGTATATACTAATTTACAATATTTTGCTTGTCATATTTATCCCTCCCCCTTAAGGGCATACAACAGGGTATCTACACTGAGGCCTTTAAAACTTTTTCTATGGTGTGTTGATTTGTGGAAGTAAATCAACTGTACAAAATCAGACAGATCTGAAGCTTGGGCAAAATATTACTTATCTCCTCTAATAAATAAACAATGTCTGGGAATCCTTCGTCTTCAATATAAAATTTGCCCCAAGGAATTGTGAATTTTCCTCTGCATTTGCATTTAAGTTCTCTTTGTTGGTATTTTTCCCCTCTCCAGTTACCTAACTTTGGAGGATTTGATCTCTTTTCTGATGTGTTTAGTAGGCAGTCATGCCTCCCTCCAAAGCCGTGAGAGGATCTTTTCAAACTGGATCGCAGAAAACTCCGATAGAGACAATCATCGGGTGAAAATTAAGCTATCGTTTGATTAAGATCAACAGAAGTGGACAAATGAATTATTCCTCACCTGAAAGAACCAAGTCAGAACCAACAAACTCTAAACTCGTGACCGGGGAAGTCAAATACTTCTTTTCCCACGTCCAGTTGCTAGCTATTGCCATCATTAGACGTCAATTTAAAAGGAAAAAATATTCCACCCTTCTATCCATTTATAAATCGTATCGGAATTCAACTCGTCGTTGTTTTTGAATTGGACACCGAAAAAACTTCAAGTCCAGGAGAGCCGCCATTTTGGATTCTATTTCGTCCCCAGGTTGTGACTGTCTCCTTCGGCTCAGTTTAGGGCCCGGGGACCTGCGTGACATGTGTTTTCGATAATTTTTACTCCTTCGAAAAATTTAAACAAAAGATCCTAAAACACTTTCTCAGTGTGCATTTAGAACTGTGGCTACTCTATCTTCCTTAAATCATATCATCACTTAGTTTCCCCTCCTGGCTACGGATAAAATTATTAATTCGTTCACTTTACCACTGCGATTGAACCCGTAAGGAGCCGTCAAGGCCATTGCATAGAAAGGGCCTTTTACGCAATCTGAACTTGTACCCAAGGCTTTATTTTATTACAAAACTTTTCATTTCCATGGTGCGTTATAAAAAAATTTACAATGTGCGCGCACTGAGCCCTTAGTTGACAAGAAATCCTTTTTCTGTTTTTTTATATTATCATCATTATTATCATCATTATTATCATCATTACCTCATTTTATTTTTCTTTAGAGGTAGAGACCGTAATCATTCAGTCAGAAAGTTAAAAACTTCTTTACAGTTTTTCTCTACTTTACACACATGTATTATATTCTAACCCCGTCCCTTGTGGCTCTCTCCTCATTTTCTCCATCAAAGTGATTGGTCATGAAGCTGGATAGTAAGCTGTAAGCCGCTTGTCGAGGCTCCCGAACTACCCGGTGGCCTGGGTACAAAGATACAATGTAAACAAACTATGTCTGCATTCTGTCCAAAATACGATACGTGACGCATTTATACACCATGGCGGCTTTAGGAAATCTCAGGTTGACTAGGCCGAGCAGCATAACTGTATTGGTAAGGTAAGGCTTAAATGAAAACAACCGAGAAGAACAAAATGTTCAAGGAGTGAAAGCGTAATTTTTGACGCGCTTAGCTATGGTTCGCCTGATGTATTTTGCTTCGAATGATTCATATGAATTCTTGACGATACGAATATCAATATCGTGACAGAGTAATGGCAAATCAAGTGCCATGTAATGTGCGCGTTTTGACTCGCCTCTCGCATGCATTGCTTAACCACGCGTGATTGTTGCGTGACGCGCATTCCTTAAGTCACGCTTTATGTGGTTTGAGTCAAGCACAGTCTTCTAATAGTCTTGTGCTTCTTAAGTTCTCTAGTCGTATCACAGGATCTGTTTCGTCAGTAATCAACGGGCAAACAATTAATCTTCATTATCCGAAAGAAAAAGTTGCCTCATTTCTAGTGGAGGTGTTAATTGTTGCTTTGATCTGACTCTGATCTGATCTTATGAGCCGAAGACAAACATGGATAAGCTTCTGTCAATCTTGGAAAACGGCTCCTTACACTTCACTTACACAACAGTCGCTGCAGCTGTAATTTTAACTTTGATCATCTCCAGGTTTTTCTCACGAAGGAGGTCGGTCGACTTAGACCAGAAATATGTTCTAATTACTGGCTGCGACTCTGGCTTCGGTCGTGAAACAGCCATTCGACTGGACAAGATGGGAGCGTGTGTGTTGGCGACTTGCCTGACTGAGGAAGGAGAGCAGAGTCTAAAGTCCGCGACCAGTGACAAACTAAAAACATTCCAGTTGGATGTGACAAGTTCAGAGCAGATCAAAGATCTTTACGAAGAGATTCAGAGACTCCTGCCCTCCGACCAAGGTAATATTGATTAAGACCTTATTGTATTACTCAGAGTGTAGGCATGCAATACGTGCAAACAAACCACACGTTCAAAGAGGTAAAAATGATCGGCAAAGCAGAGCTTACCGTTCCTTTTTAAAGTTCGTTTTGAACCAATCTTTAGATTAGAATCTATAGAGTTCACGCTGTTAATAGAAATAAACTATATACAAACAACCTCTCCCTTGGTAAGCCTCTACAAAGAAAACATATTAATTCAAGGACGAAACATTGGTCGCTACGGAACAAAATATTTCTTTGAACCTTTGCTTCTCTTACCTACATATTCACTTCCTCTAGTTCCGAGAGTGCCCCCCCCCCTCCAATTTGAGGGGGGTGGAGCTTCCACTGGTAAGTTTAAAATATGGACTGCGGACTACGGACTACGAACTACGGACTACGTACTACGGACTACGGTCAACGGAGTAAGGAGTACGGACTACGGACTACGGACTACGGACTACGGACTACGGACTACGGACTACGGACTACGGACTACGGATTACGGACTGCGGACTACGTACTTCGGACTTCGGATTACGGGCTACCATTTGAATATATACCTGAAATGTATCGCACTACTCATTAAATTCAAAACATGCTTGCGAAAAGGGGTCTAGAAAACAGAGACATTGCTAAGCAAAGGAAATGTGCCGAGCACTTGACTTCTTTCTTTCCACTATTCCTCAATTTACATTGTAGTCCGTGCTTATTATTTCCTGTCCGCAGTTCGTAGTCCGCGTTTCATACCTCAGTCCAAGTTTTATACCCAGTCAGTATTGCATAGTCCGAGGTCTGCTGTGCTTATTTTGTGCTAACCAGGGATTCCGCCCCTACCCAACTTGTTTCTCGTTTTGGCCGGACACGTCTAACGAAGGAACACTTTTCCGAGTGCGGAGGTTGCACTCTAAAATAAGGTTCCAATGTATTACGCAAACCAATATGTTGATGAAAATACAATTGGTCACTCGTTTGATGGAATTATTTAGTTTTCCTTTTCTGTTGCGTGATTACCAAATAGGTATATGGGGATTGGTAAACAACGCTGGGATCGCCATTACTGGACCAATAGAATGGATGCCTTTACAAAAATCAAAACGCATTGCTAATGTTAATTTGTGGGGATTGATTGACGTGACTAAAACCTTTCTGCCGCTTGTCAAGAAGACCCGGGGCCGAGTGGTGAACATGTCAAGTATGTTGGGTGAGTCATTGCATCTCTTTCTGTGCTCAAACAAAATCAGACTTATTTCACCATCTTTTAAATGCTATTGAGATCTAGATGGTGTTATCCCATACTGTTTTAGGCATTGTGTACATGCATTTGGCGGCGAAGGTCCCGTTTTTTTTTAAGCCGCTACATCAGCCTTCATTATAAGCGCTGTAACACGAGCGTGGCTTCGCTCGCGAAAAAATATGCGTCCTTGAGCAACGCAAATCGGTGAAAGGTCTGCAAGGGGTTCCAGCACTGATAAGGAAGGAGAAGCACGCGTCCAGCAGCGCTAAAATAATTAGGAACTGCTCGGAGACTACCGCCACATCAGCTAGGCTAAAATTATTAGTATCTTTGATAGTAAATGCGGGAATTTGATGTCACTCAAATTAAGTAACAGTTTTAAGGTAAGCTAAATAATTCATCAGAAAAAAATTTAAAATTTAACGTCGACCAGGTAGTGCTGCCTTGGTATCGCTTTTGTTTAACTTTTCCGAGCCAAACGTAAGACGTAAGATGTCCACACAAATAGAGTGGAAGGATAACGCTTCTCATACCAATAACGTCGAGGAAACCATGCTTGTCTGGTCAACATGCACCTCGCCAATAATTTAAAAACTTGCTTTGACAATGGAACCGTAAACAGAAGAGTTTTAAGTCCCTAGGCAAAGCACTCCTCGTTTTTCACGAGTCCGTCGCGCGAGTCAAAAAAGACATTGATATTGACACACTGCGTGAAAGTCTGAGAGTTGGTCGCCCAAATAGTAGTTTTTTGTTGTTGTTGTTTTTGCCTTCTCTAGTTGTTTAAATTTCAGTTCATTAATTTAAAATACAGTGTATGGCCGAAAACTTATCTTTCCGCTGATAATTTGCTGATAGGCCCTAGGTCTAAGTAACTTTTGCCCTCTCCTTCTGGCCTGCGCGGCTGGCGCGGCTGGCGCGGCTGGCGCGGCTGGCGTGGCTGGCGCACCAAGATGGGAGAGTAGAGGGTGCTCTATTGTTATCTTAGATCTGAGATCTCGCTCGAATTGTCTTATTTTGCGCTGTCCCCCCACCCACCCCCCCCCCTTCCCACCTCCTTTGTACCTCGACGGTTATGCGAAATACAACTGACTTAACATGAACGTACTGACTAAATTTCAGGTCGTGTAGCGTTGCCTAATGTTTCCAGCTACTGTATAACAAAGTATGGAGTGCAGGCATTCTCCGATGCCTTGAGGCGAGAAATGAGCCCGTGGGGAATACTGGTCAGTATCATAGAACCCGGTTTGTTCAAGACAGCCTTGGCGCACATCGAGCGCAACACTCAAGCGGCGCAGGAATTGTGGGACGACCTCAGTCCTGAGTTAAAGGAGGAATATGGGGAGAGAAAACTCACTCAACGTAAGAAGTTATTTTCAGAAGTTTAAAAGAAAGATACAGAGATAGATTAAGAAAGACGGTAAATTTTAAGCGCGATCGTCAAATAAAGTCACATTTTTGGATAGAAGACAAACGTGTCTCATCCACATGGGTACGACGATTTGGTGTTTGATCAAAATGACAAATTCTACCTGATGAGTTTGAGTATTCTCAATATCCCCTTGCTGGAGAATGTCTGGATATTATAGGGAGAGGTTACATGTTAATCATTTATGAGAACAAAAGAATATATACTGTGTATATTCTCCTGCTGGGATTCAAAGGCTTAATCTAGTCATACACGATGTTTTCGGCCTTGTTGATCCTTGCATGTATGACTCAGCGTGCCCACGAATGCTCTTTGGCTCAAACCATCCGAGCGCGCAATCATCATTAAGTCCGAGACTCAAATCGGCGTAGGGCGAGGTTACCGAGGTTTTTTGTTCCCAGTTCTTGACAAATACATGTAAACCTGTGTTTTTTTTCCTCATCAAAAAGGACACCTTTTGATGAGAAAACAAAAGGTGTATATATATATATATATATATCTAGAAAACAAGATCTATTGAAAAAACCGACTAAATTGCTGCCCTTTCAAGGGGCAGTGTTTTTTCAGCTATGTACATGACCATGGCTTAATATTTTTACCCACCTTTAATGTTTTAGCCTGCAGAACTGACGTGATTATTATGCATTTCCAGGCTAACGGAGGCAAGCACGGAGTGGGAATCATGCGCGAGGGGACTGGGGAGGAGCGCAAAAACTCATGTTCTCCCGCACCGCCCCTCATGCATGACTTGCACTTCGCCCTCGCCTCGCACTTTCTTCGCGCTTGCATCCGTTCGCCTGAAATTGCAAAAAGGGCTATTATATTTAAACCATAATTTATGTCTTTCTTTCTCTTTTCACAGTCAAAAAGGGAATTAGTAAATTTTCCGAGAATGCCAGCCCTGATACATACAAAGTTGTGGACGCTGTGATCGATGCTTTGACTTCTCAGCGACCTAATACTCGTTACGCTGTGGGTCTGGATGCAAAAGTATCAATCTTTATTTCCTTCATGCCCACTTTCATTGGTGACAGCTTTTTCCGAGGACGTCGGTGATATGCCTTGGTTACCACGGAGCATCTGCTTTTATGAGATCTCAGTAAGATGCGTTTTAAATATCTGCCGTCTCCTATCAAAATCATGACTTTTGCGTACATGGTCTTACACAGCAGCACTAATCGTGTTCACCTGTATCACTGCATATTCCAACACAGCGGTCAAACGTCTGCGCATGTGCTAACATTGTAAAGACTAGGTGGCACTTAGGGGAGCTTTCAGGCTATCAGAACCGAGTTTTCTCACACGAACTACAAACAAGCCAGTAAGTCACAGTGTTTTAGAAGTGTATAACTCTTTTGGTAAAGCCCAAAACAGAATGTCAAATCGACAGGACACCCGTAATCAATAACCTTTGTGTTCGAGGTCTCGAGTTTCCCTCCCTGTCGCTTATTATGCGAGACAGTGGTTGTTTCTTATATTTTCCTTTGAAATTTTGCGCGAAAAAGTGGCGCGCGGTTGGCCAAAATTGATCCCCTCACGCACACCCTACGTTTGACTGCTGCGGTGTAAGGAATGTTGGGTAACCCATAGGATACCAATTTCAAAATACCCACTCACTTTGTTTCTATAGCAACACAACATATTTACCAACATAGTAACAAGCAAAGGACTCTTCCAATAATGTGATATTCGTTATATTCTTCAATTAAAGATGGTCATGTTATCAATACCAACATGCTAAACTGTAACTTAGGTAATGACTATAGGTCCGCAATAAAAAGAAAGCTATTCTTCATGGAAGTAATTTTTACCCAAGCAAGACAAAAACAACATTTTCCAGGTTCTACCATTTAAGTGAAGAGTGCTTTTCGCGCGCGCTAAACGGCTCGCCATAACACCTCAAGCAGCCCGCGAGAAACTAAGAAATTCCCATTTCGCCATAGATCCCGCAGAGGAAATTTTTCTCAGTAAACATTTAGGCTTCACCCAAGAATTCAAAAGTGGCAACAAAGTTTAGTCGAGCAATATTTAATGAAAAGTTTTCCCATCTTTGCCACCTCAATTTTTGGGCGAAATATCCCAATAGAATGTCTTGTTTATAAAAACGAGGGAGCTAGTTACGATGTAAACAAAGAAACGTAATTTTATTGCAACATGGTTTCAACAAGAAAACAGATATCACAACAATTTAAGAAATGACATCAGAGTAATTAGATGAATGCGTCAGAAAGTTTGGTATGTCCGCAGGAAAGCGTGACGCAATCTCTACGAAAATAAATCTCTCACCGCAACTCGAGTAGCACGTAATCGCGCCCATGCATTGCGAGAGATTTTTACGTTTCCGTGGATTTAACAGAAAAAATTTCATTTTCGATGTGCTTATTATTCATCTTGTGACACGAAAACAATTACTCACTTTCCTTCCATACTCTTTCCTTTTTAAAGTTCTGCGCACCGATAGTGTTATCACGTGATTTGAACTGATACCAGGGTTACCGTTTGTCTCCGATTAATATTGGATTTGAAGTCAACCACGAAGATAAAAGATAGTTTTAACGGTTTGTTTTATTTGAAATCAATGGTAATCCTTGCATGTTCTGAGATAAGGATGTTCTGACCGGCGAAGCAATATTGCTCGGAATGTTAAATATATTGTGAAGCTGTACCTTTTCGAAAGCCAAGAACAATACTTAGTGCATCTCATGAGAGATACATTCTGCACATTAAAAGAAATTGACTTTTCAGTTAGAATATTGGTGCATTCGTTGAGAATGATGAAAAATTCTCAGACTTGAGATTAAAGAAATTTATCGCAGGCAGTAAGGAGAATTGCGATTGAAATCTGGAAGAGTTAAAAAAAGCCTCTCAGTTGTGTATGTCATGGTCGATTCTATACTGCCTCCTGATTTAAAAAGCAAGCAGGTATCATATATTTAACCCTCCAACTCCCATGAGTGACCAAGAATTTCTCCTTACAATATCAATACAATATCAATCAGACAAGTAATGAGAAAAAAGAAAAATATCAATTGGAGATTATTACTTGATCCAATACCAAATTTTCCAAACTGACATTATAAGAATTGTGGAGTGAAAGGGTTAAAGAGTTAGCTAAATTTTTTTACTTTCAAATTCCATCATTGTCTGCCAACGGATGCACCCCGTGACCCTATTAGTTTTCTTACCCTACTAATTGTGGGCAGCCAAGTTGGGTGGTAACTATTGTTAGCCAGTCTTTAAAACTTGCGCAACCGAATCAAAAATCGAATCAATGACGTGTGTCAAGGCAGAATTGTAGCTGTAAGGATTCCCAACTATTTCTCGCCATCTGTCCAAGTTGCGTAGTGCTAAGTGTACAAATTCTCACTTGAAACCTTTTGTGAAGCCAGATTCAAATGAATCGTCAGTGTCCAGGCATAATTTTGTTTTTGGCGAAAACAATTCATAATTACATAGAAAGGAAAGTTCAGTTCCCACGCAGTTCACTTGGAAAGACAAAATTCATAATTTCATGGTAGGGAAAGTTCGGTTTCGACGCCGTTCAGTTGAAAAGATTAGCGTTCAAGAGAAGGAACGATTGTACGGACAAAGTTCTTGAAGCAGAGCCAATTCCTGAAATTCCACGAATACAAGGGACAACCTGAAACAAGTCATGATATTACAGAGGCTTGTTGACAAGCCTATTCGTGACGCACATTATATATAGTGTAGGTTGTCAAGTTTTGAGATTATCTCCCACGATTCGTATTCCGTGAGCATAGCAGTGAAGTGGACCTACTGCGCAGAGTTTGAAAATAAGTGGTCTCCTGAATAATTTCGCTCATTTCAAGAATTTCGAACATGTTGTTCACAATCGTTTTGGCAATAGTAACTTTTGTTTCAATTTACCTTATTCTTCCCATTTTTTCGAGAAAGCGGAACACGAACACCTTAAATATAAAAGACAAACATGTTCTGATAACTGGCTGTGATTCTGGGTTCGGTCGAGAAATAGCTCTGAAACTGGACAAGATGGGAGCTTGTGTGTTGGCGACTTGTTTGACGAAAGAAGGAGCGCAGAATTTGAGATCTGTGGCGAGTGAAAAACTGAAAACTTTTCAGATGGATGTTACCGACCCTCAGCAAATTAAGCAAGTGTTTTGTAAAGTGAACCAACTCCTGGAAGACAGTTCAGGTAGGAGCAAAAAAAATTTCTTATTCAGGATAACTAAGAATTTGCATGATGCAAAAATGTTGTGTGACAGCGAACTAAAATAAGACGCTTCAGTTTTATTTCTCTTTTATTTCAGTACATTCTACGTTAATGAGTGCCTGGAGCTTTTTAGTGAAATTGTAATTTTACGTGGAACAATCGGCAAAAATCAATTCAGATCAATATCAGTTGATCCATCAATTCTATAAGTTTTCTTTTCGCAATCGTCACCGAAGAATTTTCACTTGCGCGCGAATTCAGTTGTGATTGTGCAATCTCTCACGGTACAAAAGCTTACGACATTTGGAAAGCTTAGATGACTCTACCTGCTTCCTCTTATGTTAAGTTATCTTCATGTGGCCGACCACCGAATTTCCTCTTTCAAAATATCAGTTTTATAAGTGTGTAGACACGGAAATGTCGCAAATCATTAGATGGAAAAAATTGAACGAGAAGTTTCTTGTCCATTAGCTACATATTTTCCAAAAACGACAAACCAGTAGTCTTGACTTTTAGTTCACAGGCAAACATCATTTCTGTGCGTGTAGAGACACGGAAATGTCGCAACAGACAGACAAAACTGAACAGGAAGTTTCTTGTTCATTAGTCAGGTATTTTCCCACAAACGAACTGCTTCCACGTTCACCGGCAAACATTAATTCTGTAAGTGCAGAGACCTGAAAATGTCGCAGTAGATAGAACCAACAGAACAATAAAATATCTAGCTTGTTCTTTAGCCAGAGATTCTCCCATAGAGGACATGCTGGTATTCGTACTTTTCTCCGTAATCGCTTTTGTTCAAGTTTGATTGTTGAAAGATTACACTCAGAGCAAAACAGTTTATTGATCTAAATTTTTGGATGTGGTCAATTAATGCTTCGAGGGCACGGGAAGGCTTTCCTATTGGAAGGTCTTGCATAAGCTTGTTATCTACACTTCCGCACATGCCAGGTTGCCTAATCGTATTCTCTTAACCAAAAGAGGGATTACACGCCTATGCACATTCAGGCTATGCTCTCAGCTCTGACGAGTAAAGAGCCTTTTTCTAACGTCTCTTCGTATAAGCTCGGCAGGGGTAGCCCAATTAGCGAAGTATGTCGAAGTGAGACGAAGTGTGTCTTCGTTTCATATAAGAAATTTAATCCAGATTCAACGCGGAAATGTTTAGCCCGATCACCATTCATTTGGCAATCTCAGCTCGGCTTTGGTTCATCCTCGTTCGATTCAATTCGGTTCAAGGTGACCCAGGCACCCCTTTTAATTTTCGTCCTGTCAAACGTACCAGCTAGGATAATAAAGGGAAAATTTTCTACCTAGTTACCGAGTTCTTGGTCGAAAAAAACCAAGATAACTATTCTTTAGCCTGTTCCTCAGCTCTCAGTCAAAGAGAAAAAGTAAGTGCGTGGATATTGTGTTCGCGAAAAAATCATGGCGCGAAAAAAATGCTGCAGCTTTCCCATGACAACGTATTGCAACCGCATCGTCCACTTGCTTGTCATCTTTGCGCGCTTTTTCGCTCTTTTCCGCACAACGAGAGCCTAGCACAGGCTACCAACCTTCTCCTGATAAGAACACGCAGTTGTAACCATCTGTCTGTTGTATGATGTTGAGTCAAAATTGATCCTAGAATTTGTTACATATACCAAGATCATGTGAGTTTTCTTTGATAAAAACATGCAGTATATCAACACTCAGGTACCAGGGTCAGCTACCATCAAAAACGTGATTTACTCAAACACGTCAATTTTTCTTTTAAACGCTTTCTGATTAAAATCTTGCATTTATTCCCTCCTCCTCCGATATTAAGATGAAAACTAGCTACGGAATTCGTTGAAATGCTCTCGTGTAAGAGGCTTAAAAGATTTTTTGAAAATATTCATCAAAGTCTATTTAAAACGCGGGAGAAAGACATCACAAAAAAATGGCTCGATTTGAAAAGTGTTGTTTCGTGGTAGTCGAGACTTCTTAAAATATATCTGAGTAACCTAGAAAATTTGAAAAAAATCCTCATTCCATCATAGAAGTAATGAATTGAAATCCGAGGCTGTAGAATTTTACAAATTTCTTTAGCATCCGGTTTTACGCGAGCATTCAAATCCTATTTGTTACGGTTAATGTTTAAGTCATATTTTGGACAAATCAGAGCCAACAGTTATATCGAAACAGCACCGCTGGGGTCGATCGTAGTCAGGACAATCGAACAGCTGCTACGAATCACGGTTTTAGCGCCGGTTTGTACCACCATGTGGTTTGTAATTGCGGGAACTGCAATATTTATTGCCTTTTTGTGGTTTTCACGTAAGAAACGCGAATCAGTTCTGAATGTAAATCAAAAGTATGTCATGTTAACCGGTTGTGATACTGGCCTTGGTCGACAAACAGCCGTTCGACTGCACGAGATGGGAGCGTTTGTCTTGGCGACTTTTCTGACGAAAGAGGGAGAACAGAGTTTGAAGGCGGTAATCAGCGACAGGCTTAAAACTTACCAATTGGATGTGACCAATTCGGAGCAAATCAGAGAATTATTTTACGAAGTGAAGCAAGTTATCGGTAAATCAGGTAAATACGTACTCTCCATTAGCTTTAGATGACCTTCCATTATCCGATAGCATGTAAGTGGTCTGCTTTATTGACTTTCGTGTTATTTTTATTGTCATTGACTAATTGCACAATGACAGTTCTGTCACTGATTTAGATGTGATATGTTTCAAATTAGGTTGAAGCCAGATTTTTCTGAAACAAATCAGACGCACAAACGCCTGCTACTCAATTCTGGCATTTCGCCTTCAAAAGCGAGAACTGTGAAGCCTTTTTTTCGCTTCCTTACACGTGTCTTCATTAATTTGCGTTGACCCATTTCCCTCCTATACGCCTACAGTTTGTCTACAAAAATTATCATTTGAAAGAGATATCTCAGTTCAACTCAAACTTGTCAACACGTAATGAGTTTAGACCGTTTGGCCGTTTGGCGACGCATACTAATGATTCAATCAGCAGGGCTTACATATCGCTTTCGCCTTTCCTTCTACGTAGAGCGAGGTGGAAGAGATGGGGGCGGGGATTCGAAGTAAACGTCCAACCACACCGGGAGTTGTTTAAGTGGGATTTCTCGGAAAAAGGTCACCCCACGGTGGAATTAAAATATACTACGTTTTTTATGAATTCCTCACTTTAAATCCGTTTCGTAGTCGAGCCTCTCCATTGCTGACACCGAAGGGAATCTTCATAGAGGTCATGAGCAAAGTACTGCAACTAGAATTTGCATTTGTTTATCATCTATTTCATATTGTTTTGTATTCATCAAGTATGAACTCAACTAGGGCAGTCGTTTCGTTGGCTTTTGCCAGCGCCTTGGTACTTTTGTTTGAGAGTTTTGGTTACCGGATCTGGTTACGCCACAAATTGTAATTTCATTTCTGTTTCATGTAGTTTCGTTGTCATTCTTGTCTTGTCTTGTTGTTGTCATATTTGAACTCAGATATTTGTACTAATTATTTATTTTTCAGTCGAATCACGTTTACATGTTTACACGTGTAAATATTTACACATCTTTACATCAGTCTATCTTGGGGTTATTAAACGTGCTTTCAAGTTTGGCGTAAGCCTGTAGTATTTAGCGACAGCAAAGGCTCTTCCAATATCTCGCTGAGACAAAGGCTTAATACTGTGTGTTTTATTCCAGGTCTGTGGGGACTGGTAAACAATGCTGGAATCCTAACTGTTGGACCTGTCGAGTGGATACCGCTTGACGCCTACAAGAAAGTTGCGGATGTCAATTTATGGGGCCTGATCGATGTGACTAAAACATTCTTACCATTGGTAAAAAAAGCGAAGGGACGGATCGTCATCGTTAGCAGCATAGCAGGTAACATGATAGTCAACTCTACGGGTATGGGCGAGGGTATAAGGGCGGAAAAGAAATTCCTCATGTTTTTCAGGGCTTCAAAGCGCATTCGATTGAGTGACACAAGCAAGAACTGAAGAATAAAAGGGTCGTTGAAAAGGTACAGTAAACGTCAAAAAATGGCTGTATACTGTAACCCACGATCAAGCATTCGTTTTTCGTAGGAAGAGTGGGAGCCGAGAGAGTAACAGCCCAAAAGAAAAGAAAGCTTGATCACAGGTTATACTGGCGACTGAAGTCCACGAAAACGCCAGTGACCAAACCGAGAGTGCTTTCAGTTTTTCATCTGATTGGCTGAGGGGATTGTCCGAAGTTCTGGACTAGTCCGAAGCAAAAATAAGACCATCACGGATTAATTGCGACACAGTTGGAAATTACCCCAAAACATGTTTCAAAATGTTAACACATATTTTCTTGGTGTGAACATCTGTCGTACGACTGTCGATAGAATACAAAGTTTAGCTCACGTTTATGTTATAAGGTCTATAAGGTACAGGTGTACCTTATACATCTGCCCTTGGTAACTTTCCAGGCTACACAACAGTAACCGTGGAATTACCGGATGTCAAATGTCATTCCTAATTGAGTTATGTGAACGTTAATCCCAAATCACGACAGTATTATGTAAAGCAGCTTAAATGACGAAATAGCGAGAATCTGCACATATAGTACATAAATGTAATCCGTTTACACACGCAATGCGGAAGAGCTTTTGACACTTTTTGAGACCGCACGAGCTGTGTCGCGCTCTCAGTTTAAGGAGACGAGGTAAAAACGGCAAGCGAGTGGCTGCGGTTATCGGGGAAACGGCTAAGTTCTATTTTCTTCGCGTCACCGCTTAGTTTGTGGGCGCCCAATTTCTCGTTAGCCTCCCCTGACTGAGATAAAATGGAACTAAATTTGGCCCAAAATTAACCCTAACTTGTCATAAATTGACTGTTGTTGGGCTAGGGGAGGGGTAGGTGGGGAGTTGCCCAGATACTGATATTGATCCCAAAAATTAAACGAATATTCCCTCACAGCAAGTCCATGATTTATTTTAGCAGTAGATTGCCTCTTGAACGTCAAGTCATTGCGTCCTGTTGAATGATAACTGAACTTGAGTATTACTGAAATGTTCTTAGCATTTGAACAAGTTTTATTCAGCCAACTCTCTCTTTTTGCCTCTCAAGGTGTTGTTTCACCTCAAGCATTCTCACCGTACTGCATATCCAAATATGGCGTGGAGGCGTTTGCAGATGCATTGAGACGCGAGATGCGCCCTTTTGATGTCCAGGTCAGCGTAATAGAGCCGGGTGCCACACGCACTCCGATTGTAAACGATGAGTTGTTGAGTGCTCGCCTAAAACAATTTTGGGACAATCTAACGGAGGAGAAACAAAGGGAATACGGAAAACAATATCTTGAGAACGGTAAGTATGGATATCCTAGTTGCGGTTGGAAAAGATTTGGGTAACTTGACCTGGAGCGATCTAGCTAGCGAGAGAGAACTCTCTCGCCTCTACCCTCATAATTTTCAGTTAAGATGACCATTCATTGCTTAATCCCAAATTGAACTCAACCTGGTGCGGGTAAGCCTCGGTGAATGGTGGCTTATGGCTTTCGCTTTTCCGTGACATGATCGAAGCAAGGAAACCCATTTATGGTTAATGATTGATAGAATATCTCAATGGAATGTAGTGCAAACTGTGGTATTAAAATACAGATATTGTAATTTACCTTCAATCCTGCAATTTACCGGTTTATTTTTATGATTTCAGTGACGAATGGTTTTCGTGATTGGTGCAAATCCGCATCTGAGCAAGTGAGTCACGTCATCGACGGCATTGTGTCTCCTCTGACGTCACAGAGTCCGAAGAAGCGTTACGTTATTGGCCAGGATGCATGGAAGCTGAAATTTCTTTCCTACTTGCCTGAGTCACTTCAAGATTTTGTCCTGAGAGAATTTCCGTTCAAGGCGGTGGTTCCATCTGACCGAGACATGTTTGAAAACTCTTATATGAATGGTTCAGCCCATTGAAGAATTCCATTGAAGAAATAATTTATTCCACGGCCCTAGAGACCATTCAATATCTATCACCCTAGGGATGGTCGGAGGATTCTTTTTGCGGGGAGGATAGCATGGTTTTGAGGAGGGACAGAGGGGGGATAAGTCGTCGCCAACAGAGTATTGTAACAAGGGGACTATAGAAAATTGACTGCTAATGAGGAGGGGGGGGGGGGTGTCATGCGAATATTACAGAGCCTTCTGGGAGATCAGGTAGATATCATCGTGACACAACCAAAATCCACCGACCACCCCTCTCCCCCCTCCCCCCTCCCCCCCCCTCATGCGATTAATAATTAGAAGTTCCCTTTCTTAATGTTTTCAAAAGAATTGTCCACCGAATCCTTTTTTTGTGACCGGAGGTATAACTTAGATAAAAAATTGTTTTTTACGGTTATTTATACATTGTAAAGCTGTTATGTAGTCGTACAACATTCTGTGAGTGACTCCGTAGTGTATACAATTTATTCAATTTTCAGCTATCATGAGTTGATTTGAAGTAAATATTGTTTTTAAGATAAGCCATCCCACTTTATAGGAATTGAGTAAAAAAAAAAAAAAAAAAACTCAGGAAGTGTTTTTCTATCATGAAGAATTCGCTTGAGTTTTTAGGAAAGAAAACTTGTTGCAGTGAGAAAATTAAATAATCTTCATTTCCTTAAGGAGCCTGCATTTGAACGCTTTCCCTTTAGTTAGGTTTGACAATCAAGTCATGCGATCAGTCTTAGGATCAGTCTCTCCAATAATTTAATTTTCAAACTATGAACCGAGAACTTGAATAACCTTTTCTAATAATTTCCCAAGTCATCTTTTACTGGAACCTGTGTTGAGCATTTATATCAATAAATTATCTATGAAAATTCAGGTGGTTGAGTAATTGTTTTTCTAGCGGAGGTGGGGGATGCGCTGTGATTACTTTGAAATTTTCTCCTAGACACACCCTGCTATTAAGAAAATGGGAGACGTACTCTTGCTAATCGAGAAAGTTGGAGGGGTGACCCCCACCCCCTTCTCGAGCAGGCAGCGTGAGTGGTGTTCAGAACGGCATAATTTCTCCCTTAGCTTTTCCCTCCTCTCTACCCTCGTGCATTAGCCGTGAAAACTACCCTCCCCCCTTGAAAACACCCTTGTCTCCAGGATCATCAAATGGCGTCGATAATGACAACGTTGTGTCTTGTGGTAATGAGCGTGGCAGCTACCTACTACATCTTGAAATGGGTTTTCCTGTATCTTCGCGGAGATGAGGGGGAAATCGGAGGAAGAGCGAACAAAAACGTTCTAATAACGGGATGCGGGTCAGGATTCGGCAAAGAGATCGCGCTGCGATTAGATCAGCTGGGATTTCGTGTGATTGCAACTTGCAGAACTAAAGCTGGGGAGGAATCGGTCAGGGCCATTTGCAGTGACAGGGTGAAGACGTACTGCATGGATGTTACGAATGTCAGGCAAGTTCACGAGGTCTTTGAAAGCATCAAGAACGAGATTCCAGCTAATAAAGGTAATTCGATAGATCTATAAGTTGAAGATAAGAATTTCAATTACGTTGCTTTGTTTCTTGTTAGGCCATTAAAACCCAAATCTCGTCTCTTCATTACATTTAATATATCGAAATTCCTCCGCAGAGAACAGACTCATGATTTACTGTTAAAGTATCATTTTCCTCGTACTCTAAGAGCCGGAAATCAATCGAACTAGTCAATCATACTTATTTTTAAAGTGATGAGAAGAGCCGAGGGGGCAACAGACATGTTTTGAATATGCAGACATCGCCGTTCAAACCTTGTCTGGTAAAATTGCTGTCTGTGCAGGCAGGGGTGAGAACTCAACTCTTGTTTTGATCAGTTCCGTGAATTAATTTCCGAATGGTGTTTGACGATAATGAACGAAAAGCTAAATCAAACTTACACTTTGTGCGACGATATCTAGTGATTTAATAAGCAGTCACTGATTTCCGTATTTCTCCTGCTTTATTTTAATTAGTTACAACTTTTCATTTTCAGTACTCGAACGCCATTATCGGCGAGGTTAAGTCAGGGAACTAGTTTTGTTCTCGATCAGCTGAGTTTCTCATGCGATAAAATAATAATTAAGGGCGGCATAATGTTGAATAACCAGTTTCATCGAAGGTCAAAACTATGGCAGACCCGCTTGCATGTAATGTACATAGAGTTGAATAACAAATCTTCTGTCACGAAATCTTTTTAATGAAAGATTAGATTTGAATTTTAATGTAAAAATCATACACTGTGACTAAAAATGCTCGGCAGCCGGGCACGTTCTCAAATAGACTAATTATAAATGCTCGACAGTCAGAAAGTTTCGCTGAATGTCCACCTAAAGGTTCTTTCGAACTTCTCAAAAGTATCATGTCTTTGTTTAGAAATGTCAAGTGATTCAAAAATAGTGGACTAATTCTTCTACCGGGTACGGTCTCGAATGGACTAAATGCCTTGCAGTAAGAAATTTTTACCAACGTGCCACTGAAAGGTTCCTTGAAAATTTAAAGATGATCAGATTTTGGTATAGAAATGTCAAGCGATTCCAAAAATTAATTTGGTTCAATTTAAGTGGACAATTTCTCTAAGCTTGAGCATACTAAAATATATGTAATTACGATAATTTATTCCAGTTTTGCTTTTCAAGAGTGATTGAAGACGAATGACAGTAGATTGGTTTTCTGAACAACGGGAACAAGTCTCCATTTCACTTTTTTTAACCAGAAATTGGGTCGCCAACGATCCGAAAAATGAATAAATAGGTAGAGTTTACTAATACAACATAAAATAGATGAACAACAACATTTTGTTGATTGACTTTAGGTAACTCTATATTTTGTATAAATTAATGCATTCGAAAAACAGATTCCCATACGGCTTTTCTTTTTCAAAAAGTTGAAACTGGGTGACTTTGATCGGGCAGGCACTAATTTAATTTTAAAGTTACAAACAATACCTCTCGGACCCGAAACATTTGCACGTGTTACGCTCTGTCGCTGACTGCAGGATCTCGCGAGACAACGAAAAAGACATGAAAATGCTAAGAGATCGCCATCTGATGTTTTCCTCTTATCCCCGAGAAACGTCTGTGGATGCATTACGTACTGTAACCTGCGGAACAAGCGTAACTTTTTTCCGAGCTCCTTCCCTCGTGCGTGACCCCCGCATCGCGCTGGTCTCGTGCTTGCTTCCGCCTTACAAAGACGCAAACAAAGTCACGCCTGTTGAGCAGGCTATGCGTATTGCTGTTTCACTGTCGTAGATCGGTTCGCTTTACGTGAATGTCTATAGGTTTAGACTTTTTATTTACCGAATGAGGCTAAGCTACCTAGAAGGCGCAGCGTCAAAATGGTTGACAGCTAGTAGTGTTATCATGGGCCTCAACAGAAAAATCTATGTTATGATTTGTTGGAGAATAATACACCGTAATAGTGCTGCAACGTAACTCATGTCATACTGGTGTGTCTGTTGACCTCCACAGGATTGTGGGGACTGGTAAACAACGCTGGAAAACTGACGGTGGGCATGATCGAGTGGCAGCCACTAGAAAGTCTTAAAGAGATTGCTGATGTAAATCTTTGGGGAATGATATGCGTCACGAAAACTTTTCTACCGCTTATCAAAAGGGCTCGCGGACGCGTAATCAACGTGGGAAGTATATTGGGTGAGTCTCAAGTGACTCTATGTAAACTTAAACCTTATAATTACACTTGTCCAAATCATGACAAAAAAATAAATAGATTCATATTTACATTCGGAGTACCGTCACACTGACTTAGCGAGCTCTTTCTCCGAAATTACGGAAGGATGATTATCAGTCAAAGATAATGGCTGCGGGAAAGCTTTCAAAAATTAAAAGCAAATAGATAACGTAAAAGATTGTTTAGTATGAGATGCATATAGTAATGTTGGTCCCTTGACATTAGTCAAGAAAGGGGCTAAAATATGGCTGAAAGAAATTGGTCCTCTGTTTCCTCTCTTGTTCGAGTGCCCACTTATTTGAAGGTTGCATTGAATAAAAGAAACATAAGTTTCCTAGATCTAATGCGGTTGTGTCTTATAAGTTAACTTAAAACGGTGACAACCATTAGACGCAGAAACATCATACGATTTGCTTCCCTGTTCCTACAATGAAACGTTTTAGAAGGCGTGGCGCATTAATCTATAATTTTAGTGCAAATGATAGGTTCAAGTGTGAACTGCATCTGAGGTCAGAAGTTGGCATAATACCTAAATTCAGCTTAATGATTTCCTGCGGTTAAAAAAGCGAGCCCGCGACTGCAGTATTTTTGTGCGCAATGCACAACATGTCTCTGGTTTAACGATCTCTGTTTTTTTATCTCACAGGTCGAATTACTCTTCCTTATATGGCTGCCTATTCTATCTCCAAATATGGCGTGGAAGCCTTCTCTGATGCTCTAAGGCGCGAAATGCGCCCCTGGGGGGTAAATGTGAGTATCATTGAAGCTGGAGCTCACAAAACCAAATTAGTCAGTGGGGATGTGCTGGTTAATCAGTGGCAGTCTTTGTGGGACGGGCTAAATGAAGAATTGAAAGAAGAATACGGCCAGGAAGGACTACAGAAAGGTAAGATGCCGTGTTACGAAAAAAACTGTTCTGGCTCTTCCGCAACAAAGTGCAATGTATCTTTCTATACCTGGTGCACTCCATTCTTTGCTTTATTTTCTGAACTTTCCTTTTCTTCTTTTGCAGGTCTGATATCTTTAAAGTCATTGGACTCTGTAGCCTCGCCGCGCACACACAAAGTAGTCAACAGTGTCGTCCACGCCCTTACGTCACGAAATCCACAGACACGTTATGTCATTGGCTTAGATGCCAAGGCCTTGGTGTGGTTATCCATGTTACCGGCTGGTATAACTGACTTCCTATTCAGGATCATGGCACTTTCGCCGGAACCAAGATTAAAGAAAAACAATAGGAACGAGGTTGCAACTTGAGATCCTTTCCTGTGATAGGAAGTAAATCAGAAGTTCTGGATCAGGATCAGAAAACCAACAAAAGCGTCACGGTGGTTTTTATTGCAAGTTGGAGCAGCATCGTCTGTAGTGGTATTCGATTAGGCTCATTTGTGGTTGTTGTGACTTGCAGGTCAAATCGAGCTCGTTGCGAAAATGTTGGGATAATCAGAGATTTTCTAGTCTCCGCCGATGCAGATATAGAATTGGAACAATTTTCTACCACAGAAAGCAGCACAGCAGACAGCAATCGAAGACTGAATCAAGTCAAAGATAGACAAACTACAAATCTTAAAGACATTGCCTATCCATAAACATGTGAGATGTTGAAGGAGAACATGTAATAGAGGATTTACATGCCTGTAACAGCGTAGTTATCTGGAAAATTAGGTAAATTAGATCCTTCTCAAAATATTTAGTATCAACCTTCCCTTCTTTCAAAATATATGTAATGGCATCGGCACGTTTACTTACAAGAGAGGCGTACTGAAACTGAAAGAATGATTCAAGAAACGAATGAATGAACAAACGAACGAATGAATTAATAAACATTTATTTATGTATTCAGTAACGTTAAATAAAAGATCGATGAATAGATTTCTTAATTAAAAATGAACGAACAAATAAACTTTCCTGACAACAAGGTAGATTACATTCAGAACTGACCAGGCTATTTCTAGAACCCAGCTCTCTCTCTCCGTCTCTATTTCAAAGATATTCTTGACTCGACAGGGAGTGCCATGAACCTCGCAAGTTTTGTTACCTTTCTTCCTTCATGGCTTATTGTGATTATTATTGGAATAGTAACTTTCTATTCTGTAACATATCTGTTGCCGAAGTCGAAGATTGATTTAACTGGGAAATGTGTCTTGATTACTGGTTGTGATCAGGGCTTCGGTCGTGAAACAGCTATTCGACTGGACAAGATGGGAGCTTGCGTGATTGCAACTTGTTTAACGAAAGAAGGAGAACAGAGTTTGAGATCAGTTACGAGCGAGAGATTGAAAACTTTCCAGATGGATGTAACAAGCTCTGAGCAGATTAGAGATGTGTACAGCGAAGTCAAGAAAGAAATTTCTACTGGTAATAATATACTGTATTTCCCTGCTTGACGTTTAACTTGGTACGATTTCTAAGACATGAGTCAGATAAGGCCGAATTATTTTAAGGGTAATTTCCGCTTTTTTAGCTGCAGAAAAGGTTTTTTGTCGAGTGTTTCTTTTCTCAAATAGCGTTGCGTGATGATAGTGGATGTCACGCGACGCGTCACCTTTGGTAACTATTGCGTGATGCTTGTAGCCGGTCCACATTGGTACAAACGGCAACTGGCTGGCGGCCTTTTTAGTAATTCAACCATAATTCAAATTGTAGCGGTTATGCAGGCAAACTAGTAAATCCAGTATTTACTCCTAATAAAACAGTTTTACTTAAAATGATTACATTATTCAGAAATTTATTTTACCTTATAAATATTAAGAACCTTTTCAGAGAAGACTCCCTCAGGTGTTTTTAGGAAAACCTTGCTTGATCACACTTGCATGCTTCACGGAAAAGGAACTTGTTTCTAGGAGGAAGGTGTTGTATTATGATTGCATAACAAAATTACCTTGGCCTGACCTGTGGGATGTGGTTCAGAGTTGAGAGCTTTGAGATCATAACCTCAGCCAATTGAATGTTAATGACAAACCCTTCCTTAAAAGTCACTTAAAACGGAGAAAATTAGGACTTATCTCAGAGATACAGTTTGATCTGATTAGCCAAATTGAATGGCTTTGCGTACAGAAGGTGGGCACATACTATACCACTGGTTACTGGTTTTGAACAATTTTAAGAGCAGCATACATTTTGATCTGATTTTTCAAAGATATGCCCAAGAACTGACAATGTGTGGTTGTTGGGTCTGTAATGGAGGTTGATCCTCATATTTGAGAGAGATCTCATTTTTTTCCTTAGCTGGATTGTGGGGACTGGTGAATAATGCAGGAATTCTCTCTCTCTGTCCCATTGAGTGGACACCCATGGAAGTCTTCAAACGCTCAGCAGATGTTAACCTGTGGGGTATGATTGATGTTACTAAGACCTTTTTGCCTCTGGTAAAGAAGACTTCTGGACGAGTGGTAAACTTATCAAGCATGGCAGGTGAGGGATAACAGATATATAGTAAGATTCACTACTCCATTAAAAGCAGTATCATGTAGTGGATTGGTAGAAATTTTGGATTGTGGATTGCAGAATTGAGGTCAAGGATAACAAGTGGTTAAAGAGAAAAAAATTTGCACAAAACAATAAATAAAATGATTGTGAGGTTCACACTTAAATGATCATGTGTGGAGGGGACAAACAAATTGGGCATGTCTCTTAATGAATTGCTAAATCAAAGCCTTACTTGGCACAAATTCACTGAGGGAAATTACTTTGCAAGAATTTGAAAAAAGACAGAGTAGATATCATCAGTGACTGTTTAAGCACCAATAGATGAACAGCTTGTACTGTAACAGACAAAAATATTTTGCATAAAAAAAATTAAAACAAACAAAAAAACAGACATCTGACACTTATTCTTGATATGTTGAAGCCTAAACATAGTTCCTTTTGCTTGCATGTGGATGAATCAGTAGAAGAACTAATAGTAAATTTGACCTAGTTTTCAAGGTTACTTCCATAACTCACTCCTAACTGGGCTATTTGGAATTGTCAACTATGTTGATAATGTAAATTGGCCACTGTAAAAAGTTTCAAAGTTGATGTTTCAAGCATTAGACCTTTGTCATTTGCTCTGAGGAAGGGCTAATGCTCAAAATGTCAGCTTTGAAACTCTTCAAAGCCAAGAGGCCAAGTTACATTATCAACTCAGTTGATAATACTCAATAACCCTGTTATACTCTCCCACTGATGCAGCACCACATTTTCTTAAGATTTCTTTTCTTACCCCCTTTATTCATTGCTCCTAATTGTGTTAGTTTTATGCTTTGTTAATTTTTTTAAATTGCATACCAACAGGACTTATTTCTTGCAATTTTTTTGGCTCATATTCTGTAAGCAAATATGGTGTGGAGGCATTTTCAGATGCTCTGAGGCGTGAAATGCTTCCTTGGGGAATCAAAGTCTGCATTTTAGAGCCAGGATCATTTTCGACCAACATTTGTGCCCCAGATATGTTTGAGCGGCAGTTGAGGGAGGGGTGGAACAAACTGACTGATGAACTAAAGGATGAATATGGAGAGGAATACCTTGACAGAAGTATGAACATTTATACATTTCATACATCCATATCATACATTTTAACAGGAAATCAGAGAAAAAAATAGTGTAAAGCAAAGATGTTAATCTCAACTCAAAAAATCTTCAGGCCTTATTTCCACTACTGCCTAAGTAGTGCACATTACTGCAAGGATCACTTTCATTCACGTCTTTATCTGCAGTTCAAATATATGACTTTCATATATTCTTAACCGTTTATTTCATCACTTCACGGGTTTATTTAGAACCAACATCATGACCAGCTCCCAGTTGGCTTGTTAGCTCAGTTGGTAGAGCGCTGCACCAGTATCGCAGAGGTCATGGGTTCAAATCCCGTACAGGCCTGAATTTTTTTCAGGCCTTATTTTCACTACTGCCTAAGTAGTGCACATTACTGCAAGGATCACTTTCATTTAAGTCTTGTATGTCTTTGCCTGTGATTATGCAAGCTGAATCTTTTTTCTCTCTTCACCTGACAAAATTAGTGACTGAAAATAATGTGCTGATCACTTTTGTAGCTTAACTTAAACCTGGGTTTTTTGCAGGTATTGAAATTATGAGAGATGGAATATATCGTACGTCAAACATTAGCCAAGTTGTTGATACGATAGTGGAAGCCCTAACATCAAGTTCACCATCTGATCGTTATTTGGTTGGAATAGATGCAAAGTTTCTTCTTGTGTGGTTAGCACGGCTGCCAGCATCTATTGCTGACTTCATTCTCCATCTAGCTTTTAATCCACCTAAACAGCAAGCTGCATTATCTTAGAAAAAGCAAGAAGAGATTCACAAGCATCAGTCACAAGTCATTACTTGAATTACCACTGCGTAATTGGATGGTAATTTTGCTACATGTAAACTGTGTTTTAATTCAGTGAAAGGAAAATATAGCCATGCTACAAAAAATGGTCAAGTTAAACTAAAACTTATGACAAGACAACTTTGTTGCCTTTTCCCAAACAAGGTATTAATTCAGCTGTAAGCAGACCACAATAAAGGAGCAATCAAGACAGAGCTTTAAATTGCACTCAGCTAGCATAAGTCTCTTATGTCATCAGTTACTCAGGAAGGGGAAGCATGAATTGCATAAAGGTATAGAGTTCATGGAAAGAAACAGCCTATTTTTTTGCATAGTTTTGTTACAGTGTAAGCAACAAGTGTCAGTAACTCAATGTAATGTACAATAATGCAAAAAGTATCACAGAAAGTCAAGTAACTCCCAAGATCTCATTAGTAATTCTCCTTACTGTCTGCTAGATGATTCTCATTATGTAAGTTTGGAGAATTTGGTATCAAATCAATTAGTAATACCATAATTGATATTTTCTTTATTCTCATCACTTGTCTGCATGATATTGTGTAGATATAGTTGGGAGAAAGTCTGTCTTGGTCACTCACAGGAGTTAAAGGGTTAAGCAAGGGTAAGTTGTCTTGTAGGAGGACCTCTTCATTTGATTCTTGAACTAACTTCAATAGGTTATTGCTTTAAATGCTTCACTGCTTAAATTCATGATACTAGAAATGCTTTCATGTACATGCCCAGAACACATTTTCACATTAGAAATACATTGATTTAGTTTTATTTACAGTTCAAAAATGTTTCTTAGCTGAATTGCTTCTCTACTGTTCACAACTGACAAAACTCATCAAAAAGGGACTTCATGATTTAAAATATATTACATATTAATAAAAAATCAAACCTGGGTTACAGAGGTGGGAGGCAAGTGCTTTTACCTCTGTTCCATCGCACCTCCTGTTCTAAGCTGACCTTTTACAGTATATAATATTATTACAAACTAACCACTAAAAATTTGATTTTACATGATTTTTGAAAGTTCAGGAAGGTGTAAATGAAGCTCTCAGCCACAGACTAAAATAAAATATGCTACTGTAGTTCTTCTAAGTAGGCAGGCTCTTGTCAATCAAAGCCCTGCCAATCACTGTGATCCTCCTCCTCATCTTTTGCATGGTGTATGCAGTGTATACCCTCCTTCAGCATTGGAGTTCCTTTATGAGATCCAAGAACCCTCGCATGAAGTACAATAACAAATTCTTCCCCAGCTTCATTTTTTAGCACAAATTTGTCCCTAAGAAGACCTTCTTTGTGTGCATCAAGCTCCAGTGTGACCTCGTGACATTTGTCATCTCCTAAAGATTTAACAATAACAAAATTTTTTTAACCCTTTTTGCATCCTAAGAACCTTGATTTTCCAGACTCATGGGACTAGGCTTAATAGTTTGCACAATTGAGAATCTGAATAATCAAAATTATTAAATTTCCAACTCTGAATGTTCTGATTGATTCTCTCAGTTCTGGCTATCAACTCATATTCTTATATGGAAGTGCATTGTGACAACTGTTGCTGAGCTGAAAAAAGCTCTAAATATCCAAACCTTTAGGATTTAATGAAATTTAATAAAACACTCATTCTATTTGTGCCTTGTTGGCTATATACCATCTCCTATCCAACATACATTCAAAGAATAATCTTAAGTATGAATATAAATGCTCGTAGGTAATGGTACCAGAGAAGCAAGTCCGGATAATCATAAAACTTGGATAAGCAAGGTTTGACTGTATCCATATTCTCAATACTCTTCTTACATTTCCTTTGGTACTGACAAGGAGAATTTGTCTAACAATCAAAGCTTCTTAGGTTGGTGATTATTTTCCCTATTCTCATGACCTTTAGGAATGATTTGACACTATTACTATTAGGAGAAATTGAATGCTGGTCATTCTTGAGGTTGGAAAGATTAAATTGTAACTAACCCGTCATGCTGCTTTGTTTCAGTAGTGACAAGATGAAATTAGTCATGCAATAAAACTGGAAAAAAATGTTTCAAAAATAATAATCAGAACAAACTTACCTGGACTGTTCACATTGCCTACTGCTATGAAAGGTGTATTGATTATAGGTGTCAGCGAGGTAGACTTGGGTGAAATTGGAAGGTTTAATTGTATCTGATACTTGTGTTTGTGTTGGAGGAAGCCTAAGTGAACATTGGCTATCGAGTCTCCTTTCATCTGTATTTGAATTTCTGTGTTGGCACTGATATCCTCTGGAAAGTGTACATGATGGCCTGCCAAAACATAAAACTTTTAGTAAGAGTAAAAGCTATAATTCAGTAGAGGATCAGTCCCAGAGACACAACGGTGGGACAAACTGTAAGGAGAGATTGCTTTGTGTGACATTCAACAAGTAATTTAATCTTTAAAAGACAACACACTATTTCCTTTATAGCAAATTGTACAAATCAAGTATTTTTTAATTTGTGTACATCTAACAATTGGTGTAAGTATCAGTGTCATGTATCAGAAGAAGTCACAGAACAATTTGCTGCAAAGGCAGGTGGCAGTTAGCTGTTGGTGAGTTGTGATCTTTCCCAGTTTATAATTTGCATCTGACAAGAGAACAATCACGAATGCAAGCTATGATTGAAGCTTGGTCAAGTATTCCTCAGAAATAATAAAATTTGAAATTATTATAACTGTAAATGCTGAACAGAAATAATTTCTTGGTTCAAAACCAGCAATTCATTTGAGTTTTGAACTACAAATGTCATCCATATTTGTTTCAATAATCAGTTCTTCAGTTGAGGAGTTGAAAATTTTGTATCAGTCTTGAAGGCTGACATAATGAAATTTGATCTCCTTCATTTGAAATTATAATTTTAAATAAACATCCATTTAAATTTTCACTGGTTAAATCAATGAGCAAGTTAATGAAATGTATACCTGGAGAGTGCATCATTACAACTAAAAATGACGTCAATCTACCTCTCCTCCAAAGATATGCTATAATGAATTTGTTGAAAGAAACCAAAAGTAGGTCTTTTTCTTTTCCACCAGTTTAATTTATACATTCCTCAGCAGTCTTGATGTATTTAATAAATTATATCTCATCCAAACGTTATGATTAAAATATGTTATGGATGAAAGCTGACATGAGTTTTAATTAGAATGCAGCAGTAATTTCACTAAATGCCTGATATCATATAATAAGCTGATTTTTGCATACGTTTTATTGCTTCTTACTTATCACCTATTAGAGGACAGACGCATAGGTGACATTATCACAGACAACTTTTTGCTTCTTCATCATGCAAAACAAGTAGATTCCAAATTGCAGTCTGCCTTGTGTGCCACGTTTTTGTTCTCACCACATTTTTACATCATCTGTGATCTATTGTTGAAGAAACGCACGGCAACGTGCAACATTTTTGTTAATTTTATGTCAATGTGGGTGGTGTTTGCGTGAGCAAGATGCGTGTCTGGTCAAATTTGGACTACTCATGTATAACTAATGACAATATTGGTCTTAAGAGAGCTCTAGACGCAGGTGCGGGTTTTCGAAACATATTAAAAACGTCACGATAAAATGATACATCTATATGGTGCCATTTATCTGTAAAAGTTACATTCCATAAGGATCGATGTAGGAGAGTTTTCAGAGCCTTCTTGTGTCAAAAATTTGCCCAGATGACACAGTAGGGAACTTGTGATAGTTCCGTTAGCCGTGGTCAAACGTTAACAAGCGTTTAGAAAGAAGACCCTCACAATAGGATTTGAACGATCTTAAACGGAAAGAACAGAACCATTTTCCTCAACTTTTATTCATTACAGACACCAGCTGCAGGATATGGCTGACAATACTTAAGTATAAACTACATGTCGAAGTCCTTTACAGCCACTTACAAATGCTAATAACAAATCTATCAGCTTACCATCTTCACTGTCGTTTTCTTCATGTAATGTGCCATGATGGTTTGCTGCCATTTCTTGCTAATTGCAATAACTTTTAATTTAGACCATTAACGAACGATGTGATTCAAGATGTGCGTGGGAATAATGATTGACCGATATTTACAGTAATCACTCTCTCTTCGGTAGGGTAGGGCAGGGAAGATAGATTATTGTATCCTCTAATATCACCCCTATGGTCAGATATTGGGATTATTAATCCCATTTCAAGTACGCATGCATCAAAAATCATCTACTTTAGAGTGATTTTTATCTATATTCAGATAAGAAGCTCTTAACTAGAACGGAAGTCTGGAACATATCTACCTCAGCCCTCCCTAGTTACATCTGCTCTGTTTCCCTTCGATGCCTGGTTACTAAGTTTGTTGGAGAAACTTTGAAGTTGTGTAGTTTCAGGAATCATATGATGGAAATTGGGCAATAGTCTTCCAAAAGCGCTCTGTTACATATTTAAAAGGCGTTAAGTGATTTATTAGCACGACTGTAATACAGTAACGCCAAAACAAGGACAATATGCAACACGATGAGGTCGGTTGTAGGCTTATGATGAAAACACACGTGCTTCGTGATCACTTTGAAACTCTATTTGATAAGAAGATTTGTGAATGATCGCCGGTGTACTCCTGTTGTTTAAAACGTTTTTCGTAAATTTTATGAGCTAGCCTGTTGTTGAAGTATTGTTTCTTTTTTAATAGGTGATTTGGCAAGTCATTAATCACGGGTTCTGTTCATTTAAAGTAAAGTAAGTCTATCATTATTATCACGTATTTGTCTGTAATAGAAGTTTAAATTGGCGAAGGATCGCACATACTGGCTATTGCTATAATCTTATAGCATCGAATCATTGTGATAAACTTCAAAGGCATAACTACTGTTCTAATTTTTCATTGCAAATTAGAGCGGGTGACAAAGTTGCTTTTGTTGTTTTGCAGAACTACGACTCAGAAATTTTGTAGAAATGAGAATAATGTTACAGGGCTGTGCAGCAAACAGGCTTGCCCATTGGCAAACAGCCGATATGCTACAGTTAGAGAGAAGGATGGTAAGTGAGTAAAATCGACACTAAAGCTGAGCTTAAAGCAGATGTCTCTCAATGGAAAAATTACTTTCATTTGCTTTATGACTGAAGCACAGAGAACGAAATACCATTGTTGCAACACCAGGGTTGTAATCAATACCCAGTAACAAAGCTTGGCTATGTTGTAGTCAAAGAATATCGCAAATTATTACATACTAAAACAGGCTCTGATTAAGGCTCTGATTGGCTACTCATACTCTGAATATCCTTTTCTATTCACCTCAGAGCAATGCACACAGGATTTGAGCCCAAATATATTGTAATTGTGGCAAGAATAATTGGGTTAGAATCATCTTTTTGAACTTTATCATCTCACTGTTTTGTTATATACTAAGACAACTATTGGTGGATATTTACCTTACCACAAATATCCACCATTAGCTACTTCCACTTCAGTGAATAGTTGTTAATTAGTATAAATCCAGTAGTTTTCTATCACAGATGCTGCAATCTAATTGGCCATGCCACTAGCTGTATAGATAGGGAAGAAAGTGGGTAGGCTAACAGTGTGTGGTTGTAGAAAATATAAAAGAATTAAACAGCAGCTTGTCTAGTTGTTAAATTTTGAACAACAAGAAGATCCATACTAAAACAATTTAATTATTCTCTCTTGATTTCTTTGTATGATAGTTATTACTTTGGGCTTTGCCCTCATCAACCATCACAGAATAGAAATCTAAAGTTTGTTTTCTAATTGTTAAATGCTAATATCAGGAATTAACCCCAAAGTTATGCGGTGTGATCTGTTTTGTGAACATTAATCCGTGGTTAAAAGCCATTTGGCAAGGATAAGTATTTCTTTTGTTGCTCTTTTAATAGACTCCTTAACTCCAAGACACCTAAGATCTGATGGGTAATTCTCCAATCAAGCTGTTACCTATTTATTTCAATGTCAGTTAAGAGAATCTGGTTTTACATCAAAATCATAAGCTTTGGCTAGGATGTTTATCTATTCTACTCTGATTGCTTCTTTTCTGGATGATTAACCCTTTAACCCCCATAAGTGACTAAGACAGAATTTCTCCTAACAATATTAATACAATATCAACCAGACAAGTGATGAGAATGAAGAAAACTAACAGTTTAGGGATAATTAGTTGATTCAATACTAAATTCTCTGAACTAACATTATAAGAAGTGTATGGTTGACAGTAAGGAGAATTACTAATTTGGTCTGGGAGTTAAAGGGTTAAGATATATTGTGAACAAGGAGAAAATTATGAGAATTAGGTTTTTGTTTCTCTCTTTCATTTTTTTAATTCTCTGCTTATTTTTTATTTTTTTAATTGCACATGTTCTTAACTGCAAATTGTTTTTCTACTGTTTATAGGTGTTTGTTATCTTTATATGAAAACAATAGAGAGAGCCCATTCTCCTGCCAAGATGTGGGAAAAAGTGAAACTCTCCAAGAACTATGAGAAAGCATTGGAACAAATAGACAAAAACCTAATATACTGGCCAAACTTTATTATACACAAATGCAAGCAGAGATACACCAAAATTGTACAGGTAATCAATCATGAAGAAGTAAATAAGTGACATTAAACCCCTAACCTTTGTTAAATTCATTTTATATTGAATTAAGAGCAGTTTCTACATTTACATTCTTCATGAATAGCTTTGTGTCATGGTTCAACCTGAATGACCAGCATTATGTCATGACACAACTGTCATTATCACCACCATGAACAATTCCTTTTTTTATAACAATTTTATTATAGAAGGTTTTAATTTGTTTTTGTTGTTGTTTGGTTATATCTGATAAGTACATGTAGTATTGATGATAGTTTTAATTATAGTTGGGAGAATTTCAATTTGTTTATTCACAGAAGTTTAGTACATTCCAACTCAAACTAGAATTTATAAAGTGAAGTACCTACTCATTTGAATAAATATATATATGACTTTCATATATTCTTAACCATTTATTCATCACTTCTGACCTGCTCCCAACTTGTTTATTTAGAATAGTATCTCAGAGGTCAGTACAGGCCTGAATTTTTTTTCAGGCCTTATTTTCACTACTGCCTATTAAGTAGTGCACATTATGCGAGGATCACTTTCATTAGTGAGTTCAAATATATGACTTTCATATATTCTTAACCATTTATAGAAAGTTATGTTACATAGAATTTATTACTATTAGTGATAAACATATCATTTGATTCCTTTCCCAGTATTTGATAAGAATGCGGAAACTTAGACTCAAAACAAGGTAAGGAAAGTACAGTTTCCCAGTTGTTATTAAAAGTTTTCAGTACTGAGTATTTAACTCTGTGAGAGCGAAGAAAAGATGATGATTCTTACTGATTTAACAATCATTATTTTTGTATTTCCAGTAAAAAGCTGGTGACAATCAACAAGAAAGTTGAAAGAAGAGAAAAAACAAGGGAGGTAAGTGCAGTATCCTGTGATGCAGGGCTTGGAAATTAGTGATTTTGCACAACTAGTGTTGATAGCAGTTAGCTTTTTATTGAGAAAATGCCACTGGAATTATCATTTGGAGGTTCTGTTGGCAATTATAGCTCAACAATCATTGTGATGCATTATTTTTGTAATGGAATCCTTCCCCATGGGTTTCATTGTGAAGAAGAAAAGAGAGATGAGACACAAGGTTTTTGATTGTAATAAGATAAGTGAAGATGGAAAAAATCAGCAGTGAAATAATGCCATGTAACAGCTTACATTGTAAAGCATGGGACAACCATGTGGGAGGTTGAGAGTTCAAGCCCCAGGCTGGACTAACACTCAGGGTCTTGAAATAACTGAGGAGAATGTGTTGCTTTTGCTCTTTTCTATGACAACAGCAAATGATTATACATTTTAGTCTTCTCAAAAAAAAGGGAAATAAACTGAACACTAACGCCATATCCTACATCTTTTCTGTACTGGTTAGCAGGGGGCATTAAAGAACCCACATGCTTTTCACAAAGAGTTGGGTATATAGCTCTGGTTGTTGTTGTATAGCCTTGTCGTTGTTTACACAGGCCCCTGTTTAAACCAGCTTAAAGGTGAACTGGGCCAGCCTGTCTTAATATCACAAATAAACTCACAATTAAATAAACACATTCTTAGAGATGGGAACAGTCTGATGGTATGGTTTATGGTGGGGGGACCAAAAGTAGTAAAAAAAGACTGAGTTCACAAAGATTACCACTCTGCTCCTTCCTTAAAAAAATTAGGAAACTTGGGTTTTTTTTTAGTCTCCTAACAATTGTTACAAAACTGTTTTATTTCAGCATAAGGCTTTGGTTGCTGCACAGCTCGAAAATGCTATAGAGAAAGAATTACTTGAAAGATTAAAGAAAGGAACAGTAAGTAATGGTTTACTCAGACACAAATAAAATGAACATGATTATTTTCATCATTGTAGTTTGTATTTTTACTGGGAGCATTACATTGTAAAGTGCAGATAAACCAAATAAAATACAATAAATTGACTATGTTTTCCTGTAGTTTTACTTTTTTTGAACAAAGATATTTCAATCTAAGTTTTGCTTTGCATTTTAAAAACTTGTGGTAGTTGGGACAATATTTCAATTGAGGGTAATTTGTCTTGGTTATTCCATGAACCTGCTGACATCATTGATCTGATATCTACATGTATGTGATAGTTAAGTGACAGTAAGTTAAATGAATACATGTAGGTTAAAAAAATGGATATGAAATACAGTCTGAAAAGTTCTTAATTAAATATTTTTTGGTGCTTGATTATTTTGTTGGCAGTATGGAGATATTTACAATATCCCAAGCACTGCATTTGACAATGCCTTAGACAAAGAAGAGATAGAGGATGAAGAGGAGGAAGAACTTGAAGAAGAAGATGAGGAGGAAGAGGTATTGTATAAGAACAATTAATCTTAGCATTTGAGTGTTTTTTTGATTGACTGAATCGGCAGTTTTTGACCTGGACAACTAAAACTCGTACAAGCATTTGCATGGACTGGGTAAAAGACTAAGCAATTTTCTCATGAATGTATTGATACATTTTCAAAGTTTTTCTATGCTTTAAATGAAAAACAAAATTTTTAAACAGGAGGAAGAGCCTGAGTTTGTGGCTGAAGATGAGGTTGATGTCAGTGATCTAAGTGATATTGAGGTATGGTTTTTGTTTCTCTTTTAATTGTTGCCTTTTTATCTATTTGTCTTTCACATGTAATAGTGATCAATATGCAACTTTCCCTGAATTTGAAAACATTGTCAAGCACATAGGCAAGGAGAGTAAAGACAACCAGCGTTTTGAGAGAAAGCTAGAATCTCCAAACTAACATGAATTAAAAATGTATGGTGGCCAGTATTAGGACATGAAAAACACATTACAGAAAGTCAAAATGGATGAAATTTTGGCGGCGTGTGCCATTTGTAATTTGTACTTGTGTCACAACTTTGCCCTTGTGTTACAACTGTGCACTTGATCAGATGTGCATAATTTTTCCTTGTCCATTATTATTGGAATGATTGGCTCAATAGCAACCCTGAGATTTTTGGGGAAGATATGAAATGCATTGGGGAAGGGGAGCTTTGAAATGGTTAAACTGTCAGGAGATGCTGTCTTGGTAGCCAACCTTTTCATTTTATTAATTATTTCAGGATTTCCAAGTTGAAGAAGGTGAACAAGAAACAGAGAGTGAAGTTGAGGAAGAAGAGATTGAAAAACTCCCTACAAGACGTGCAGGACGTAAAGCAAGAGTAGAGATTGAATATGAAGAGGAAAGAGAACCTAAAAGAGCTAAATTAAAAGCTTAATTTGTACAGGACTTCAATTCAGATAACTTATTTTTAATAGGATCTCATCAAAGGGATGTCAGACAATACACATTCTTGATTTATATAAAAAAAGAAAGTGATTTGTAACCCTTGTGGTACCCCATCTTTGTGGTGAGTTTGTGAGAGGTAATAAGTTCTAATAAAAGCTGTATAATCTCAATTTTGCCATGTGCTGTCATTCACCATTTTTCCCCATCCACTCTCTCTTTCTTCTCTCCACTCCCACCATTTTTCACTCCCCTCTACTCTCTTTTCCCACTTCAACCCCCACCAGTTTTTCATCTCCCTCCCCCACTCTCTCTCTCTTTCTCTCTCTCCCACCATTTTCACTCCCCCTTACTCTCTCTTTTCCCACCCCCACCCCCACCAGTTTTCACCTCCCTCCCACTCTCTCTCTCTCCCCCCACTCCCACCATTCTTCACTCCCCTCCCACTTTCTCTTTCCCCACCCCCACTAGTTCTCACTTTCCTCCCACTCTCTCTCCTTCCCCCACCCCTATCATACCCTCCAAATTGCCAGTATACTTTAGCTTATGGGTTAAATGATCTTTGTACTGAAGTCAGTGCTGAGTTGTTCAAAGCTGGGTTTAAATAGTGTTTAAATTAGTGTGAAATCTGATCTCAGATCTGAAACCTTTAAAAGAAAATTCAGTAATTCGTTTTGGATACAATTTGATGCTTAGATGCTCTATGAAAAAAGGGAAAACTATCCCTGCTGATAAATGCTTTTGAATAAAGGAATAACAAAACCTAGATTAAAACTTAACTATGGGTTAGCACTGATCAGCCTCCCAACAACTTTAGCCTGCTCTTTAGAATTTCAATTCAAAATGGTGCTGTTAGTTTGGTAAATACCTATGTAGAACAGGAAAAAAGCTTAAATTTGGGACATGGTTGCATTATACAAAGAAATTTGTACACAAGAATGTTTTATTACATCGGCTTGATTTTCATACATATTAAATTATCGCAATAACCAGTTTTTCTTTATCTATGACTACCTAGTTGAGGGAGAAAACACTCTACACAGAACTACTGTATTCACATTACATCAGAATTTAGGAAAATAAAACTGTACATACAACTGTTCCATTTTGTAGAACTGCATGTACATAATAAGCATATTTGACATCTTTTGATTGATGTGATAATTGTTTAGACTGCAGTTTTTTTTGCAGAAGGTTGAAGATGCTTGCAATGGTCACAGTTAATTGGCCACACAATTCGCATGTTTCAAATTATTAATTCAAACTGATCAAAACAGCAGATATGATCTATTATAGACATGTCCAAAGAAACATATTTTGCCTAGGTGATAAGAAAGCTGTTAGTTGTGTACATTATTACAAATTAGTAGAACTACTAACAAAATTTGAACCCCAATGGATGAGTACATCTAGGTAATCTGTACAAGGAGTACTTTTGTATTGCAAATGCTTGATGATACAGTTTTTGCCTGCCTATTGTGGGACTCACAAAATTGTCAATGCCCCAAATATTTCAGCACTCCTTCTCTTAATAATATTCTAGCATTTCACTACAATTCCTTGTTTTCACAGTTTTTTTAGTTTCATAACCACACCCTTTCTACCCTGACTAGCTGGGAAATCAAACAAGGTGTCTTGTGTCAAAACCATATCTTAACACTATCCAATCAAAAATATATACCAAATCATTGTGTTGTTCCACGATATACTCAAGACCTTCCCTCTAAGGTGTTTTTCAGTTATGGTACCCACAACCCTTTCAATAGTTACAAAAGCCAGCCAAATCTGTTTTTAATTTTACCAAATTACAAAAATCAGCCAAATATTCACATCCATTAAAAACTGTATAAACTTATCTATAGCAGTAATCATTAGATAATTGTCAAACTAAGATCAACCACCCAAGAACAGCCTCACACAACAACAATATCAATAACATGGGGTCAGGAAGAACTCAAAGTTAAGACAGGTACAAAAACCCTGACAACTAAGTTGTAACTGGTACTTCTGCTTCCAATTGGTGGAGAGGATCATGCAATTGCAAAGTTATCTGAACAAATCATCACAAAATTACTCTCAAGTTATGCTGAAGTGGAGACTGCTTTAGAAAAACAGGGGTAAACATTACTGAAATTCAAGACCAAAGTGTAGTTTGATTGCCACTCTACCCACCTAGCCATAAGTTGTTGTAAAGTATTGACATTTTAACCATTCCTTAAAAACTAATCATTCTGCAATTTATTGACAAGATTTATTTACTACTTGTTTCTATGTTTGCACTAATAAAAGCCTGAGGGTTATAAAGGTCTCAAACTTTTTGCTTAATAACTTGGCAATAAGATGAGCCCTATTCGAAATCAAATTTCAAATTTCTTGGCACTTTCCTTACTCCAAAGCACGAGAGGTGATGTAACATTTGCGCATCATAGACAGACCCCTATTTGTACGTTATCATGCTCATCCAATTCACCAAAAGCATCATTCATATTTGAGGTTTATTGATATATCACTTAAAAAAAAGAGAAAAAAAAAGATGTCACAAAAATGTTCAATTATATATTTTTTGATATCACCAATTCATCAATGTACTAGGAAAAAGGAAAACATGATCTTAATGCACAGGTACTTCTCACACACTGTGCAATAGTAAGTGTTTAACAATTGTTTGAGCTTTTACCCAATAAGAACACATGAAAATTGAACTTAAAAAGTAATCTATGTTTAGGTGAAAGAGAATTAAGTTGCAGAACATAGCTCGCAGCAACCTTAGTGTGCCAACAATATTTTAAGCACATCAAATGTCATTTAAAAAAAAGCAAAAGACTTTGTCTAGTTGCTCTTAGAATCTGAGCCTTTTTCATGATATTTTACATGATGCAGAAGAATACATCTATTAATTACAAATTTTTATCAGATCACATTGCCAAGCACAATTAGCAAAAGTGACATTTCAATTAAATTCACTTCAGAGCTCTGTTTTCTCTATGCTAAGTGTAAAACAGCTTTCCATATTTTTTTCTTGGAAAAGGAGAACATTAAAAACTAACTAATGGTGTAAGACTTCTTTTTAGTCGTCTTTTTTAGTTACAAAATTCTTTGAAACACTTCGTCTTCCTCCATATTTGAAAAATAAGATGGTAAACTTCCAAAAAGTTAGGTTTATGCTAAAGTTAATTCATTTAATCCTTCACACCCTAACATCAGTATGCACATTCGCCACACTTTTCTCCAAACAAATCCTATAATAGTGACCCTTGACCTATTATGTTTGATTCTGCAGTGATTTTTTTGGGAGGAATTGGATGCTATTCACTTAAAGGATTAGAGGGTTAAGGGTTTTAGAAACACAAAAGTTAAGAGTTCATTCTTACAGCACAGTGATTAACAAACCAACCAAGCCTATAGAGAAGAGCTAAAAATAATCAGGGTTGCATTGTGTTAATGAGAACTCAACCAAAGTCAAGAAATGATGAAGCTGTATGCTTTGAGACACAGCAGTGACATCAGAGACACATCAAAGGCGTGTAACAACAATAATAAACACTGATATAAGGAGCAATCAGTGGGTGAAGAATCTAAATTATAGTTATAGTAATCAATCAACTGTACAAAACTTTATTGCCTGAAAACTGTACTAGTTTTTACAAGGCAAAAAGGGATTTATCTACTATTTTACAACAGATTTGCTGGTTTACAAATGCCGTCAGATTAACAATCAAAATCTCCCACATATCATTAAGGATATCCATTAGAGAAACCGAGAGAATTTCGCTTCTGGTCATTATATTGAACAAGTTTTGAGCCACACTGCACAACAGAAGCATGTCATGAATGATACAAGTAACAGTCTTCGAACATAAAAAGGGCAGGATCACTGGCAAAAAATTCCTTTCTCACAGTGATAAAAAGATTTTTCAAAAGTTGATAAGAATCCATTTTCCCATGGCATCACTACCAATTTCCCAGACAACTGGATTGTGCACCCTCTAATACCCTACTTTGTTAAACTTCTTGCGTGTGAGCCTTTGTGTCAAGCAACTTCTCTGTACATCAAAATGACTACTTATTGATTGCATGCTATTAGTTACAGAGGTAAATTTAAAATAATATTTTTATAACTTTTTTATTTTGTACAAACAGGTTTGTTTTTAAATTTACTATTAAAGGCCATCATCCTGCAAGTAAGAAAAGAAAAACAATTAAAGGAGTTGTCCTAATACTGGCAAATTATGATAACAAATCCTACCATTGAAAAAAAAAACCAACCAGACAAACAAACAAACAAAACAAAAGAATTGTGATAAGTTATATTTTTTATTTCAAATGCTCTTTGCTAAAAAAAAACTGGGAGAACATACAGTTGGTTAACCATGCAATTTCTTGCTAAAACTACAGGTAAGGAAATAATAATTTCTGCTGTTTCAATTTTGGAGATCGACAAGTAAACCATAAAGAAGACTTTTACGAACTGTGTCATATACATTAACCATGTCATATGGCAATTATGCAACACCCATGTCAACCTGAACATCCATATAATTCAGCAAAAATACTTGTCAATTTTTTTCTTTTTGGAGAACTACAGTATATAATTGCACTTGCTATAAATCTTGTAAAACTAGCAAAAGATTGAGATACACACTAACCGAGCCTGAACAACAAGCCACTCCTCTTTTCTTGGGAGGTTCTGGTGGTGCATCTCCTACAAGATCGGGTGACGGCACACCATTAACCTCAAATAAATTCAGTTCTTTATAGCACTCCATCTCGATCATCTGCAGAAGGAATTTAGACAGGTTTTTTATAATTAGGAATGGACCTATTTCAAAAATTAACCCCATCAGGTCTATTCAGACAACTGTTCTTCGATTATCACAGTCACCTAAAGTGAGGGACAACTACTTAAAATTCGATTAAAAGAATCCACGTTGTCATGCATCTGTTCAGTAATGGATCACTGATGCTGTCAAAAGGTGGCAAGAACAAAAAAGGAGCACAGCTGAGTGTATCTCTGATGCTTGTACCACATTTTGACATCTTCTGTGATCCATTGCTGTACAGACCAACCACAACATGGAATCTATTTGTTTTCTATAGTAAAAAAGCAAAATGTTGCTCATGGTGATCTCACCTATGTGTCTGTCACCCCATAGATCTTGCATAAGAACCAATTTAAATGAGTGCAGGGTTCAGCTTATCATATGATAATAAAAGACAAGCACTGAGTGTGTGCATGAACTATCTCACAAAGAACAAGAAGAAAAAGCCATGGGCACCTATCATGATGGGGTTAAAAGCTGAACTACAGAGTAAGGAGGCAAATGTGCTCACCATCAAAACCACAACACAAAGGAACAAAAGTTTGACAGAAGTACCTCAGATTGCCAAGGAATTGAAACTGATCCACTTGAAAATTTCCTATAAAATTCCTCATCACTTTCATCCAAACGAACGCCCTTCACAGAAGAGAACTGTTCAATGTCTAGGACATCTTTGCAGTAGACTGCTCTAGGCTAGAAATGTTCAAAAAGCAAAAGGTTAACTGATGACAGAGAGTTGTTTTCAAAAATATTGTTTGCTATGAAAAGATTACCTAAAGTGAGATCTTGTTCATTTGTAACCAGTGTGAAAATAAGAAATACATTGGTCCCCCATCAAGAGGTTACACAAGGGAATAAATTTTTTTTGTTGTTGTGAAAAAAATCTTAGTAGTAAGTAAATCAAGCAGTGGTCTGAAAAAGTTAGAGAAAGCCATTTTGACCCATCAGTCATCAACTTTTTCCTTATTTTATTTCACTTTAATCATTTCTTCTCTTCATTCATTCCTCTTTTTTTTTTTTTGGTTTTTTTTGCACATGCATGTCCCTATAGGCCTCTTAAGTCTCTGGTAGGGGGATAACAGGAAACATTTAACCCTTTAATTCCCATGAGTGACCAAGACAGAATTTCTCCTTACAATATCAACACAATATCAACCAGATAAATGATGAGAGTAAAGAAAAATATCAATTTGGGGATAATTAGTTGATCCAATACTAAATCCTCTGAACTAACATTATAAGAATTGCATGGTTGGGAGTAAGGAGAATTACAAATTTGATCTGGGAGTTAAAGGGTTAACCTGCAAATTCAATTACATTGACTCGTTCTTGTGAGAATGAATAGGTCTCCCTTCTCTCAGATTAGTGATTTAAAACAAGGATGGCCAGGATCGGCATTAGCTGATACTTATACCCACAGAATTACAGATTTGGTGGGAACAGCCAGGAAAATTATTTGGGGGAGCCACAATGTCAAAGTCAAAACAATTCTTCATGCTAAGAAAACCAATGGAAATTTCATATTAAGGATAACACCAATTTTTTTCAATGTAATGCACAGATTAAAATCAGCTGCTTAGTGATGCCATGGGTGGTCAAAGCTAGATAAGAATAATATTTAATGACTTTCCAAACTTACATCAGGTACAAAAGGAGGTTTGAAGATTCCAGCTTCCAGCTGGGGCCAGTTAATATTTCTAAAGAAAATATGTTTCTTTATTTCTTCTCCACTTGAATCACCACAACCTAATCTGTTAATTACTTCTTTCTGAAGTGCCTAGAAAAAAAGCAAATAATGCATCAAAGGAAAGCAACATAACAGCAAAATGAAGTTCTAAGCTGTGTAACTAATAACTCCAACTGATAAGGCTGAGCCATGCCGTCCAAATATTTTCCAAGAAAAAATAATTCTGTTCCAGTCAGTTTCTTTTACATCATGTCTTCAGAGTGTGAAATGAACAATTTTGCTTCTAATAAAAAAAACCCATTTTTCTGTCATTTACTGTAAAGGCTTTAACCAACACCCTCGGCAGTAGCCTTGATATACTGTAATATTAACATGATAGAATAGGTATCCAACGAAAGCTGAAATATCACATGCTAACCATAAGTTGAGGACAGTTTGAATGTGTAATATTATAATAAATAATGTACTACACAGCTTTCAAAATCCAGTAAGCGAGAAAATTGAATTCACGTCTCAAGGCCAACCAAGATGGAAGAAAAACATTTTAAGTAGGACAAAAATAAATCATATTTAATGAAAAAGTTCATCTTTGTTTTCATCTCAGCTAAAGCAATGATACTAGCAGGTGAGTTGCAATTTAAGCAATTGCAGAAAAGATGCCTGAAAAAATTGCCAAACAAAAAGGTTCCCCAAATTTCCAACCTTTGCTAAAAATATTTTTTTGTACTCCCTATGGTAACCAAAATGTTTGTGGCATGGAGCAGTGTTAGAAACTGTTTAGTCCATTTGGTCCTCTCAGCAACCTACCAGGTTACCCTCTGATAATAATTTTCAAAAATCCTGTGATTCACATTGCATACTTATGGGCAGGAAGGGGCTTTGTGACTGTTGTGTCATGTGCTGACAGAAGTTATGTTCCCTAATGCAATTCATTACAGTCCTCTAACATTCAAGATGTTACCTGACTACATATTAGTCTTGCTGATGAACTGAACTTTTCTGTGTACACCTCTTCGTCCTCTTTAACTCTCCGTTCCACTTCATCCCTCTTCACCTTCTCTTTTCTTGCTCTGAATGGAGACTACAACAACACAACAACATAAAATGAAACTTACCACTGTAACTTTACATGGTACTGGATCTGCCCGGCTCATGAAAAATTCTCCTGATTAAGAAGTGGAGCCCATCAAGCAGGTCTTGGTTTACTCACCTTTCCTTGAATCATCTCATAGATAAGACACCCTAGACCCCACCAGTCTGGGGAAAATGTGTAGCGTTCATTTTTTACAACTTCTGGAGCTGCAGCACAAAAAGGAAAAAAAAATTATCCAAGCATGTTTGTTTTGAAATCAGTTGCGAGAGAATGAAAGAAGCTTTCTTTGAGTTACATTCAACTGCTATCTGGCTGTTACATGTTAGCTTCCAATAAAAAGTGAAACTTGAAATGATTGCAACTCATTTGCACTTTCCTACATTTGATATCAGTTCAAAGTGTTTGATCTCAGAAATCTCTTGCTTCTTTTGATGTCAACCTTTGTTCTGATTGAATGCCGTTACTACACTCTTACACATCTCTAAATCCAAAAGACCTCCAAATAACAATAACATTTTTTGATCAAATTCCCCACCCTTCTTTATGCACCATTCATGTTATGTTGAGTATGAGAATTTCCTCTTCACTAAAAATTAATCTTAGTTGATAGTTTTATTTTTTCACACCACTTGTCTGCTTGACAGTAGGTTGATGTTTTATCAAGAAAAAAACTTATTGGCTCACTCCAAATAGTAAATAGGCTAATTAACCCTTCAACTCCCAAGATCTCATTATTAACTCTCCTTACTGTCTGCTATACAGTTCTTGTGATATTAGATTGGAGAATTTAGGATTGGATCAATTTATAATCCCCTAATTGATATTCTTTATTCTCATCACTTGTTTGCTTGATATTGTCTTGATATTGTAAGGAGAAATTCTGTCTTGATCACTCATGGGAGTTAAAGGTTTAATTACAAAGTGACTTATGCTTAGTAACAACAAAGGAGCAAACTTACCCATATAGCCTATTGTTCCAACTCTCCCTCGTATTGTCTCTCCATTTTTAATTTGAACAGCTAAACCAAGATCTGAGATTCTGACATGACCATAATCATCTAAAAGCAGATTTTCTGGTTTCATATCTCTGTAACCAAGACCAATAAGAGGTACATCATTCAATAATTCTGCTGTAATGATAAAACTGCAGACAATGTTCGATTCTATTTTCTTTTTAATCATTCTACATTGAACTTGTATATCTGATCTTTGAGCGCATTTGAGACTGACAGCTGAGTAAGGGGTTATAAAGGCTTGAAGCCTTTATGAAAAAAGTCATATTACTTCTACTGGTAATTCTCTTCAAGTTGGTTGCATTCCAGGAATATCAAAGAAGCTTAATAGATTCCCTAGACTACCTACACTACAGGTCTGTACCAAATTATATTTCCGTAGTTGATGGCTAAAGGAGTCTTTAGGACTTCTCAGTGCTGCCTTTCTGTTCTAAATGTCCATACCCTTTGAAAAACACCCAAACACCTATAGATAGAATACTGCATTTTAAAAAAATACACTACATTTTTTATAATTACATACCTGTATACTATTCTCTTTGAATGTAAATGAATTAATCCTAGCATTACTTCTGCAGCATAAAATACAGCTCTTTCTTCTTCAAATCCAGGATTACCCATGTTATGGACATGAAACTTTAGATCTCCACCATTCATTAGTGTTAAAACCATACAAAGCGCGTCTTTGGTTTCATAAGCATATGCTAGACTGACCTTCAAAAAGAACAAAGTTTTAAAAGAAAAGAATTAAAATTGTGGCTACAATCATTCCAATTCCTGCAAATACATGCAGATAAGCTGCACCTTTTCCCCACAATTTTTTTTAACAAATTAGGGTTGTGTGGCTTTTTTACATCTGAAAAATGTGCCACAAATCAGCAAAAATTAACACTATTCATTAAAAATTCTTTATGATGTATCAAATGCCTGGTTACTAAGCTAAGGATGCCTGAATGGTCGAACCAAGGATTTCCTGTTGTTTTGAGTAAAATTCTTTTAAAAAATCTGACTGGAAAGAAAGAAACACTGGTTGAATAGTATCAGAGTAAGATCAACCATAAGTCTTTGTTGGTACATGTACATACGATTTCCATACTACCACAGCTAAAATTATTGGTAAGAACTGCTTACAGCATTCTCAGTAAGTCAGTGAGTTTATGCAGACCTGTACATGTTTTGTGAAGCAACCAATAACTTTCTTAACACTCTTGTTAATAGTGATTTCTTTTTTAAAATTTGAGCTGCCATACTCCAGGAGTGGCTTATCTGCAGGTGCTTATTGTACAACTCTCAGTTTCCTTAATATCACATTAAGGTTTTCATTTCTCACAGCATTTCATGAGACAATAAAAATCATGGTTTTATAATTCTTATCATACCATCTGTTCTATGAATGTACTTTTTTCTTTATAAGATACAGGGTAAGTAGAAAGAGGATTATAAGCATGTGGGGGGAGGGGAAAAACATCTATAACAACTTACAAAAATAATTTCAATCATTTTCAGATGGTTAGAGAAGGTTTATGATTAACAACAGATTAATTTTCTATACTGGCAGAGAAAAGGAAGCAAAAGATAGTTACAATTGGTTTTAGATTTATTCAAAATCACCAACTTTTAATTTTATAGGTATTAGTACTCACCACAAATCTGCTGTCAATTTTTTCTAAGAGCTGCTTCTCATTTAATGCCATTGCTTCTCCTTTCCTTCTTTTTATCCGTTTCTTTTCTAGTTTCTTCATTGCATACATTTTCCCACTGATTTTGCTTTGACATGCACAGACCTACAATGGAGACAACTAGCATTAACTTCTAAATATCAATGCCTGGTAAAGATATTGATAGTAGTAATAGGATTATATCACCCCTTTTTCTTTGCAGAGGTAGTGGAAATTTTCCCTAACACCATTTAAAAGGACTGAGGTAGAACTTAAAAGTAATTCCTGGGAAAATGCTGAGAATTTAGAAGACAAAAATTGTCTTTGTTCAAAGGCAATTTTCTTACTGCTACACTTCAAATGTCCGGAGTCCATCAGTTTGTGGCCATATAGCTCCCACTCTAAATAATTTTAAAAAACTAAATTCCATTTACCTCTCCAAAACCGCCTTTCCCTAACACTCTGTAATGGCGGAATGTCTTCTTTGTAACAGGTTGTCTGTTGATAAACAAAATAGCCCAGTTTAAGAACATGTAGGAACACACTTACTTCTTAATATTAAAAGGTTTGAACCCAGAAGTAACAGTTCATTGAATGTGTAGCCTGATTCTTGGGCGGTATGAATAGTCTTCAGATGAACTATTGTCAGTATCAGTGATTGATATTTTCACAATTTTAGGTTAAGTCATCATCAGAGTCAAGTGAGAAGTTGTTTGTTGGCCACATGTTACAGGTAGGGTTAGTGACTCCAGCTTCAACATCATCACTGGCTATAAAGTAAGTTTCAAAAGTCAGCCATGACTTTAAGAATCTCATTATTGACAAGAGACTCTGCTCTATTTATGGCTTACAGTACTAGCCACTCTCAGTGAATGACTTTGGAAGCTGGGTTACTCGACTTGAAACACACTCCTCTCACAGACTAGCACTGGCACCAAACAAATACTTTCCTTATTCATAACCTTAACATAACAAACAAACCAAGCAGAATGACTTAGCTTTGCTGATGGATGAAAACTGAAAAATCACAAGTGGCTTAAATTAGTCATAATTGTTTCAACAATCAATAGCTTATCTGATACCCATGGGTGATCATTCTCCTTATTCCCATGGCCTTAATGTTTGATTCAAGAGTGATACTGTAAGGTGAAACTACATTTCAGTCACTCTCAGGGGTTCAAGGTTTAAGCAAGTTACCTTTCAAGCCACTTCCACTGAAGATACCGTGCAAAGTACATAGTATGCTGGTAATCCTCAAAAGGCTTTTCCCCTAAGAAATCCTTGACTTCCCTGAAAGAAAAAAAAAAGAGTTTATGAACAGTGTTGATTAGATCTATGAGAAGCATAATTATCTAGCACTCTCCAATAATATTTATGTCATTCTGTTTCCACAAGCATCTTATGCACTTATTGATACTTGTGAAAGGCCAGAAAACTTCTGAATGCCATGGCAATTAATAGACTGTTTGAGTTGATTATCAGGGCCATCACTACTTTTTGAAGTACTTGGAAAATGAAATGAATTGCCATGGAAAGGAAGTAGAAATCCAATATTCTTTCTATGACACAGTGAGCCTACCCTTTTCTTGGCGGACACTTTCAAGCTGCTAGAAACATGGACAGTAAGAGAATATGTACAAAACTAACATCTCATATCCAAGAAACATGACAGTGTTCAATAAAGCATATTTTCAGTCAAAACCTCAGGAATTTCAAAATCACTCCTTAAGTGAATAAGAATTTTGGCTGATGATGTTGGGTTTATTTTTTAATTCACAATTTTCCTATTTGACATATTTTTGCTATACTTGCTAAATCCTGTATCAAACTAGCTAAGGCTCAGACTCTTGGCAGCCAGTAGAGATCCCCCATTTTCATGTGCAATTTGAGAGTGATGTTATAAGGAGAAATGAGATGCTATTCACTCTCAGGAATCAAAGAGCTTAATAAATCATTTGACCCTCTTACAAACACCAATAAAATTGTTACATGTATTATGACTTTATCCTTTACTCCTAAGATCTCATTAGTAATTCTCCTTACTGTCTGCCATATAGTTCTACGTGATGTTTGTTTGGAGAATTTGGTATTGGATCAACTTATATTCCCTTAATTTATATTTTTCTTCATTCTCATCTCTTGTCTGCTTGATATTGCATTGATATTGTTAGGAGAAATTCTGTCTTGGTCACTCATGGGAGTTAAAGGGTTAACAAATTGGAGTAAAGTTTTATACTCTTTTAATGCAACTCTTAGGTATGGCTTTCGAAACCAGAAATATGCCTCTTTACAAGAAACAATTACACACAATCACTGGCAACACTTAAGTCAAGTAATTATTATTACTATTATTATCATTATTATTATCATTATTATCACTGTACTTGTACATGTGATTCATGATAGGAAAACAAGAAGTGAAGCTTTCGACAAGCTTTGCCACAATCAATAGCTCCACACAACAACACATGTCAACCACTTCTCTTTTACATCTGTGCTAATAAAAGCTTTATAGCACAACTTGTCAGTAATACCTCACAGCATCTCTAAAGAACTCCATAGAGAATTCTTCATCAGTAGATTTGGCCACTATGCTTCTTGTTTTTTCTGCTGTGTCATCCATGATACCAGCCACTCTTGGTTGCTATTACAAACAAACAAAAAAAGAATGCAATGAGATGCAAGAAACAAACATCTTGGTACTAAGCTGAGATTTGAAGATGTGCATCGCTGTAAATAACAATGACATATTATGATCCATTTTTACTGTTCACCTCTTGAACAGGATACCTTAAAGGTCCAGAATTTTTTTTTTTATAATGTGCAAATGTAAATGGTGCACAGTCCTATTAGCAGTGATACTGAAAATATTTCATAACCTCCTTGTCAATGGTCCATTTGAACATGCTTGTCAGAATCAGATACACGCAAGGTGGAGGTATCACAATCACAAATAAGTTTCTGTCTTGAACACTTTTCCCCTCCTCCTCCCTGGAGGGTATAAGTTTGATAAATAGAATAAACAGAGATTTTTGGGCAGCTGAAATTTCCCATTCTCAGATGTTTTAGAATTTCTGAAAAACAAGGATGTGTATGGGGCTGTGTCAAGAATGATTACCAATATTTAAAGAGATCTGATTAGCAAAAAAACAATTCTTCCAAATCTTTTTATTCATAAAAGTGATCCATATGCGATGAATAAAAATGTTTGGTTTTAGTAATCTAATTTATTAGAGACAGAAAAATTTTCAAGACATCCATCACTGATTTTCCATATAAAGATGTGAGGAAATTGGGTTAAGATAAGGCTCTGATAGCTCACGCTATGTGGGACAAAGTTAATGTATGTCAGTAACTAATAATATTTGTTTATACTTTGAGCTAATTTTTCTTTATAGCTCTAAACAGTGACCAAAAACCTTCCCATTTATATTTTCTAGTTGACCACTAGAAGGGTACTTTACATATAATTTGTTTTGAATTCAAAACAACTATAGTATCAAAATTAATAAAATTTCTTGAAGCATGACAATAACAAATTTTGCTTTTAGTATCCCACACACCAAAAGATAAACACAGCACAAAAATTCAAAGAGTAAAGCGCCTATAATAATATCAAGAACAGTTTCATGAAGTAATTTTTCTTTACCTTGCATGTCACTGCGCAAGAAATGTACAATGTATTTAAAAAACACTTTACAAATTTGTAGCAAAATAACTTCAAATCAATTCATTGCACAATTTCATCTTCTGAATGTAATTAAATCTAAAAAAAAAACCCAACAATTATATATATGGCAGCACTACAAATGTTAGGAGAATTTCTTTTCTTTTGCCATACTATGGAGAACATTCTCTAAAAGACTACAGTTTCCTACAAATAAATTGGTGTATATTTTCCAGTCTAAACATTTAATTATTGATACAGGTCTTTTGATGGTTCTTGCAACAAATTAGAGGTATAACCATTTATCTGTTTAACTGCACTACCCTGAGTTCATGCAAAAGCTAACAAGGAAAAGGCAGCTGCAATCGTAAAGCAAGACTCGCAATGCGTACATAGACAGTGTCAAAAAATATTCAGGCAATGTGTTGTGCTAACATGCTTAAATTAGCTGGATCTTTGAAACACCAAATTTTTTTTAAGTGAGAGAGGGGTTGGTAAGTTTCAACCAATTCGTGTTACAGACGATACACCAAGTTTCTAAAAAAAAAAACACTGGCAATAAGCAGATCCCTTGATCTCTCAATGATAAGAGCGTAATAAAATTCACACCAAAAACAGTGTCTGCGGAAAAACAGTTCAGAGCCGGTTTCTAGCATTACAATTTCTGTTGGGTTTACAAGATCTACAATAGTTGGTGATCAATATCAAGAGCACATAAAAGATAGCAAATCTTCCATTAAAGAAGAGTAAACAGTAGAAATTTGCAACGATAAATTACAGGTAGATGCGCTAAGACAAGATCTACAACTCGCTTTCGGCCAACTACAGTTATTTTGGTTAGATATTTCCTGCGATTTAAGAGCTCTACGAACACAGTTGGGTGTAGAGAAATTAAATAAAATATGAAAGGCTTGTAGTAGATTGGGGAGCTGTCAAGCCACTAGGGTTTCAATATTTATAAATTAAATCATCATGGATTGTATATACATCGTATTTCGGGCAAGAGAGATCATGCAGAGACACTGACGAATAATCAATCGTGATGCTATCTGGTTCGACACGAAACAACACAACAGGGTGAAATGTGATTTCAGTGTGACCTTAAATTATAAATGATTCTCTTCATTAACGTGCAAGAAGTGCTGTAAGTCAACTTGGAATTCTAATCATTTACTTTTACCCTAATTTTAATAGGTAATTCAATTCGCAGATCACAGAAGCAATAGAATTTTATCGAGGGCCATCGAGAATAAACCAGACGGTCATGATATACGTAAAGAACTTTAAAATTATTGCCGTGATTCCAACCAACAGAACCGTTAACGATCTAAATTATCTGCAATGAGCGACAAATTCCGCCCGAATAAATAAAAGAGAAGAACATGTCCTTAGTAACCCAAGTTCGCTGCTTACCGAATCCTCGGGAAGATGTCTTGCTACCAGTTGACGAGCCAACTCGGGCTTTTTCGCTGCTTCTGCTTTATCGAATACGTCCTAATTTGAGAACAAGACAAAAAACAATGATTCGTTTATCAAAGCTTCCGCAGCATAATTGAGAGCGTCCGCGAATTACGCAAGACTGTCCATGCAATTGCAAAGCGAGGTACCAACAAACATGCGAGATTTTCTGCTTACCACTTCATCGAGGAAGTCGATGGCTTGCTGAAGTGGAGCATCGCCAGCGCAAAATAACCGAAAGAGTTCTCTCCCAATGGGTTCCTTCTCACAAATTCTGTCATACGTGAGAACAACTGTAGGGAGGAAACGCACGAATAGTCTACCTTACTGAATTTACGAGCCATTTTAACCTAGAATATGATCAGGCGAACAGCTCATAACGAAAACCTGCATTCTACCGTCAGAAGAACTCAACATGAAAGCTTACCATCGTTCTTAATAGCTGCAGATATAGTATGATGCGGAAATTTCAGTAGTTCTTTCCATTTTTTACTTCTGCCTTTAGTTTTACCTGCAACACGGAGAAACACGTTCAAAATATTAGAATAGAGTCCTGTGTGACACTTCAGTTCGAATGCACGAACTCGACGAGCAGAAAAGTGTTCGAAACATTTGCGAGCTTTCATCCACCGCAAGGTGACCTATTAACTGCAAAATTCGAGGTTATACTCACTTTCTCTGGCTTTTAAATAAACGGTGTTAGCTACAATATTCTCTAGTTCCATAACTCGGACCAAATCATGGGAAATAAAATGGATAGTAGGAAACCACCCACAGTAATATGGCTGTCATGAACCGAAACACAAACGAGGCTTCTGATTGGTGGATTTGTTATAGATATATATATTTTTTTATCAAGTCTGTGCCTTCCCTCAAGTTAAAGAAGTATCCCTGCTGGATATAATGAAGGAAAATAATAATTACAGTGACGGATTTCATTCAATATTTTGCCTCTTCGCGTGCCTACCTTCTGTACCCTGCAGAGTAATTTGAAATCGAGTGTTTGAGCCGAGCTGTTTAAGATGTTTATCGAGAGCAGGTTCGCTCCAGTACACCACCCTTGACAACTCTACACAGTAATGACGTCATTATCAAAATAACCGGCTCACTCTATAGATGGAATAGATCCACTGTTTCCTCACTGAAATGATGCGAGATTAACGATGTAAATTTTAAGAGGAAAAAAATAGAATAAAACGATTACACTTATCTGACATTTAATGAAATTGCAGGAAACGAATTGTTAGGGAAACGGCTTTCAATCTAATCTGCAGAAGGAATTTTTAAAGTGAAAAAGCTTTTATATATTAGTCCCGGCATCAATTTTCCGAAAATTGAATTTTAGCAGTAAATACTTTTACTTTCTTGTCTGAGCAAATTTTCTTGATTTAATTTTTCTGATGAATTTTAGAAAAATTGCTGATGAATATCTAGTTCCTTTTGTAATTATTTGCTCGTCTGAAAGTCTCATTAGTAGTCTGAATATTGCTTTTGTCTGTTTAAAAATTAGACAATACTGAACACAAGGGTGACCTCTGAAACAATTAGAACTAAGGTGCAGGTAAAAGTGGTTTTTAAGGAATATCACATCGACGCACAGTCCGTAAATTAGCGTTGAAGGGACTACTATTAATTCCGTTAAATTTATTCTTTTTTTTTCATTTTTTTTTCGAAGAGCGTCGGCAGAACTAAGAAAGCGGAAATCAGGATAAAATAAAAGCGTACAAAGGGGCACTTTCTTTAGGAAGTAAAGGGATTCATTAAAATATTTAAGCAAGTGAGAATCATGTAAAACAAATAACCGAGATTATCCTGTTTTATTTCCTTATTCAGTCTGACTGAATTAAAAAAAAAAAGGAAAAAATATAGGAAACGAGATGACCGAGAGCGGAATAATCAAGCTATCCTGGCACTTTAGGAAACCTCACTAGGTTTGTCATGCTAGTTTCTCACGCGCGTTTGACTGACACCCCGGCTCACACGCACTGCCTAAATTAGGCGTAAGACGATTTCAATAGACTTTAATAAATGAATTAGGAATCAGGAATGATTATCACCATTTTTGTTAAGTACTGCAGAGACGGCACAACACAATTGCCCAATCATTACTACACTGAACGAGTTGAGAAATTTCTAGAGGAGCGGCAGGTCACCATGGCATCTCCGCTTTAATTTAGTTTCATCTGCCCGTAACCCGAACGGGTTTTAACGGGCGGTGGAACCCTTTCATGTGAAAAGGAAATGACTAAGACGAAAAATCAAAGAGGTATCGACTCATCAAATAATTAAAAAAGACTGTAACGGAACCGTTTTTAGCCACCCCAGGTGACGGAACAAATGCAGAATGATCGCTACAGTGCCTGTGAATATTCTCAAGCAAATTATGTGAAATATTATGGTGACCATCAGTCTTTATACTATTTCAAACTCTGCTAGGGACGAATGATTCCCCTCTCTTCCCCCTGAAAATCAGGTGATTCCCCAAAATCCACCCCCCGAGGTGATAAAGAATGACAGGTCTCTCAGGGATCCTAATAATCTCCTACCTAACTCCTATCGTTTAACCATAACTGACACCGCTTGGCCGTGGAAGATCTGGGTACGAGACTACTGTTGGTGTTTAACTGAATGTTACAGTTTTCTATATTTTGAGAATCTTCAAGGAGGAGCAACCATCAACCAGTCATAATACATTTTTTAAAAACTTACCTTACAGACTCAAAGATCAGGCATGATTCGAAGGATTAATTACAGGGTGTCTGCTGTATCGATTTATCTAATTTTAATTTCTTGTCAAGAACTTAGCTCCGTTCACTAAGTTTACTGAACTACAGGTAAGAAAAAATCAGTAGTAGTTTGTCTAATTATTTAATCTCTTTGCTCACTTTGAAGTATTCACTCTGTACAACAGATGTGCAAGAATGACCCTTTTCACATGAAAAAGGACGCTTGATTTTCATGGATTTTATGCTAGTTCATTAGATAATGTGATTGGTTGCTGCTAGGTGATAATTAGAAAGAGTCCATCAATTCCTGTAGCTAAAGTTCATTGTCTCTTGATAGTAAGATATATTTTAAACACCTGTCACTGGGTAGTAGATACACTGCTGTCACGCAACATGAAGTCTCCTACGTTCTTCTATAGTCAACATCTCTTTTTCTTATTAACGTCTTCCATTTCACTTTTTTTTAAATGATAATAATATAAATGATAATAATGGTAATAGTGATAATAATAGAGTAGTATAATGACATTAATAGCAACAATAATAATAATAATGATGATGATGATAGAAACAACGATGATGAAGATAATAGTTATAAATTCTCCTAGCAGGGGATTATACAGCACAGCGTTCATGGCATAAATATTTTTTGAATTTGTCAATAAATACCTTGGCGTAATCACATTACTTATCTCCAAGAAGAAAAAAAGAAAATGAAAACTCACCAAAAAAAATTGCCATTCAACGAAGATGTCGTGATATATCCAAATTTGGTTCTTTATTGCAACACGTTAGCATTTCAACATAAGTAGTGACTGTTGTTTTAAGTTCCTGAAATGATAAGACTGGGAACAAGCAATAATATCCTTTGCACCCGTCGGTTAGTCTAGTCACGCATCGAACTCTGCATTATCAGCCTCGAGAAAGACATTAAACAACCAGGCTGTCCTCGTTCTGTTCATCGGTCCTAAACCTTCAAGTTCAGACCTTGTTTACAATACAGTTAAATAATGTTGATCAAGCAGCATTCCTCCTGGTTTGGCCCATAGAGTTTATTACAAATTGGACCGAACAGCCCACTGTCTCCTTCACAGCTTTACCGACTATGTTACGCAACGCTTATTCCATTCCCCCACCTAACCTCGAAGAGAGTGAAGCGTTGCGTGACAGCCGTTGAGGAAAAAGGAGCTTCTTATGGTGTCACGATCCGTCAATAGTTTCTACAAAGCACAATGTATAGTCTATATAGAAAATCTTTGAAAAGGGTTCAACGTTCAAATACTTTGCTTTATTTGACCGTACTTGGGAATGCCATGGTAATCTAAGAAGTTTGACGTGGTCACATTTGATAGTGCTTACCAATAATCGCTATATAAGTGTGCGTGATATGCGTCTCCGGCCATGTGATAAAATGCTAAAAAATGGAAGTATTGTACTTGTGGCACACGCTGCATATAGACCGTGCAGTATAGGAAAGACGTCATAATTTTCTTCCAGAAAATCGGCACGATGCATCTATGTTGGATTCAGTATGAAAACAGGAATATGATGCCAAACGTTGGAAAAGAATTTTAGATTAGCTAGTTGGTAGCTATTATCTGAGAAAAATTCTCCGTGATTTATAAGTTTAGAAAATCTTTCCCCAACCATCGAAAAAAAAAAATTTGGTTTCCTATGAACAGTTGATAATTACGAACAATTATGATTACCTCTCGTCACATTTTAATTAAGTTTTATGAATTTTTTTTTTGGTGGTAAAAAAAATTGAGGTGGTCGGAAACGCATGATATTTTTATGAAAACTTGTCGAATAGTATCGTGATGCCTGCCCAATGTTGTTTTTTTTTTTTGCGAGAATGAGTTACAAAGGTGGACATCAAGTCTCGTTCTCAATAAAATGATCCAAAGTGCAAAGATATATGTAAAGAAATACCTGCTTTCCTTTCGGAGGCCGAGGCTCTTTGCTAAGACGTTGCCTCTTCTGTTTCCGTCGCTCTTTCGGGCAATGTTGCGATGTTCCCTATCTACCGTGTGAAAAGGTGAAATCTCTGAAGAGCCTTTCTTTCCTTGACCTTCACGCCAACTGTCATTCAAAGGATTTTCACCACAGCACCGTTAAGAGGAACCCTAAGCTTCAACATTTGCTCTTCACTTTTCGAGTCTCTAAGAGTTATTTGAACTACGTCGCTGAATTCGAAAGATGCATTCTGTAAAGCAGAAGTTTCAATGTTCAAAGACTAACTGATTTGAATGCCGCAAAAGTCACACATCATTCTAAACCAAAATGGTTAAAATGGCTTCGTAATACGAATCAAATTTAGCCAGCGGATTCTATTTTAATAGGAACAATGACGGACCCTTTTTCCAATTAAGTACATTCATTGATTTAAATCTTTTGTTTTTCATTTGCTTTAGGCCGTGATTTTTTGCTGTGCCAAAAGAAAGGAAAACTGTCCATTTCACTTTGAAAATCACGAACATTTATTTTTAAAAGTTTTTTTTTTAGCTTAAGGAGACGTTTAATTACAGTTAGTAGTTCGCCACCACCTTCAAAATAGTATTTTTTCACTCAAGCTGTAAAAATTGCACACGATAAATTGCTTTTAATCACAGTTTTATGTCACCTTAGACCGTAGCCAATCATGTTGAATCAGCGCTGCTTATCTCATTAGTTCTTCAATTGCTTATTTACCGAGGTAAATAACGGCGATTTATTGCAGCAAAGAAAAGCGTAGGTTTCGTACATATTTATTTCACTCATGTTGCAAACCTTTGTAGCGTTTTTTTTTTCTCATCGTAAAATCTCACTGATAAGACGTAAAAAGTTCCATTCCCCTCATCCAAATACGCGAAATAAAGAGCAGACTTAAGGCTAGTTCCTCTCAGCATGGGAAGAGATTGTGCTGCTGGATTCCTTGACCTAATAGCCTTGTTGTGGAGTATTCAAATAATGTAAGTGCAATTATATTTCATTTCAATATTTTTTTCCAAGATATTCGACGTCAAGTCGAATGAAGACCGTTACATTTTGGTTTAATTAATTTAGCAAGTCTAATGTTGCCCAGACCTCCCTGGACCTTGAGTATTATTATTCCCAGCTAAATCCGTAGTGCGTATTTGAAGAAAAATCAAGCAAGCCCAGGCGCCGTATGACGCCTGGGAATGAAGGTGCGCAGCGAGAAAACGCCCCATTGTAAGCCTTACACATTGCCTAAGACCAGGGTTCGTACCTAACAGACTGAGATTTTGAAATCATTTCCAATTCTACGAAAAAAGATTTGGTTATTTATTTAATTATTAGTCCTCTCAATTTCAACATTCTGCATTGTTTTGAATTGATTGATTTGGCGAATTGGCGAATTGTATACCCCTATCCACCCCTACTCCAAAGACCACGAATAGCCTGCAGTGCAAACGTATTTTTGGCGAGGCGACGCTTAGTATTTCTTCGCAAATAACTGATTTGGCTGCCATCGTGAATTTTAAACCAGAGGCCGAGAAAGAAATTTCTATTAGAGAGGCGGTCGCACGATTGCGAGTCCTCGTTGCTCGCTAAGTACGAGAAAGTTTAGTTGTCTTGATCTTAGAAGAAAACGACTGATAGAGATGGAACACTAGTGTGAGTTAGTTCATAATACACAATGTCTTCATAATTGTCGTTGGCTTCATTATTAAGGGGTGTTGTTCTATCAAGATTAAGGAAAAGTTGGTGTCCAAGAGAAAATAATAGTTCCATTATTTCTCTTGTTGGTGTCTTGTAAATATGTCACTTGAGATTGAATATTCCACAATAACAATAACAACATTGCGTGCACTGTCTAGTCTAGTCCCATCGCCCAGCAGCACTCCTTGCGAGCACCTTGTCTGAATTTCAGAACTTTGTCTAAGTCGACATCAAGTCGAAAACTTCCGTTCCGATCAAGAAAACTTTTTACGGGATTTTTTTGCAGTTGTAGAAACCATTACTGCCTGGTATTTGATGCCTTTGGGAGTGTGGGAAATGATTGGAGAGCCTCAAATACGCCAGTCAAGGTTTAGTTTTGGTCAAGTTTTCTTAACTTTTGCCAATGAAAGTTTTGAGAGCCCTGCAAAGTATACGAGGGGTGTTGTTTTATCTCGATAAATAGATTCGTCGCGTCAAAGGCTAGACATATGTTTTAGAACCGTTTTAACGAAAACAATTGATTAGTTTTTATCCATATAAAATTTAGCTGTTAAGATCTACCAATAATAAACTTACCAACAAGATCTGATACCTTTTGGGTCTAAAATCCTTTTTTAAGATATTGTCTCTCATAGCAAAGAAAAAAAACCCTCCTTTCAGAAAACGAAAATAATTGCTGCCTTTTATGAGAGCATCTTTTCCATCAAAACTCCAAGAAAGAAATTCGGAAAGAAGGTATAATTCCCCCCTTCCCATCTGTTATACATTCTACGACAACAACAACAACAACAATCTTAGCCTTCGTGTGGCTGTATAACGTTTCTACTTGTGGGGGAGGGTATGACTACATATACATAAAGACTACAACAATTTTTATTTTTTTATTCTTAAGATAAAAGTTACAGTTTTTTTTTATCCCGTAGATAGCTAATGACAATCTAAAATGGCTGGACTCGAAAATTACTGCACATTGATAATAACTTATGACATTGAAAAGTTATGAAAAAAAAAAATGGAATAAGGAAGAAGGAGAACAGCTTTGTGGAAGATTTAAATATACAGAGGTCTTTTACAGGCGTTAATTAAGAAGCGGGGGTGGGTAGGAGCCTGAGTGGGATATGTACCAAGAGATCTGATAACTTCCCTACGCCAGACGTTCCTGCCTACGCTGCACGTACCGTCGTCGTTGTCAACTTTTATATAATTATTACATATGCATAATCAAAACTCCCTTCTTCTTATAAAAAGGAATGGATCTTTAATCAGGAATACTTAACGGAGCGCGATCAGTGAAACGTCAGTGCTGAAAAGGATTTTAACATGGCTTCACTTATCATTTGCACCAGCTACCATTTATATGATAACTGCAAATCCCGTAATGTAGATATAAATGTCGATTGGTGGACGAGAGACGTAACCTGAAGTGAAAGGCAGATGGAAGAGGAGTACTGAAATTTTCTCTCTCCCACTCTCTCTCGTTCTATTTTTTCCTATGGGTCTCGTATCTCCCCGACCCTCCCTCTCTTAGGTAATCTGAGATCGAAGGTTGGGAGATTGTGTGACGGTGTTTCTTCTCGTATGAAATCCTGCTGAGCGGAAATGAGCTCAAATTAGTCCAGAATCTGTTAGAAAACAAACGTAAACAGGGCCACAAGAGTCTTTGTTTTGCCTCTGTATGAAGAGAGAGTTAACGAGGATATTGTTCTTACTAGAAATTTTTTCAGGGTTTTACAATCATTTGAAGATTATTCTTGAGAGAACACGTAACGTGTAACATGCTTAATAGTCACGGTTCATCAACTTTCGAGGCGTTGAGTTCTCTCGCAAGAATGTGTCAGAAAGACGATACTCCGTGACGGCCGAGGTTCACCAAGTATCACACTTCAATTTTCCGGGTGTTGGTCCAAACGGCTGGCAATCTTCTTCGGCAGTGAAGCTAGTTCTGAATGTAAGAAAAACGCTTTAGGTTAATCCCAAAGAAGATAAAATGCCTTTCCTAATATTGAGGGAGATAAAGGCAACCAACTTGCCTGCCGTCGACAAGAAAGGCAAAGGAAAAAGTGACCCGTACGCCAGTTTGGAATTTCAAGGTAAACGTGATAACATTCGAACAAGTAAACCGATTCATTATTTTAGTTTTTTTGTTTTTGCAAGGATCAGAATCATGGATTACATTTGCTCCCTACGAAGAAGGGATTATTTGTTGAGGGCAGGGACGACAAGTTTGCTTTAAACAAGAGATTTCCTTGCAAATCATGAACTCTCTGGGGAGTGTTCTGTTTTACTCGAACATTAATCGCGTTAGATTAATCCTTTGCTTTTGTTTTATTCGGTGCAAAAATTCTTCTCAAAACTTCAAGAATTTTCTTGGGCGTGTTAATTTCGGGGGAATTTCTTTGTAAACGGACCCGTGTTTAATCATAAGGGCAAAGAACTGCCCAAAATACTTTCAAATAAGGTCGAAATCAGAATGTTTACACAATAAGTTCAGTATCCTTCGAAGTTCAGAAACTCTCTGTGTCCTCCACCTCACCAATTCCAGAAAGCTATTTATCTGCTCTGTTGACTTCTTTGTTTGCCGTTCAATAATCTTACAAAGCGACCACTCAAAACAAAAGATTTGATTATCTTTATTTGATGTTTTTTCTTCAATAGATATGTATGAATAATTTATGATAAGTTATGCATTTCTATTGTTATCCCATCATGCATGAAGCGCTGTATCTTATCTCAGGGCAACATGTTTTGCATGATGGCCGCGGTTGAATGAAATATGAATGAATGAAGCTCAAAAAGTCAAAATCTGAACACTTAAGCTAGCCAAAATGCTTCGGGTTGCCGTAAGCAGTGCTGTTAATTTGCCCAATGTAGAGACCATTGGAAAGAGCGACCCTTATGTCGTTCTTACTTTCCAAGGTTTGTACTTTCCGTATTTTTGAGTTGTGTATTAACAGTCAGTGTTATTTTAACATTTTGCTTGAGGTGGGGCGATTCGCTTTTGTAAGTTGTTTTACATTGCATTGACGCATTTTAACAAGAAGTTAAGCCAATTCTTTGGTTAATTTTCAGGGGTAAAGAAAAAGACAGAAGTGATTAAAGATGAGCTGAACCCAGTGTGGAACGAGGTAGCACTGGTTACTTTTTGACGACCTAAGGACGGGAGAACCGCTAATGTGTTATTAATGGCCGCACGAATTTTTACTGTGGATAAAATAAATTTAGAGCGCAATTTTCATTTTAAATTTTTAATATTTTGTTTCTTTTGTGTTTAACAGAAATTTGAATGGGATTTAGGCACTCAGCCACTTTCTGTAGAGGAAAATTTGATCGTTCATGTCAAGGATTGGGAACGCATCGGAAGAAATCGGTTAGTGTTTATTATTAATATTATCCTGGCGTTATTTCCTGGTGATATTTTCTTACAGAGTTTTCTTTTCTTTGTAAGAAATTTTATAACTCTATTTTATTGCGTCGAATCACATATTTTAGTTTTCTAACCTGATATTTTTCTGCCTTTGCGGTTAACCTGAGCTTTTGTAGTCAATTTTTATCAAGCCTATCTTTTAAAGTTATGACAGGAAGTTTACCAACTTCTTTATTTCTACGGCATATATTACTTATTCCCAGTCAACCATTTTGATTGAGATCAAGACTTCGTATTAACTGGTTAAAATTGAGGCGATTTTTAATATCACAGGAAGTTTCGAGAACAAACGGAGTCTGATACTCAGAATTTTCACGAGTTAAAATAAATATGTGTTAAAATCGTTTTTCACGATTTTGAAGTTTCGCCTATTTATCACTTGGATCTCGTTGTTTTTCTTTTATTTTGCCGAAATAATCGAGCTTCAAGGCTATCTCTACCACAAGAAACCTAGAAATCAGCGAAGCAGTCTATCACTGTTTCTATTTATAGAAGATCGTTTCGCGGAAAAACCCGCGGTTTGGAGGGAGTATTGCGTGAACTTTTAAGTCGATCGAATTATCATTTTCGTTGGATCAGTGCCATGGCTTACATAGACTTTGTAATGAGTCTTCAGGAGTTTTATTGATGGCATGCTGTTCGGTAGTCTTTGGTTTAAAAACAGCGAAGCGTTAGTCGCAATTTCTATCTGCGAGCATTCGCCGCGATCGAGACAAGGTGTAAATCGAATAAAAAATATCGAATACATTTATAAGTTTCGTGTCGAACAGAAGCCTTTCGAAGTTTTAAAAAAATGTCACGGGGATTGAGGTAATTTGGACACGATGGACGGTATTTCGCGTCAGTACAAAGAAATTAAATCTTTATGATTTATTTTTCGATGCACTGTAGACTTAATCAGTCGCTTTAGTTTTTTGCCTTCTTTCTTTTTTATCTCCCAGGTGATTGGCGTTTTCGCTTTCCGTCATATGTAGAGACAAATTAGCATATTTTAAAGTTTTGTTTATTCTCGGCAATCAATTTTTTTTCTGTTGTGTATAATTTTAAAAACTATCGCAGCAGCTGTGATATTTTTTAATAACCTTCGGTAGGAAAAACATTTTCGATGCAACATTTAACGTTTTCAGTTAATCTTGATTGCTATTTTTAAGAATCACGTTACGGCGGTTCCCACGATTAAACCGCCCTCATATTGACGATATTTGTTCGGCTCATAATTTATTCAAACCTACTATTCACAAGTGGGAATTTTTTTCGTAAGGTTAATTACGCAGAAAGAGAACTTTGATAAAAGTTTTCCATGTAATACGACTGATAAATTCTAGCAGAAAAAAAAGGAATGAGAATTTTGTGAATTCTTGCGTTTTAAGTCTGAATGAAATAAACCTGAAATGTGAATAATCTGTTTGCATAAACTATGACGGAGAGCTGTCAGAAATAATTATTGAGATCAAACATCTCTCAATTTGTCATTAATGGCTAAACCTGACAGGGTGCTTGGAAAAATTTTGGAATTAATATTTAATCAGATTTGTCATTTATATTTGATTTTTTTTTCACTTTCGTAAGGATAAGGGTCCTTTAGTAAGGTACAAAACCACCTAAAACTGTCTGGCAGCAATTGCTATTTATACTATTCTCACTGAGATAAATTTTTAGCATGTGCTTTTTTTTCTTATCTAAAAGAGCATTATTTGATATGACCTATTGATATGAATAACCTTTATAGAAGGCATATGTTTTGGATAAAAATTCACTTCTGAAATCTGAATTAAGAAATTTGTGAGTTCCTTGGGCATTATATACATGTCCACTTCAAATTTCAAAATTATTTATGGTTGAAATAGAAGAATTTTCACCCATGTGTTATGATAAATAAATACTCTATTGTAATAAGGTTAACCTCTAAGTAGCCCATAATTAAGGTTTCTCAAGGGTATCAGGTGGCACCCACACTGGAATGGCTTAATAGTTAACCCTTAAACTCCCAGGAGTGACCAAGACAGAATTTCCCCTAACAAAATCTATACAATATCAAGCAGACAAGTAATGAGAACAAAGAAAAATATCAGTTAGGAGATTGAGTTGATCCAATATCAAATTCTCCAAACTAACATCACAAGAACAGTATGGCAAACAGTTAGGGTTAAGCAATTATCAGGACTGTTGATTAAGGGGGAATAATAGAATAATTATGCAAGTCCTTGGCCTATTCCAAACATGTTGCTTCTACTAAGATTAATTTGAGCTGGTAGTAGCATAAACACTGCAGTGGTTTTGAATTGTCAAATTAATTAATGGGAATGTTATGAAGTTTGGCCAATATCAATTCCCTTTGCAAAAATGAATTTTCTAGAGCATTGTTCTACTACTGTGCTGAAGTCAAATTTAATTCTTGAATGTTGATCAGCACAGCAATAACATGTAAGGTGTGGAACAGGACAAAGACATCTTCCCTCTCAATATTCCCCTAAGTGTGCAAAATGCTGACTAGCGGTTCCCTTGCTTTTATTAACAATCATATAAATGGTAAAGTAAACAACAATGAAATTTCCAAATACTAATGTGAAATAACTCAGCAGGCAGAATTATGGGGTGAGGGAATCCATTCTGTATAGAGCTCTGAGCCTAATGGAAATATCTTTTTTCAAGAACAAAGAAGGAGATATTTTATTTGATCTCAAAAGTTTGATTCAAAGGGTTCTTAAAAATTTAACTTGACTGTGTACTTGTATATTGAAGGGAAAGGGGTAGTTCTTGGGTGTGACTAGCTTCCTCCAAATCTGGTTAAGTTTCCAGTTTGATTTCAAGGTTAAGGTAATTTTTTTATCGGTCATGACCTCTCTTTAAACAACTTATTTTATGTAAGGCTTCTTGGCACAGCCACCGTCCCCCTGAAAGACCTTGTCAAGGACAGTAGCCATACCATGCAGGCTGATGTCAATCTGCTAGATGGTAGTAACAGGATGACACAGGTGAGTGTTTGTTTTGCATTATAAGCACTTTGTTAAGAACTTGTAATGAGGTCTTGGGGAGGGGGAGGGGGGTGATATCTCAAGAGGCAAGAGATTGGGACTGGAAAGGGAAGAGAAAAGTTCAGTCAGATATATCAGCAATAAAAATAATTGTTTCAAAGCTAAATCATTATTACCAATCAATATAGACTTGTTCAGCAGGATAAACATATAATTATTTTATGGGAGGTAACCAATTTAATACTCACTTGTATCATTTCTTTGATTCTTTTGGCATTTTTTTCAAGAGATGGTAAATCAAAAAATATATGTACTATTGTACTATCTCTGTACATTTTCTTGGAAGATCTATATCTGGAAAGTCAAGGCTGTCAGCAGTTGCAATCAGTTGATATTAATTATCAGTCATTTACTTAATGCAATTTCCCCTCTCTTAGGTGAGGTTTTTAAAACATTTTTTGATCACTGAAATAAGCTCTCCTCTTCCTCCCTCATCTATTGTGCACAGCTCAATCCTAAAACTTGCTCCTCTATCTTTATTCTCAAGTAGTAATCTCCAAATGTAATTGCTTTTACATCATGGTGACTGTATTCTTGAGACATGTTGTACAGAAAATTTGATTAATAAACAGATGTAGTTTACCAATTTTGTGGGTGGAATTAATTTTTTCTCTTTCTTATTTATGCAGGCAAAGTTGTCTCTGCGTTTGGAGTATATTCCTCCCAAACCAGCCAAGGGGGTTGAAGGAGACATCATACCAACAGACGAAACAGATCTGGGTACAGAGCAAGGTGATGAATTTGGATTAGAAGAAGAAGGCATGGATGATGTGGAAGGAGGAGGTGCTGAGGGTGTGAATGATGCAGTCAGGTAATTATGAACTCAAACCTTTAACTCCCATGAGTGACCAAGACAGAATTTCTCCTTACAATATCCATACAATATCAAGCAGACAAGTGATGAGAATAAAGAAAAATATTAATTAGGGGATTGTAAGTTGATACAATACCAAATTCTCTAAACTAATATCATAATAAGAACTATATGGCAGACAGTAAGGTGAATTTTGTAGTTTTAAGTCAGGCTTGTAACTCGTGACAGTATGCTTTAGTGAAAGCTTGGAGATAGAATTTTAAGAGGCAAGGCAGTTGTTACAGACATTAACTGAACCTGCATAGCACAACCCTTGGCTCCCGAAGTCTTCACAGCAATTTATTATCAGCATGTAATTTGTGAATTTCAACACAATCTCAGCACAACAGTCAAACTAAAGAGAATCTAAATAGTAGAGAAACAGCTGCAGACTTCTTTCTTTATTGTGAAAGCATTAAATTCAGGAAACTTGATGCAAGGACTTGTTTAGCTATATGATGTAGGTGACTGAACATGTCACTGGTAGCTTCTACCTTTTTTCATGCTTGCATCTTATTTCAGTATTAATTGTTATTTATGAATAATTATTTATAGTGCTTCCTTACATTTCACAGGAAAAAGCGTAGAAGGAGAAGAACTGCCAGGCACAAGTTGTCCAACAAACCTCAAGACTTTCAGGTAAGAATTATCTCATTTCAGGTTTCCACCAAATGGTAACATTAGTCAGTGGTAATGTTTTATCAATAGTGGTCCAATGTACTAGAAAATTTGGTTAGACTCTCTGTAATAAAGAATTGAGGGCTGATTAACATTCAAAATAATTTGATGTATAAGAAATTGTTGAAGCTATAGGAAACATATCTATTTCTTGAGGAATATTTCTCAAGGATATACTCTAGACAAATAAAATAAGAGAACATGTACACTGTTTTAGGTTAAAAATTCAAATTAAATTAGGGCATTGATTTTTCCATGTACATTGGGCATGTAAGTACAAATGCCATCAGAACCATTCTGGTTTAATATTCAGTCTGGATTGTTTACTGAGATGTTCTGCTGATAGAGGAGTGTATTTGATGGCAGTTGTATCAGGAGGAAAAGTAAGATTTAACACGTATGTCAAACTGTTTCAGGTTCGTGTACGAATCATGGAGGGTCGCCAGCTGTCTGGCTCCAACATAAGTCCTGTTGTCAGAGTTCTAGTTGCGAACCATACTCGCCAGACAAAAGTCAAACATTCAACAAACAAGCCCTTCTATGATGAGGTGAGCTTTACTGCTTTTCTCAGATTCATTTATCTCTAGTATTACACACTGTATCTAGAATAAGCTGACATATAGGTACTTAGTGTTTCAAGTTTTTGTTTCATAATGTTGTCAATAAAACTTGGAACATGAATGTTTACAGCTTCCTTTTCCACTTTGTATCCTGATGTAAGGAACAAGAATTGAATGATCAGTTTTGACTTGTCATAATACAAAACCTCCTTGTGCTTCACAATTGTATTTAATTTAAATTAAGTCAATTTATTCTCTTATGTTTTCTCTTAGACATTTTTCTTCAATTTTCAAATGTCACCATTGGAATTATTTGATGAAATAATCAGCTTTGAGGTGAGCAATTTACAAAAGGTTGGAAAATAAGATATAGCAGCAGAGCTGTCATATCCAAGTATCAGTGATTGAAGAATAATTAAAATGTGAGATAGCCTTTTTTGATGTCAATTTTTTCATGTAATTGTAACTTCAACAGGTTTTTAATTCAAGAAAACTGAGAGCCAATGCCATGATTGGTTACTTTAAGGTAGGCTGAGTCTTCACTTCTAGATCAATAAAGAACAGTATGATGCACCTACTATGTACATGTACAGTTGATCATGTCTTCTGATCATCTAGAATATAGTACTCCAAAAGACTGATATCGGTGACTGTAAAATATGCTGATTAACTGCTGTATTTTTGAAAATGAGACTCCCATAATTCTTGCACAGTTTTGTTTCACATGAGGGTCCAGATTTTAAAAACTAGATTGGTTCAATACAGAAACTTAATCTTAATTACTATAAGCTGCATGGCAGTTAAATTTAAAGAAGTGTTATTCTGAGTTTAAAAATTTTTTTTTTGAGGAAAATTTGCACTTTTTCATATGATTGAAATTAGGCAGTAGGAAAAGAGAGAAATGAATTAGAATTTAATTTCCAATTTTAAGAAGGTAATGTAAAAATATTTGTAAACCATGAATGCACTAAATTTTCTTTCTCTTCTTTAGAGTGACATTGGTTTTTTCTATGATGAGCCATGTAAGTACCTATCTTGATAAAAATAATTTTATCATTATGATAATTACAATTATTCTTATCATACAAGTGTTGATTAAATATGAAATAGTATATCTGATAATGAAATGTCTTAAAATCAAAACCATAGCCAATCAGAAAAAATTAGATATGAAATGGTAAATAGCTAATGAGGTGCATAGTGCCAAGTTAGCACAAAAGGTATAATTGCTTAAAAAAATTTCATTTAATCCTGGATGTCTATGGATATCACACAGAGGCTTTCAGAGTAAAACTAACAAACTGCCTAAATTGTTGGTGACCAAGTCCCAATTGGTTTTAGTTTTTCATCTGAGCAAAAGGGGATGCAAGATTTCTTGACCACTCCCAGAGTGCAGTGAAGCAAACCAATACAATCCAGGATTTCTTTCAAAGGTCAACTGAAATTGCAAAGTTGAAAATTGCTCAATGGTAAAGTTTTTAACATTGTTGGAAATGCACCCCCCTATTTTCATAATTAGGGAATCCCTCTTTTTAACTTACTTAATGGACAGGGGAAGTGTGGTTTGTAATGAAATTACTTTTGTCATTAATTCTTCACTATTCTTGTTTTCACAGCCCATGCTGTTGTACGGAAATGGGTTCTACTCACTGATCCTGATGACAAGATGGCTGGGGTTAAGGTAAGAAAAGAAAGCTGTGGACACATGTAAAAGGCTATTTTGAATACAAAGCAAACTTTTACTCTTCAGCTTCTTAGGAAATTGTTGTTTGTTTCAGTAAGCAGGTAAATTTTTCTTACATCTATTTTTAATTATTGTTATCTATAGGAGTAGATAAAGGTACAATGTAGATAAACAAACTTAATGAGTATTAGAAGTCTGACATTTTGAGTGTTAGATGTAGATTGGAGGAAAAGAGTTAATCATCTTAAGGTTTGGTACACAAGGACCGAGTTGCAGTGACTGTGCATGACTTGCTGTATTCTTTATAATATAGATCAGAATACAAACTCATTCCATGTTACAGGACCTGCCTGTAGTTCATGGAAATCAAATGTAGGACTGTGTAATGAAACATGGATTGAAAAATTATAATAGTCATGACACTGGTAGTGATTAATAACATATGCTAATGTATTGGTAAATACATGCAGTATGGAATGTATGAACATCTATTAGTCAATTGAAAATTGTCTCACTTGTTTATACTTGTTTATCTGTATTCTACTGAGGAGATTAGGATGTTGTTAAAGGAAAACAGAATTCAAGTAATTTGACCTCTTACAATACATGGTAGTGCTTCAAAGTAATTTGTTTGTAGGAATTCTGCAGAAGTTTTTAAGTTGTGCTTATATCAGCAAATAATTTAAGATAGCAATACAGATACGTAAAAGTATATATCAATTGATATTAATGCATAATTACACAAAGTTAGAAAAATACCAGTAATTGAAGTGAGCAGGGTTGGAGATTTTGCACATTGTTGGCTTCTGCTTTGAGAAACTAAAAAAGATTTGAGTTCTTTATCTTATTTTTTTTTTCAACATCTAATATTTAGATATATCTTGATTGCATGCATTATATAATATACATCATTCACTGAATGAAACATGTACAAACAAGTATGGTTTCTAAAATTGTTGTGTACTAGTGTTGATTTATATGTCAATGTATTAAAGGCAAGGGTACTCGTAATAATGATTCTCAAGGCTTAAGGGGAATTTTTGACTCCACTTGACTTTCCAGATTGTGAGTTATTTAGTGTGCAAAGTATCAAGCTTACTCACTTTAAGGATGTAATGATCGTCAAGTGGGACAAACTGCCATGCAGATTCAATTCTTCAATCAAACAATGTGGCAAATAATCAAGATGATGAATACTTTTTAGAATTTGCTGAAAAGAAACGACATGCACCATTTATCAGAAGTGCTTACAAGTGCAAATGAACAGAGTATGCTGTAGGAAAATGGTGTATTTTATAACTGGCCTACAGCTTTCATATGTTAAATATTGCTTTCCATGTATCAGGTGTTTTACTGTAAGGTGGTATCAGTGAGTTTTAATGCTTGCACTTATTATGTAAGTGACTACTTAAAATGTCAGGATGAAGATGAGGATGATGAGCAGCCTGACACAGGAAAATCACGTGGGGCATCTGGACGGAGAAGTGGTGGAATTCCAGCAGTAAATATCCTGCTATTTGTGTTTATGACAGCATGATACAGCACAATTTCCTTTTTACCTTCTTTTCAATAATTTTTTTCATTAAGTCATCTGCGACAAACTATGTGAATAAGATGTTTTTAATGATCTTGTTTACAAATTTTTGAAACTTAAATTATTATTGTGGGGACTTTTTTAATTAAAATAAAAAAGTGATAAAACATATTTTGTACTTGAGACAAAAATGAAGGCTAAAATGTTATTCTGAAGGTAACTAGTGTCAATTTTAAACTAGAAGGCCTATTGACCTTTAGAAATTGAAATTAATTTTAACTGTTGAATTGAAATAATAGGCATCCATTATATTGAGGAATTCTTTGTGCTTCAGACATTTTAAAATTTGTGTGCCATGATTTTCATCAAATTTACCAAAGGAAGGTAAAAATATTTTCATTGATATACACAAAGGTTTCAAAGGAGGAGAAGTTTTTTTGGAAAGTGCAGTTAAAATACTACATGAAATAGTTAAATGAAATAGGGTGAATGTTCTACTCAATGTTAATTGTTATGGAAATCCAAAGTAAGATAAATTTTTGATCTGAAAAATTGCGGTGAATATAAATATCAATTACATGTATGGAATGCCCTAAAAATTAAAAGCGAGAGTATATTGTCTAAATAAAATACATTTGATCATTTTAATGTGCATCTTATCATTACTAATAGCTGTTACAAAAATTTTTGTGAAAGTTTTGTGGGTAAGTGATCATTGATAGAAAATAAGAAATAATATAATGATAATGATAAATGGATTGGTTTAAACTTGCAATTATTCAACCAAATATTAATTGATGAACTCACTGGCACACCTGGCTAGATAGACATTTTGATGTAGACTGTAATGATTAATTTAACCTTTGTAAATGATTTAATTGAGCATTGATTTAGACCTGGTTTCCTAAATAGGAGATGATATTATTAGTTTGGAACTTCCTCAAAAAGAATCGTGAATTATTTTAGGTGAATGTTAAAATTTTCAGTTGTGTTTATTGACACTCACAGTTAAAATGAGATGTAATGGTTAGTGTTCATGTTAACATTTATTTCTTGTGTTCAGAATGTAAAGAGAGATTAAGAAGATTTTCAATTTGAAGTAGTTTGTAATTGTGACCTTTCTGAACTGAATTTACTCATAACAATTATACTTTTTTGTTAAAAGACATGTTTCATCATAATTGCATTTTTTAAAAATTCTATATTAATGATTCATCATTAGTTTCATATAATTGTATTTGAGTTTAACTAAATTTATTGATTATATGTACTGAAGGTATTAATTTCAATACAATAATGATGGTTAAGTACTGGTTGATTTATGATTGTTATAATAAAAAGCAGAGGTATTAAACTTGAATATAATTTTGTTAGAATTTAATACCAAAATTATAACATGCACATACCTAAAGGGAAATTATTACGATGCATTCTTCTGTTATTTGTTGATTTTGTTCCATAAAGAAACTTACGTATTACCTTAATTTTGATTTGTCAGAAACCTATTGTTTACTGCACCTTTAAACCCAAAGAAAATTGAAACGTTTAAAGTTTTCTTTATAATAAAAAGTAATAGACTGCTGCACTTTGTGTCAGATTACTAGTGTTACAACCCACTTAGGATGTTGGGAGAACTTGAGAAAAGGGTGGGTTATCGTGGTGGTGAACTGATGGAAGTTGCGGCTGGTTTCTTTCGTAAACTGGTATTTCTAATGTATAGTTTTTATAGGTTAAATGCTAGGAATTTTCATAAACAGAATAATGGTTCAAATAGGTTTAAAATAGTTTAAAGTGTGGTCTGTTGAGGTGAAATACATGATGTTAAATTTCTATAACACTAAATATTAAATCCCTTTAGTAGTTGATAATTATGTTACCATCTCATCTTTTACTCTCTTTAAGGCTTGCTCATTTAATGCCCCCCTATCTTTTCTCTTTGCTTTGTTTATTCTTTGATCATAATTGTTTAATTCCTATCAATTCTTTTCATTCATTCCCACCAGGGTTATCTCAAAGTAACTGTCATGGTTTTGGGGCCTGGTGATGAAGCTCCGGTAAGCACTATTTTATACTTAATTCCTCAAATGCAATTGTATGGTACAGAGTAAATAGACACTATATCACTACCAAGAAATCATTAGTAGATCTCATTGGTGATTTTCCTTACTATCTGTCCTACAATTCTTCTGATGTTAGTTTGGAGAATATGGCTTTGGATCAACTTATAATTTTCTCATAATATTTTCATTACTGGTATAACTTTTTTACTTGATATTCTGATGATAGTGTAAGAAATAGAAATTGCATCTTGGTCACTCTTGAAAGTTAATGGGTTAAACAAGAAGTTGTATTTTTTCTTTCTTGCAGTCTTCCTCTAAAGGTGCAACAGAGAATGACACAGATGATATTGAATCGTGAGTAATTGTAGTGCTGTTAATTAAGTTATTATTATTTGTGGAAAATTTGTGTTTTGCAATCCATTTTTTATGCAGAATATAAACCACCTTTTGTTTGTCTTACCTAGGAACTCTTACCCTAAGAATTCCAAGACTGAAACTGTTCCAAATTACTGCAAAATAAATTGTGAATGCATGTCTCCTTTAGGAACTTGTTGCAGCCCTCTGGTGTGATGTTACGACCAGCTGTCTTCTCCCTGAAAGTATACAGAGCTGAAGACATTCCTCAAAGTAAGTAACTGCTTCATGAATATTGTTAATGATTTGTTGCTGGACTATATATATTGTCACAAGATAGAGAAATATAATTAAATATTTGTTTACTTTTTTGTCATCAATCTAATGCAAGGAACCCTGAACAAGTGCCAGCATTTCATTGTCAGTTTGAGATAAATGTGATTGTCTTTATTGCACTTGCATTTATATGAAATCTGGTAAATGATAGGTGGTAAATTTTCTGACTGATTTTCCATCAATTAATCATATTTTTACTGTTGATGTGAAATCTTCCTCTTATGCTATTAATTTTACTGCAGGGCTCATTTTATATCCTAGCCATTTATATTTTGGTGACATTTTGAGGCAGCTTAGAACTAAGAATTTGCAGGGGTTTTACCCATGTCACATAAGATATTCCAGGAAGGTTTTGACAGGGTCGTAGGCTTGCACTTTAGCTCAATTTGCTTTGTTGGGCCTTAGCTTAGTTGTCATTGGTGATCTCCTTGCAGCTTAGAAGTACGCTGTTTGCCTTTGTTGCAACCTTTGCAGCATCTTCCTTTTAATATTTTTGACCAATTGTTTTGATTTAAAGATTGGATGGCTACTTGCAAAAACTAAAGCCACATAAAGAGGAAAATGCCTTCAGAACTCTAAAACAAGCTTCTGAGTTGTCATTGGAATAAAATTGTTATGTTATCTTTTGCAGTGGATTCTGGATTCTTTGAAGGTGTAAAGAGAGTTCTTCATGTTGGCGAGGTACAGTGTAGATTCTTTGATTCTAATATATATCACCATTGAATAGTTATGACAAAAAGCTCTTGGAGGGGTAGGATCTTATAAACTGCTACAAAGGATATGGAGAGCAAAAGATGTCAAAATAAAGTCACTAAACTTGTGCAAATGAGGTAAAAAGTAAGTCTGTGCATGGTTCACAAGGTGCTGAACCTTGTCTGGATTTTCTGGGTAGGTCCAGTATGGGTCACCTCCTAGTATTAGTTAGGCTTCATTGACAGTGAGACAGCATGCAGGTTCCACTTCCTAATTGAGAAAACACACCGTGAGAGTTACGTTTCTTGCACAAGAACACAATACAATGACCTGGCTAGGTTAAAGATGGGATCCCTGAACCAACAGTCCAGCTTGCTAACTGTTAGGCCACTGTATCTCCTACTCGTACTTATGGGAAAAGGGTTTAATCACATTAATACAGGGGTGCAAAATTTTTCAAGTCGTGGAAGTGTGAGTAGTGCTCAAGGGATTTAGTAGCTACATGTAGTTTGGCTGACAAACTGAACTTGGCCAATGCTCTATCAGGGTATCAAGTATAATAAATATTGGTTTATGTCCATTATCCCTGTGTAGATGCTTAAGTGTTTGGTCTGTTAGCCCGTTGGTCCATCTCTCTGTTCTTCTTAGCTGAAGGTCAACACTTTCTTATGCCCTTTGCTATCAATTAACACTACATTTCTTCAGTTGTAACTCTAATAAAGTATTAAATCAGTTGCACATTGTTGTTTGTTTTTGCCTTATTTAGGAACAGAAAGAATTGGTTGATCCCTACCTTGTCTTCAATTTTGCTGGAAGGAAGGTGAACTTTTTCACATTTGTTGTTGAATATCAGGATGGACCAATATATTCTTAAGCTCTTCTTAATTAACTTGTTATGGTAGAACAATTTACAATTTAGCAGTTGAAATATTCTGCCCCTTATCTCTCCCTTTAGTTCTTGTTCAATCCAGGCTTGAACATGAAGTAATGTCAGTATGATTTATTAATGCCAATTTTTTTTATGAACAGTCAAAGACAAGAGTACATTACAATTCAGATCATCCAGAGTTCAACACAGAACTCAATGTACAATTCAAGGTGAGTTGTGTAAAACGTTAAATATTTTATTATTTACTTTTATGCATGCAGTTTTATTTCATTCCCATGATGATTTTGGTATATTGAACATGTGGATTTATTGCTTTTTTTATCGCAGTTCCCCTCAATGTGTGAGAGGCTAAAACTTCAGATATTTGATTGGTAAGGCTCCACAAAGACTCAGTGTGATAAATCATCTTTCCCTCCCAATTGAAATTTAAATGGTCCAAATTTATGCCTTGAGAACGTTTGATTCCGAATTTTCACTTTATGAAACTTCTCTTGTTAAATCTTAATTTACATGATTTCAACTGTAATTTTTAATTAATATATGTTCCATGCAGGGATCGATTGACAGCAGATGATTGTATTGGAACAGCTTATTTGCCAATTTCCGCTATTTCTGGACAAGGCGATGATGGTATAGTTACTGATCTCCTTTTTTTTACATTTTGTGATAATGAGTACAACTTTGTTCCTGTCAAGAATGATGTCCCTTGAAATTCAATTGGAACTTCCTAAGTGTTATTAGAGTTGAAAAAATAAATTACCATCTGGTGTTTGAATCTCAGCGGGAAACGCGATTTTTCTTCAGAAAAACTGCATGTCACACAAGGCTTCGTCATTTTGGAAACACTTTTCTTTAATGATTCTTTCTTATTAAGAAACAGTGAATCACAAAAGTAGATAAAGGTAAAGAACTGATAAAACTCCTTGGCTGGAATCAACCTGATACATTTGTGTCAGATTATGAAAGGAAAAAAATCAAGTTTCATTTAGCTAGGACCAACCGTTGAACCCTTTTGGATAAAAGCCGTGTTTAGGATACTGCTATGTTTGTATGTGCGTGTGACTTGAATTCTTACTTCTGTTAAGGAGTACTCAAACCTTGGTACAATTCTGTTCTACTGCAGGCTTTCTCCCTTTGTTTGGTCCTAGTTACATTAATTTCTATGGCTCGACAAGAGAGTACTCCGACTTGCCTGATGAATACGATGACTTGAATCTTGGAATTGTAAGTGTTTAATACATGTATAATTCAGACTTGAAAAAAAGTTTGGTTTTGCCCACCATCTCTGGTTTGTGTACGTCTCATGTAATGACCAAAGTAGTGGAATATTCCATTAAGATGCTTTTTGAATTAAAAATCTGTGCAAAAATCCCACAACTGAGTTAAATATACAATGGTGTGGCCCGGCGTGTTCTTGTTGACTCTTTGTACTCTTTCATAGGGTAAAAGCATCCTTGCGCCAATGTTTTTTTTCTAAAGTTATTCCTCTTGTCCCACCAGAGGAAATTTGAAACTTTCGATGTTTCACTTACAACACGATATCTTTCAGAACTAAGCAAATTATAGGAAGATTTACTTTTTAGTCGTGTTTTGTGGCATATCTCTATTTACATGTTCGTTTTTTTTTTTATTATCCTATTTCAGGGTGAAGGAGTTGCTTACAGAGGAAGGGTGTTAGTGGAGCTGGAAACCAAACTGGGACCGTCATCAAAGGAGGTTGCCGAAGACCTACAAAGTCATGAGATCATCCGAGTACAGGTACTTCAGAAATTAAACCTTTGGAGAAGTAATTTTTCGTTTTGGTATGATTTCTTACAAAGTGTTTCGATGACCGCCAATGAGAAATTGCCCTCTCATACTTCACTCTTGCCAATACAGTAGAACTCCGCTAACTAAAACTCTGTTAACTCGCCGCTAACTCAAACTTAATCAGATTTCCGGTAGGGGGTATCACAAGATGATTTAGTGTAATCAAGTGAGTTCATAATGTAAACTTGCCTAAAGCTGACGTTTCGCTTTGATGAAGGGCTAACACTCAAAACGCCATCTTTGGAATTCTTTCGGTGGCATATCTGCATTATCGACTCAGTTGATAAACCCAATTTTCTTGTAACTCGAACACCCCGTGACTGGAGTTTTATACTTGGTCTGGCTTTTGAACACTAGGAAAGACATACCATAACGTTTGTCGTTTGTTGCTTTGATCCTTTAACCCCCTAGAGTGACTAGCATCTAATTTCTTCTTAAAAATTACCCCTGAATTTCATATTCAGGTCACGAGATTAAAGGAAATGATCACCAGCAGAGGAAGCTCTTGATTGTTAAACAAATTCTCCTTGTCAGCACCTTAGGAAATGTAGGGAGAACGGTATGGAGAATATGCGTACTGATGTTGGGGCGTAAGGGGTTAATATTGTTTACTTAATATTTATTTTGTTGTTTTATTTCAGCCGTACTTACGCAGGCGTAAGTTTAAGTTGTTTGCCTGCTTCCTGGAGGCAACGATGATAGCATCCACAGACGGACCATTGGAGTTTGAAGTTAGCATAGGTTGGTCGAGAAATCTTTTTTAGACGAAGGATGCAGTAAAACTCTCCATTCTTCTTTTAGGCCTCACATTAGAAGTAGTTTTGTGGTATTTACACCACTTTGCAATTTTTAAATTGAGTTTCATTGGATCGGTGGTTTGCTTTACCTCTCTTTAGAGTGCTATTCGATTGAGAACCGTAAACCAAAATCTAAGTATCACAGCGACCAATCAGAAGGAAGGAAAATACCTTAAAGAGCCATTGAGAACTCAAAGCAAAACCAACTGTCTAAAGCGCGGGAAAACGCGGGCGACCAAGTCGTGATAGGTTTTAATTTTGCATCTGGTTGGTTGGGAGAGTGGTGCGAGTCTTCCGGACTAAAAATTTTGCGCCGTTTCTCGGCCAATCAGTTTCAAGACCAAAACCAATGGCGACTAGGTCCCTCTCGTTTTCCCGCGCTTCAGGCAGTTTTCTTGTGAGTTCTTATTGGCTCTTTGTGATGCTTCCCTTTGCTTTTATTGGATGTTGCGTTTACTTGGTGACACAAGACTCGATCTAAATGCGCGCTATTAAAACGTGATTACTGTTTTTTGTTAGGAAATTATGGCAACAAGCTTGATCAGTCAGTTCCTCCATCGTCTTCCACTACTCCACCCACCAACGCTGTTTACGATGGCTGTTACTACTATTACCTTCCATGGGGAGACACCAAACCTTGTGTGTGCGTGGATAGTCACTGGGAAGATATTTCCTTCAGACTGGACAACTTGAATATCTTAACTAGAATGTGTGAGCGATTGGTGAGTCATGGCCATAAATATCAATACAGATATCTTCTAGGTGATAAGTTATGGCTTTATTGACCTTTGAAACCACAGTTGGACCATGAGATAATTGAAATTTTTATAGAAAATCCGAAATATTTGACGGCTACGATTAAAAGTTTGACGCATCTTGGTTTGAAAATGTCAGTGAAGTTAAATGAAACGTTTATGCAGTGACTAGAGATTTTCTTTTTTGCCTCGGCGGGCCTTAAAAAACGCTTTCACTGAAAAACTCACGACCGTTGGCTCATTGGAAATAGGACATTAGTTTGATATTGTGCTTTTATTAAGGACTCGCTTCTCTTGCTTTTCCTCTCTTGTAAATTTGATATGAGTATCGGCAAACTTTCAAGGTAACTGGACGAACTGTGTAAATGGTGTAACATCGGATGTGATGGTACTTATAGTATTCAGCGCCTTAGGAAATCGTCTGCCTAAGCGGTGTGAACCTGTTGTGAATCTTTCCCTTATATGGTGGAATGGCCCAAAGGACCCAATAGTGGTTTGACGTTTGTTTTTGTCGTTGTAACAGGAAACGAACATGGAGAAAGTTCAGCTTAGTCTGGAAGCAAATGCGCCAACAGCCGAAACAGCCTCACTTTTGATAGCTTTGTTAGATCAGCTGATCAATGATTGCAGGTACACAGGGCGTTCCATTTTAAGTACAGCTGCGGACAGATCTGAACGATCTGTGGTCATGAATAAGAAACTTTAACCGTCCAATTTGAAAGAAGTTACCAAACACTGAGACACTACATAATATATTTAACTATGTAAGAGAAGCGTCGGCGAAGCTTCGTCTCGTAACGTCAGCTTTAGAAACTCTTTACGGTGGCAAATTTACATCATCATTTTGATCCCCTTTATCTTAAGAAAGCACATCAAAGTCAGCTCATGAAAGTTTTATCGAAAAAAAGAATTTCTTAACGGCCAGGTCTGCTAACTGTGTAATATGCAGCGAAAATATAATGATTTATAGTGTGGATGATTTGGTTGAGGAATGTAATTCAAGTTCTCAAAGCTAATTTTGAACACCTGTCGTCAGTTAACTGTAGAGAAAAACCAACTTTGGGACATATTTCGAGAGTGTATTTACAATTACGTGACGCGTGAAAGTAGGGGGGTTTTACTGGTCTCCCTAGTTTGTTTAAATACTTTTTCAACTTGTAAACCCGTTTGATTTTATCTCGATATCCAGGCTGCACGGCCACTTCAGACACCTGTTCAATTTTCTACTCCTTAGGAAAGTAAGAACAAGAAATGATAATTTTATTATTGTCTGTAGGAGACCACTTCCTAAGATTGACAGTTCCACTCCTGGTGTCAACGAGTTAGACCTTAAGATTCAAGACACAAGAATTTTGGAGAAGGTTTGTTCATGTTACTTTACTTATTTCAGGTAGAGAAGCAAGTGTATGTGAAACCTATATAACCATCTACAATGAGTGGCAAGAGTATTTGGCATGCCTCCCCTTAGTTGGTGGACAATCCTCCACTCAACATAGTAAACAGAGGTCTTGTAATTCATTTCTAATAAGTTACTCAACAGTCCTATCTTTCTCCCCAAACAATGTTGCTTTAGATTGGTGATCATTTGGTTAACACCAGGCAACATTGAAATGGGATAGAGGAAGAGATAGATGAAAGTTGTAGAAAAAATTTAAAAAGTTGTAAAGCGTTCCAAGATATTTGCCACTCATTGTAGGTATACATTGAAATTTTGGGCGTTGTGCAAAATTCTGAAACCTCTTTGGCAGACAGGAGTGTGTCATTGGCCAAACTTGCACGACTTTCATGGGTTAATTACTTCGCCCTTTCGGAATATTTTATGAATTTTAAGCACTTACGTTAACTTTTATGCCAAAATTTGTGTTATGTTTCCTTTGGAAACTTGTCTCGCTCTCAACGCCTCGCTATTTTGAACAATTGGTAATTAAACTTAATGTTTGATGTTTAAACAAAATCGTTGCCATCTGTGGCGGTGTTGTTGATCATTTCTGTTATTCAGTGTCATCTTTTTGTCTCCTGAGAGTGATTGATCAAATATTAACGTCACAAGAATAATGGAAATGATCAATATCTGAAGGATCTTTTGATTGTTAAGCAAATTCTCCTTGTCAGTACCATAAGATATGTACAGAGAAAAGTAAGGAGAATCTGTATGCTGATGTTAGGGTGTAAAGGGTTACGCTCAACCTCTGGTTTGTTACAGCTGGCCATCATGGAGGAGGCAACCAAGCTACGTGAAAGTGCGACGGATGTTGCTGAAGCCATGGCAGAAATTGAGGGTTACATGCAGAGATTGAAAGATATTTCTGTTGAGGTGTGTCCTCGTGAATTGTATGGTTTGAGTCACTGGGTTGCATTTGGTATAAGTTATACAATACTTGGTTGTTGACGCATCTTTGTGGTTGTTTTTCCTTTAGCCCCAGAACAGCATGCCGGATGTGGTAATATGGCTAATCAGTGGTACCAAGCGAATTGCTTCGTTCCGTATCCCAGCTTATGAGGTGTTGTTCTCACCTCAGTTTGATGCCTGTGGTCAGAACTGTGGCAAGGTCCTCAATATGTTCATGAAGGTTAGATAATGTATCATCATCAGTTCTTTAGATGCTAAGTAGCACATAGGGCGTCAACTGGATTCCTCTGTTTCCTGGTGTTCCGCAAGTCGCGTTGCCTGCTCCTAACTGAGGTCTTAAACTTTCTTAGACTTTTCGTAGAAGAGAAAATAATCCAGGAGTGCATTGGTGAAGCTCAACTTCGCTCTGTTGTCGCTCCAGAAAACTTATGCCACTCTCTCAACCAATCAGATGTAAAACTGAAACAAATCACGATTTGGTCACCCGCGTTTTCCCGCACTTTAGGCAATTGCCTTGCTTTGACTTTGAGTTTTGAGTTTTCATTGGCTCTAAAAGATATTTTCCTTCAGTTTAAGTTTTGGTTTAACGACACTCAACCGAAAAGCACCCCATACAGAATAATACAAACTTGTAATTCATTGAAGTTAAAAAGCAGTAACTTGTATCAATGAAGTCAAGGGTTGAGTCAAATATTTGATCTTATGGAGATGAACTGTCTTTGTTTTATGGTAAGATTAATTACTTCATACTTCGTGCTGTAACTGTTTTCGATGCTTTCGCTGTCTGATTAGTACCCAGGAAAGAAACAAATGAACCTTGAAGACTTTCCAGAAGTCCCTGCCCATGTTCGAATGATAGTCTGGTTGGGGCTCGAGAAACATCAGGAGGATTGGACCAACAGGGAACAGACAGAGGGAGACTTCTGCGTCTACGCAGAGACGGTAGGAGCCTTTCACTTTCACCATGTCTTGACTTTTGTATTACTTTGCAATTGAGCTGATCCACATTTCTCTAAAATGGTGACTAAAACTAAAACTTTCCCTAAAGAAGAGATACCTCTTATTAACCGAGTTCGAGGTCTGTACTTTAAATTATAGACCCAATTTTTTCCGCTCAGATATATGGCCCAAGCGCGCAGGCCATAAATCCGAACGGAAAAACAGTGGGGACCGAGAAAACGAGTTTAGTAAGATTTTTATTACATCTCTGGGTTTAAATAAAGGGGGAATATTTCAATACAAACAAACTTTTGAGTTTAGCGGGCCTTATAATGAAATACGGCTTGCTAAATCGACTCATCATAGTGCTCATACTGACTGAGAGATATAATATGATCTTTTTGCACGTCGGTTCTCGGTCCGATTAGCGCGCACTGAGCATTCATAACTATATACAAATTTTTTACATCTATATTCGAGAAGAGTCGTTTTAGACGTTTGTTCTTACCATTACCTGATGCTCTGAATGTGGAATCGTGGTTTGAAAAAGTGTCACTTTGTATGGCAAGGTTGACAGTACCAAACAGTGTGAAGTGATTAGTTACATATATAATAAATATTTGTTCCATTGTATCCTCTTCTCATTTAGTATGAGAATCAAATGAATGTTCTTGGTACTTGGACCTCCAAGGGACTTCCTCGGCCGTCTTGGTCAAACGCACGGGGAGATGTAAGTATTTTCATCATTGCTTCAAATCTTACTAGAAATTTATTTTAGATGTTGCTTCGTTCGGAACGAATTTAGCGTAATTAGCCTGTTATCGGAAAATTCATCAGCCCTTTGAAGATTTAACGTAGATTAGGTAGTTCACTGAAATTTGGAAAAGAGATTTCTCGGTTATTTACTTTTTACATGACTCCGTTGAAATGTCATGGCTAACTGAATATTTCAAGTAATGACTGTTGAGTAAAATGCCCTAACTTACCGATTTACTTTTAGCAGGGAGATTAAGGCAATTGTGTGTTGGAGTCTTAGCAGGTATATGAGTGCAGGATCTCAGGATATGCAGATATGTAGGTAGAAGAGAGGTGACGATGGTCTGCCGTACAGAAGGTGACTGTAGGGGATTGGTACTTTATATGTGTAAAGAAGCTTCAGATTTCATATGGAGTCATTTAGTTAGAAAGTTACTGAAAACGGTAATCGATAACTACACATTAAAAAGTTTGAGGAGGTCCTATTTTTAAATCAGTTAACTACATTGCATATTTTAGTTAGCTCTGATTATGAAATTGGCTGTGGAAAAGAGTTTAGGTCTGCAGACTGTTGGTGTTTATACTCTACAGAAATGCTCTGAAAATCTGATCAACTGTTCCTCCCGATAACAATTTAATTCGGTTTATTTCAGTTAAGATTGTATCAGGAGTATTTTGTCACTCCTCCCGGCTGGCGCTTTGAAGGAGACTGGTTCGTGAACCCAGAGCTAAGGTAAAGATTTACGCTAAACGAGATGCGAAATGATTAAAAAGATTCAGGCCTCGTTCACACCAAAACGTTTAAATTTGAAAAAGTAAAACGTAGTTATCAAATTTATCCGGTGTACGAGGTGTAAGTGTTCATCGAGGCAAAAATATGCCTTTGAGCAGGCCTTAATCAAAAGCGCTTCGGCATGAGTGTTTCTTCGCCCGCGGGAAAGTCTAAGGCCTTAAGCTCACGCCTCAAGCATTTAACCCAAGATGTGATTTTTCATTCTTCCCTTTAGCTGCTATACATTCCCTATTACAGTATTTGTAAGGATTTGCTGTTAGATCACGATAACAACTTATGCCTGATAAGTTTGAGTATTCTCATCACCTGTTTGCTGAATGATGTATGGATACGATAGAGAGAAGTTACATGCTAATCACGTCCAGGATTTAAAGGGTTAAGCCGGCGAGAGGTCTAAAAGGGGTCTCGTACTGATGATGAGGGCAAGACTCCCGGTAACCCACTCCCCAATTCGTCTCCAGTCTTTTCGCGAAAGGAGAAACACGTATCCTACAGCGCTTATTATAAGGGCCTGTGGGAAAAATCCATTTGCGAAAAAATAAGGTTCAAGTCAAAAGTCCGTAGTAAATAAGTATTAAAGTTTTTAAATGAACCACAACGTTTGGTTAAAATAAAAACTCCAAAACTTCTTAAAATTCTAAACAAAGGGGTAAAAAAAATTCGCGAACGAAAGCTCAAAAACAACTAACAATACTCCGCAAAAGCAAACAACATAAGTACGCGAAAAATGTCCTCGTCAGTCTTACAATGTCAAGGTTAGAGTTCTTTTAAGAGATTGGCTAATTTGTAAAATCACATGCGCCGTGCGTGAATACGAAAAGAATTCGCGAACGAAAGCTCAAAAACAACTAACAATACTCCGTAAAAGCAAACAACTAAAGTACGCGAAAAATGTCCACGTCAGTCTTACAATGTCAAGGTTAGAGTTCTTTTAAGAGATTGGCTAATTTGTAAAATGAAATTGAAATTGAAATTTAAAGACCAAAGGGATTTTCTACAGCTAGCTCGCACGCCGAGCTAAAATGTGCACTCGAGGAGACATGCGCGCTATCTCTCGTGCACGTACCTAATATACAGACAATCTCTTGATTGTTAAAGACGTCATAACTTGACAGTCACTATGAATGTCTCCTGAAGTTTGATTTTAGTTCTACTTCCTCATAGTCTTTGTTTTAAAATTAATAGCATGACTTATGACCGAGACAGTGGTCACAAGAGCTTTCTAGAAGATGTGTTTGAAAACGAGTCTCGTCTCCCTGGTGGCAGCTGGGGACCTTCCTCTGTGCCCTGGACGGATGTGGTAAGTGTTCTGTTGCAACCTGAACCTTCGGTGGCGTGTCCAGGGGGATGGTCCGAGAGGTTCTCTCCCTCCCCTCCCATCTGAAGGTCTTGCAACGACATGATCGCATGCTTCGACTCATTATGTAGTGTTTAGAATATACTATTCTTGAAGTATATCTCAGCCTATTTAGGATCTAATTGGAAAAAAAAACTGTTTATGAATCCAAGTTTGGTTCTCCCATCTTCCCCACCCATAAAAAAGTCCTCAATAATCCCCCAACCGCGAGCATACAAATTTTAAAGTGTTATTGCGTTACTCGCTGACCAAATTGCAACAACGATGTTCCGTTGTTTTTGGTGTATGCGTGAAAGGTGAATTTCACGATCACCTTTCAAAGCCGTACCTTGGGGCGTCAAGTAATGAAGTAATGCTGAAGAAGATTGCATGCAATGTCAGTCCTAAGAGAGCACTTGCGTCTCTTAAGAGAGTTTTGAAGCACATGTCGAGCATTGAAAACTTTGACGCCTTTGATTCGTTCCCTTCTTTTTATTCACGAATTACAAGTTCTCAATTGCTATTTACAAGAAGATTTCTTTCGTAGCGTGGTGATGCTGTGACAGCCAGGGATGAGTTAGTGTGTCCAGAAGAATGGGAGTGGACCTCAGATTGGACAGTCGACTTAAACCGAGCCGTGGATGAAGATGGTAATTCACGGTTTTACGTTCTTAGCAAAACCAAAGCCAGGTTTTAGCTTATACACTTTGGCTTTGCTCTTTCAATTATCTTTTGATAGGTTTTGAGTACACTGTGGAAGCCACATTTGGTGGTTATGGACCCGTGGAGAAGACGTACCACTTGTGTCGGCGAAGAAGATGGGTCAGAAATAGAGTGTTAGTGACAGATGCTAAAATGGAACAAGAACAGGTGATGGGATGACTTTAAACTTGAAGACAGGTTATCGCCCAGACCATTCATGGCTAGTGCAAACGAAACAATGACCTCATAGTTGCTGGTTGTTAGGCATCGATATACTGTGTGGTTAATGTAGTGTTATATACAGACAGAAACCTAGTTTGATTGCTTCTCTTTTGTCAATGTAGATCCGAGCTGAACAGCTCGCTAAGGAAGGGTGGGAGTATTCACCAGTGTTCAACATGAAGTTTCATGCCAAGGAGCGTAAAATGGATCTGGTGCGGAGAAGAAGATGGCATAGAAAAATGGTGCAAGAGGATCCCAGTGCCCCCGCGGTCTTCCATATTGATGTCGGCGATGGTGATGATGTAAGAGTCTGTGTTTTTTATATTATGGCCTAGTTAGCTGTTGCCTTTTCCCTGGATAGAGTGAGTTTTAATGTAAATTGGCGTTGATGGTGTAACTGTCTTTTCTGTCACACAAGGCGCAGTCAGAAGTAGTGTGTGACATAGGCTACCACTTAGTCACTTCCTCACTGCTCGTGTTCGAGTCACCTCACTCGATGAGATGTAAGATGGACACTGCTTGGTTGGTACCTGTCCAGTCGCATTTAGTAACACTAATAAGGCTATTAAATAAATTACCTTTCTGGTAAGTCACGTTCTGAACAAAATTCAGTTTTTGAGGACTAGATATTCTCAGACACAGAGGAGAAAATTTTGTGTGGATCGCTGAGAGGTCGCCGTTGTAGAAAGATTCCCGCCCCTAAAGGGAGTGGTTTCCTATGTGACAAGGCTGTTTTCCTATTCAGTATTATCGTGGCCTCAGCTACATCCTAAAGTGAATTTTATTTCTTGCCCACAGGATAAGGAACAAGAGACGATGATGAATGCGCCAAGAATGTTCATAACATTTGACAGTAAGGAAATTGGTTCTTGTTTGCAATTCGTAGAGTTTCCTCGGTAGAAAATCAGAAAATGTTTTAAGAAATTTGATATTTGACCCTGATACTAGACCATCAGCATTAGGCAACAGAGAAGATTTCTTTTTTTCAGGTTAAAACGTTCGTTGTAGCTTCGATGACTACTTAAGTTAACGCATGTCCTCCGATGCACAAAACACATTAAAATTACAAGTGTGACATGATAGAAGTTCTTGACTTGTTGACATCCCGTAATTTACAAGGAATAAGGTGGATGAGTCTTGAAAAAGATAAACTATTCTCTTTGCCGAAAGTCGTTGTTGGCCATGGACCAGGTGACTTTTGGGACGTCATGGTGATATTTAATTGCCTTTCTCGTCAACTGAGGATGAGGTGTTTATAAGGGATTAACCCAGCCGTTAATCTCATTTGTAGAGCCGCACAAGTACCAGCTGAGGGCCTACCTTTACCAAGCGCGTGATCTATTGGCATCAGATGCCGATGGCTTCTCAGGTAAAATGCACTCGTGTTGGTTTGTTACTTGATACATGTATCTATCAGCCTCGTGCTTGGTGGAACAGGAGATCCCTGCGGCTTGACACCATTCAAGTCTTATCGCCACTGCATGCATTTTTATCTGTGTTAAGTCAATTTGCAGACCAGTTGACTTTCCTTCACCTATCAACTTCAAACTATTTCGCACTTAAGTCCTGTCTACTCTCCTGTCATGAAGGTCTTCCTGCTTTGCCCTTCAATTTTTTCGTCCACTTTCTTTTGGCTTTGTCCGTTTTTAACGCGTGTCTGAGATATCAGTTGACAGATGATTAATTCCTGACTCCGAAAAAGCAAAATACATTTGGACTCGTGTTGGGACTAAAAGAAACTGGCTCGTGTAACTGCATTTTCAGATGAATGGCTAAGCAGTTGCGTCTAACTCCCTAACCTCGCCCAAGAATCAGCCTGTGTTTGTCTATCTTTCATTTTAGTAGCTACTGCGTCGTGATGCAATGTGAACTCTTTTTTTCGTTACGATATATTTTTCAGACCCTTATGCACGAATTGCATTTGGTACCCAAAGCCAAGTGACAGAAATCCTTACACGGACAATTTGTCCTACGTGGGATCAAACGCTGATATTTGAAAATGTTCAGATTTATGGCAGTATCGACAAAGTTGCAAATAACCCACCGGAAGTCATCATCGAGCTGTTTGACAAGGACCCAGTGGTGAGTTGGTTATTTGGAAACAAATACAACCTAAGTTTACTTTCGACACAAGCAAAGTAACGAGGAAGGTTAGCCCTATTCTGATGCAGGGGACCTTCCACGATACGTAGACATTTTGGTGTGGTCAATTTAGCCGGAACTTTTTTGATAAGAGTTTTCAGTAGACTTGACAGCCTGTAATTTTCTTTAGTCATCGAATGCGTCTAAAAGCAGAGAAAATTGATTATAGAGGCGGAGAAAATAAGATCGATGACTTAGTTTTGAGTTTTTCGGTTTCTTCTTGAAGGGTCAAGACGAGTTTATGGGTCGATGTGTGATTAAACCACTGGTGAAGATGAATGGACAAGGGCCCCCAGCACCAAGACTGTTGTGGTATGATGTCACACGATGCGGAGAGGAAGCTGGCGAGATTCTGGCTGCCTTTGAGCTGTTTTTGGTGCGTGAAACTAAAAGCTACCTCTTTTTTCTCTTTTGTGTGTGGTGTGCTACTTTGTGTTAATCATTTTCTATCCTTACGAAAGGTTAAGGAAACACATGATCAAAATCAGTTCTCATACTATGAGCGCCTTTTATCTGTCACAAAAAGAATGCAAGAGCACTTTATGAACAACCTAAATGAGCACTGACAAACGGTGCTTAGCGAAGATATGGAAGTCGACAAAAACGTCACTGTCCAGTTTAGTGTATGGCTCAATGTCGAGGGCACAACATGCAAATTGGCCAAATATGAGGGTTGGTTGGGCGGGTACGCCTTCCCTTTGTTTTGCTTGTAACAAAAGTTTGGGTCACATTACTGAGTTTAATATCAGTTGTCTTGACTCAAACCCAGCCCCCCGTACCCCACATTTAGCACGTCAGTCCTTTGCCTCTTTCATGAGCTTAGCCGGCTAGAAATCTATCCCTGCTTGGATTATCAGTCGTTGTTTGAAGTTACCCTTTAAGACTGAATTAAAATGTGGCTTGTCCGGAGCTTTGCCTCACTGGTTAGTAACGGAGAGAAGCTTCTCTTTGAGACCTGTCTGTGTTGATTCGAATTAGCTTTGAACACTATTGTGTATCAAAAATATTGGACTAGACCTCGTCTCTTTGTTGAGACATGCGGGACCAGTGAGAATGACATTGTTATACACGTGAAACCAATGGAAAGATGATATATTTTCGTCTTCTGATTTCATTTACCCAGGACGAAGGTGCAGATTTACCATTTGCTCCACCGATGAAAGGATCGTTGTTTCTTGTGCCTAATGGAATCAGACCTGTTATGCAGCGTACAGCTATAGAGGTATATCTCAATCGAGAAGCCAGCTTAGACTTGAGCTTATTGTAGCAAAATGTCGTAAATTATTGTCGAACACCAACATCATTGTCATAACACATCCACGATGACTAACATATGAAATACGACAGATGACTATCTTCTAAAATCTCTCCTGATGGACTCAAAATAAAGAAAGATTCGAAAAATATTCGAAAAGTTTTTCTTTCAATGACTTTATCCTTTAAATGCCTGTGAGTATATGAAAATAATGTTTGTGAACTGCGGCTTAAGAAGTGGATATGAAACGATCTTCACAGTAACGAACACTACTTGAGCAGTAGCGAAAATAGGGCCTTATTTTCACTACTGCTTAAGTAGTGTTCAGTAGTGCGAAGCTCGCTTTCATATCCACTTCATCCTTTGGAGCTCTTCCATTGCGAGACTCCGTGTTATTCGGCCAGCGAAAATCATGGCCAAACCGTTTAGAACACTTTTTGCGGGTAAATTGCGATTCCTTGCTTTTTCCTTTCCCCACGGACAGTGTTGGGTGCCCGAAATCAAACGCAATTTAAAGATCCCGAGGAGGGTGTAGACAGGAGGTGTGGGGCAAAATCTTAGAGTGTTTGCTTGTGTGAGTGGAAAATGGACATTACTTTCTCATAATACAAGAGAAAGGTGTGTCCCCAAACTTTTGGCCAGGATTGAAGGTTCACAAGGTTATCTAAGGAGCATTGATTTATTTGATTATTGATTAGTCTGTGCAATATTCGATTCCTTGGCAGGTACTATGCTGGGGCGTACGGAACATGAAGAGGTATCAGCTGGCAAGTGTAGCTTCACCCAGCATCGAGTTTGAGTGCGGTGGACATGTTGTTCATTCAACAGTCATCAAGAACACACAGAAGAATCCCAATTTTGATCAGCCATTGTTCTTCTTCGACGTGGTGAGTGCATTTCTAGTGTGAAGTGTTTTGCTTTACACGAAATAAAAGCAGAAAAGGGCTTCTATAGATTGCAGTTTGCCATGAGACTGGTCTGTGACTTCAAAAAGGTGCACACGAGCTAAAGGCGTGTGTGTCATCGTGTTGCAGAGACGAAACTAAGAAAGTGGATTGAGGAAGATTACAAACTTGCCTCTCAGCGCTAAAATACTCGGGGAGTTGTTCTCGTATTTCTATATAATTTCTTCTCTCTTTTTCTCGTCAACAGCTTCTCCTTAGCTTTTTCATAAATGCCTGTGATTTTGCTAAAATCTGCACAACTGTGCACCATGAGGACGATATTTTATGTTATGACTTCAGCAGTGTGTCTATGCTCTGATACGTCATTGGCGACGTTTTATCAAAGAGCGCGTAGCATCCGACACCTTATATTATACTGAACGGAATCCGTGTGTTGCATATTTTTCACAGCACCTCGTTATTTTTGTGTTCACAGTACCTGCCTAAGGAAGAGTTGTACACCCCACCAATGAATATCAAGGTTCACGACAACCGATCTTTCGGCCGCAAACCTGTCGTCGGGATTCATTCCATGAAGTCCATGAAGAAATTTCGTTGTGAACCCGCCAGTATGGATGAACCTGCAGACCTTCCTATAGGTCAGTTGATAGGTGCCAAGCCGCCATTGCTATACTCTTTCGTTTTGTTACAGTTAATGACAAGGGGGGATATGAGCTCTTAGGATACAGATGGTACTGTGAACGACATGGGTGAATAGAATGTAAATGCCTTGAAAGCTTGTTAACAAAGTCTGGGATTTCTTGTAGAATTCTGGGTTTGATTTTAGTTTCCTATGCAGTCAACGCGGTCACCCTTTCTCCCACCACACCCCCCCCCCCCAAAAAAAAAAAAACAATAAATAAATTAACTCCCTCGATCTGATTGTTCATTCTCCCCTCTACTTGCTACACATTTCCTTAATGAACATTAAAAACTTCAACCGGATAAGTTTGAGTATTCTCATTACCAGTTTGCTGGATGATGTATGGATATTGAAAGGAGAAGTTACTTGTTAATCACCCCTAGGAGTCAAAGGACTTCAGACAACTTTCAACGACCCAGATAAACAACTTAAGATATCGAGCTTTAGTTCCTCCAAGGCTCTGAGATTTAGGATTCTTCCTTAACCGTGCTAATGAGAATAAATTGCTCCCAACAGATGAAGAGGTGGACGATGAAAGAGAATGTTAGTAGTTTTATACCCAAGACTTAAATGCACTATGAAATCTAGTGTACTCGTGTGTGCTACTTTGTGGATTTACCATTAGACATGCTAGAGCTGAACTTCGTTAGTTTATTGTCACACTTATTTTTTTAGCGGAGAGTGAGTCTGGCAGACATGGCTCATCTCACATTATGGACATCAAGGAGGAGCAGAAGAAAGGAAGTGTAAGTAAAGTAACTCTTGTTAAAAGCATTTCAAGAGAAGTGAAAGTAAGATTTTTTCACCTTAGAAAGCTTTTCGATCCAAAACCCAAGCAATCACAACAGCCAGGAAAATATCGCAAGGAGCCAATTAGAACTGGAAGTGAAATCACGCGAACTGCCTGAAGCGCGGGAAAAAGCGAGTGACCAAGTCGCTATTGTTCACACTTTTGAATCTGGTTGGTCAAGAAAGTGACGCAAGTTTTCTGGACCAATCCTATATCGAAATAAAGCAAAACCAAAGCAATCCTGGATTACTTTTGATACTGAGTTGAAAATTGCTCTATTGTAGTATAAAAATGAATACAGTCTCTTGTCGGAAAGGACCAGCTTTGGACATGACCTTGAAGAGCCCGATTCGTTATTTAAAAGTGATGTTAGTCTAGAAACACTCCATAGAAATACAGAGTACACATAGTACTTGTTTTAAATCCTTAAACTACTATCAACTATCAAGAAATATTTAAGATTGCCCCTTTTGTTAGGAACAACAAGACGAGGACATCGATTGGTGGTCCAAGTTTTATGCCTCTGTGGGTGATGTTGACAAAGCCGGTGTGTATCTTGAAAAAGGATTTGACAAGATCATGGTAAGATGTCGAGAAGCTGTCACCATTTCATCAAAACTTAAGCAAAATATGAGAAAGAAATCAACCATCGACATAACAGCTCGTCGAAATGCACGACAACAGTGCGTGCACATGGCGCATTCTGTCCAGTTGCACAAGCACTACGCACTAGCTGTCTTACTAAACTGTCCAATTACAAGCAAGACGTGTACACTGTCCTCTTAGTATTTATCGGGCTGGTGATAACCAATCATGTTCGAGAATTTTGTCAGTAATCATTGCTTGAGAAGTATTGTGCTCCTTGGGTTGTTTTATTCTCTTTCCTATTTTTCGGAGATATCAATCAGACTGAACTGTGTGTGATCTTGTGTTTATTCCAGCTAGTCAAGACTTCTTTATCTCATTAGTGACGTACATAATGAACACTAATTATACGTACATAATTAGCCGTTAATGTACTGATTTCATTACACTATTTGAGGAAAATTGTGGTTAGAGCCCTTCGAATGCTTTATCGATTGTTTTTCTTTAGGTCTACGATACAGAGCTGGAGAAGGTTGAAGTATTCAACGGCTTCCAGGACTTTGTAGAAACATTTTTCATCCACCGAGGAAAAGTGAAGTCCAAAGCTGAAGAGGAGGAGACAATTGTAGGGGAATTTAAGGTAAAAGTTGAGCCTTACGAATCGTGAGGTGCACAATGGTTTCACATAAGAAGGAAATGTAGCCTTAAAGAGGGCCAGTATTTTCTGTTGATACAAAAATGAATTATTATTAGTCAAAAAGGATCAATAAGTTACCGCATAGTCAAGTGATGTCCATTGAAGAAGTCCGTTGGCTCGTGTCTGTTATAAATCGTAGAGGGATTTTGGATGTTTTTGCCGTTAGGTGGTATGTAGTGACAAGAAGCCTCGGTTCCATTGACACCAACGATATTACTTTAGAGATATCTTGATCGGAACTACCCCCTCCTCCCCCCCCCATCCCTTCTATTTCCTTCCATTTAGTGAGAGAACCCCATTCCGCCTCTTTTCCGAGCTTAGCCGTCTAGAAAACCATAACTTGCGTGGAAATGTCAGTCGTTTTAACAAGTTACCTATTTTAGACTTGATTGAAATGTAGCTTCTCTGGGACTTTCTTCAGCAGGGTAGTGAGGGGGAAAAGGCGCTCTTTCGAGACCTAACGATGATTCGAATGAGATTTGCACACTATTGTGAGTAAAAAATATTGGACCAGACTCGAAATTTTGGTCGAGATAATTAGGACAACTGAGAGTGATATTCGGTGATATTGCTCCATACAGCTACACTTACCTTGTATCCAAACAGAATCAGTAAAACATTCGTTTTTAGCAATGGCTATATAATTTTGAATCTTTATTTTTACCTTTTTGTATACATAGATGCACGCATCTTACAACAGATTTTAAAGAAAAGTGTAATAGAATAGTTTTTGAATAAAATTTGAATCATTGTGAGATTTTGTATGAGCATGCCATCCCTTTTTATTAGTTATATCATATGCTGAAAGATTTACCCTGCTTTTTAATAGTAAATAAAAGTTTACAACTTCTATTTTCCTTTGCTTCAGGGATCTTTTCGAATTTATCCTCTGCCAAGTGACCCGAACTCTCCTTTGCCGCCTAAGATTCTACGGAAACTGCCGCCTAGTCAGCCAGTGGAGTGTATCATCAGAGTATACGTTATACGAGTAAGATAACAGCCTCGCTTGGTTTTTTTCCGGCTTAGTTTTTTCCTTGATTAGTTTTTATCCATGGCTTGCGAAACTAGCCCCAATTGTTCTAAGCTGGGTTTAGATAAACCAGGGTTAGTGTGAAATTTTATTTCATATCTGAAAGGTTTAAAAGAATATTTGAGTTAATCCCATTTTTGTTGGTACAATTGAATGATTGAATGCACTAAAAGAAATTGGGAAAATTATCCCATAACGGCTTTTGAACAGAGAAATATAGAAACCTGGATTAAAATTTAACCCTGGGTAAGCGCTAGTCCGCTTACGAACAACTGGGCCCTGATATTTTGCATTGCGTTTTAATGCTGCGTGGCAGGACCGCATGGGAGTGGAGCTCGCACCTCGTTTTCAATTTATGGCAATCGCTCTTCATGGTCAAACGGTCATGGTCATGATTGTTTTAGTCGGCGATAGAATACTGATTTGATCGACATGAATCAAGTTGAAGCTGTGAAATCCCTCCTTAGCTTTAACGACTCAAATTGATGAAGTAAACACTCTTACACAATGACAGCCCAATCGACTATTAATTTTGTTTGTTTTATTTGTTTGTTTGTTTTTTTTGCCAGGCTTTAGACCTTCAGCCTCAAGACACTAGTGGCCTGGCTGATCCCTATCTTGTCGTACATCTGGGAAAGACTAAGGTCTCTGACAAGGATAGCTATGTACCAAACAATCTGAACCCCTTGTTTGGAAAGTAAGTTGGCAAATCTTGGATTATTGTTTGTATTAAATCATCCACCATGCTCGCAGTGTAACAGGCGATCACCGGTAAAACTTACTCCCGGTAGTGTTTTTTCTTTTTTGTTTTTCTCCTGAAAACTCAACGGGCAGAAGGATTGCTCTACCGGTTTGAAACTTTATTCTGCCTGTCGTGCTTAAACGAAAGGATAACACTGTACTCGTTCTTCTTGGGTGATATTTGCTCCAAGGGTGCTCCAAGGGTGACCCTCTTAGCAACGACACACCCATTCATGTAACGGGAGCTCAAAGGGATTTTTAAGATATAAAGAATTTTTATTTTTTTGGATACTGAAATAATCGCTGTAATTTTTATGATAAACACTCGATATATTATAGTACAGCGCAGGTTTAGTAAGATGTTGAGATATTTGTCAAGAGCGTGGGACAAAGAGAAATCTGTGTATCTTATGAGCATTCGATCGGTAGGCCGTTGTTAAGCATTTCGACCTGAGATACAAAGTACTCGTTAGCCACGTAGCTGGGCCATTTGTATGTTACAAATAGAACGGAATACTACCGGGAATAGCTTTGGCGCAAATGTTCTGTGCATCGAGTATTGATTACGATCACGCGTAACTTTTCTATCCTTCTTGCTCTTTTTAAGTAACTTAAATAGCTTCTAATTTTTATACAAGAGTATTATTTCTATCTCGTTTACTACCAGGATGTTTGAACTGACCGCCACCATTCCCATCATCAAGGACTTACGCATTAGCGTCATGGACTATGACGTTATCGGCCGAGACGATCTGATCGGTGAGACTACAGTGGATTTGGAGAACAGATTCTTGTCTCGTTTCCGTTCCACTTGCGGATTGCCTCAGACGTATTGCACGTGAGTATATAAAGAGCCAAGAGATAAAAATCCTAATGTGCCAGCTGGTTTAAAAGGTGAACCATCAGAAGAGATCCTGACTGCGCATGAGTGGAATATTTAATCATATCTTATCCTGATGTATCATTTATGTGATTTTGTATTGGAATGAACACCTTTGATTCAAACCAGTGGCGTGACTAACGTAAAGTCAGTCAACGACATTGGTCGAAACCAAAGATGCAAAAGAAACGTGGTACTCTTGGTTACCACTTAACAAAAGTATACCTTGCCGACAAAAAAGGCCGGAGAGAAGAATGACTTGTTTGACTTGTTATGTGATTGACAGGTCGGGTCCAAACCAGTGGCGTGACTCTCAGACGCCACGTCAGATCTTAGAGTACTGGTGTGAGCTGAACAGCTTAGGTAAACCTCAGTTCCTTGGGAACACGCAGCTGGTGCTGGACGGAAAGGTTTACAATTTGCAGGAGTTCGGTGAGTTATTCAGAAATTTCTTGTTATAGTAAATGAATTTCTCTTAGAGAGCTTTACAATTTAGTTTCTCGAACACAGAAACGAATTTAACCCGTTTGACTCCTGAGAGTGATTAGCATCTCATTTCTCCTTACATTATCACTCCCGAATCACACCTTAAGGTCATGAGAATAATGGAAATGATCATTAACTGAAGAAGTTTTCGATTTTAAACCAAATTCTCCTTGTCAACACCTGAGGAAATTTATAGAGAACAATGTGGAGAATTTGCAAACTGATGTTGTGGTTTAAAGGGTTCATCACAACGTTATTATCCTCAATATACACATTAAAACAGCCTCGAGCAAAACAAAGTCAAGATTGGACTAATTTGTTGACTGAGGGGCGCGATTTTTAAAAGCTATTCCATTGCCCAACCAGACTTCGAGTCTATACCTGACTAAGCATGCTTTACATTTTACGTCACAAGGATGTTTTTGGCATCAACTTTTTTATGTTGGGGTAATATCTTCTTCATGTCCTGTTTTGTCCAATAGAGGAAGGAATGCTGTTCCATCCCCACTTGGGTCCACCTGACCAGCGCTTGGCATTACACGTGTTAAACTCCATGCCGGTAGTACCTGAACACGTCGAGACCAGAGCATTGTATAACTCACTCCAACCTAACATCGAGCAGGTACAAGTATGTCGCTTTTAACAGGGGGAGGGGAACCTTAGTTGGATAGCTAGAACAGTTGTTAGTGATAAAAGTGAAGTATGTCATTGCATATTGGGTTGTTAGAAGATAGCTGTTGGGCTGCTAGAAACACTGGTAGAAGTTTCAGCACTAACTTCGATACTTCAGCTTGACTTCTTGGTTCGCCCGTTGTCTTCTTCGACTGATCAGCATGTTCACTGTCCCTCTCAGTTCTGGTAAATTGTCGATAAGAGTGAAAATCAGAATTTTGACAGTTTCAAGTCATCATTGTGATTTTGAATAAAAACAGTCCAGTCTTATTATTAAGAGTAAACAATCCCAAAATGCTAAGCAACATTTTGTTAAACTTTTTAACTCCCGATATGGAATTGTTAATTCTCCCCTCTAGCTGCTGCACCTTTCCTTATAAATTCGTTTCGAGAATTTTGTATTAGATCAAGAGAACAACTTCTACCTGACAAGTGTTAGTGTTCTCACTACCTGCGTGCGGGATAATGCGTTAATCTCCTCTGGAAGTTAAAGGTGTTAACTTGGTTCTTAACTTGGATTTGATTGGTCGACGTGACAAGAAGGCTGGTGCCGAGAGGTAAGTACTGAGGGAAGTGTTATTCTAATTCTTGGCACATTTGTCTTTCAGGGTAAGCTTCAGATGTGGGTTGACATTTTCCCGAAGCATATGGGAATCCCAGGCTCACCTTTTGATGTTAATCCTCGCAAACCTGGAAAGTGAGTGTAGATACACATCATTGCAACTGTTTTACTTAACCTTCCCGGTACTGCATACCTTACGCATGATGTTTGTATAACTATTTTTAGCTTACTTTACCCTTGAGCCGGCAATGCTTTCTATAGTACTGTTTATTATAACTGAGTGACTCAAGAGGTTGTATTTTTTAACGTTCTTTTTTCAGCTATGAATTGAGAGTAATTATTTGGAACACAAGTGATGTGATCTTGGACGAAACATCAATAACTGGAGAGAAAATGAGTGATATTTACGTGAAAGGGTACGTACCGAAAAAAAAAAGGAAGAATTGCTTTACCTTTTGACTCCTAAGAGTGACTAGCGCCTAATTTCTCCTTACAACATCACAAATTAAGGTCATGAGAATAAAGAAATTGATCATCAACCGAGGAAAGTCTTGATTGTTAAACAAATTCTCCTTGTCAGTAACTTGGGAAATATATAGAGAACAGTGTGGAGAATCTGCATAATGATGGTAGGGTGTAAAGGAATCATACCTCGAGCCATCGAAGCAATCAGTTAGATTTTATATCAGACCTAAACTGATCGTTTTCCCGCTAAATCTCAAGCTGATTTTAAAGCGATGTGTATTAAACTCGTTTGCACGACTAAGAAATCACTTTCTTGCAGTGTCGTGAAAATATGTTTTGTGCTTTTCGTTTAATAGATGGATCGCTGGGATTGACGACTCACAGAAAACTGATGTGCATTACAGGTATGTAGATTGTGTCCAGCATCTAATTTCTCCTTACAGTACCAACTTTGAATCACCTGTAAAGGTCACGAGAATAAACGAAATGATCGCATATTAAAGAAGGTCTTGATTGTTAAACAAATTCTCCCTGCCAGCACTTTAAAAAATGTTTAGAGAACAGTATGGAGAATATGCATATTGACGTTAGGGTGTAAAGGGTTATGTGTAACTAACTTTGTCGTTGATTTGTCGGGCTTAAGCTTGCGGTAAATTCATTCGGGTTGTTATGAGAGAGGTGGACCTTGTGACAAATTTGAAGAATGAAACGACATTGAAGTGGACGGATAAGATGGAAATCTTGCCAAAGAATTCTTCCCATTCTTAGCACTTCACACTGTCCTACATACCTTGATTTGGTGGCTTGCTTTCCAATCCTGTCTCATCTTTCCAGCGCTATAGTTTCTATTATAATTGCAATTTTTACTGTAGCCGTGAAGGGTTTGAGTTGTCGCGTGTTCAAATACACCCTTCAAATGAGTGGCCCTGATTTCATTACATGTACAGGAATACCTTGAGATTCGATAAGCGATTGCAGCATTCACAGTTAATCCGTATATGTAATATCTCTATTGTGACATCCTGTATCACTCAGGTCTCTGGACGGCGAAGGAAACTTCAACTGGCGTTTTGTATTCCCATTCATGTTCCTCGCTGCGGAGAAAGTCCTGGTTGTTAGAAAGAAGGTAATACTGGCCTCTTCTTGTTATGAATTCAACAAATAGATTCCATGTGCGTCTGTTCAGTTTTTTTCCACATGTGGGCGTCTTCTGTGATCTATTATTATACGAGCCCACCGCAACATGGAATCTAATTGTTTTCTGTGATTAAAAAAAAGGAAAATGTTGTTGCTGATGACGTCATCTATGCGTCTGTCCCCTAATAGATCATGAGTCAGAACCAACCAAAATGCGTGTAGAATTCAGCTTATTATAAGAAGCTTACTGCATTCTCCTTGTCTGTTACAACAAAGGCAATGTTCAGACTAAAGGTGCTAATTTAAATGCATTGGTTTGATTATATCATGATAGGAACACTTTTGGAGTTTAGACGAAACAGAAGAACGTGTCCCTCCGCGCCTAGTCATCCAAATTTGGGACAATGACAAGTTCTCTGCGGATGACTTCTTAGGTGAGTTTTATTTGTGTGTTTTAGGATCCCAGAATCATTTCTGGATTTTGTGTGTCAGGGTTCGTACAGGTCCTGGAAAACCTGAAAAGTCCTGGAATCTTATTTCGACAATTCCAGGACTGGAAAATGATTACAGTTCCTGAAAAGTCTTGGAAATCTGCTCAACCCAAGCAACAAAGTTTTCAGAATTTACGTTGTAAGAAATGAATGTAGAGAATTGTATGTAAGTAAGGAGAATTGATTTTGAAATCTTGGAAATGAAAGGGTTTAAGGTTAAAATTGGTGTCCTGGAAAAATCCTGCCAAATATTGACATTGATCTACCTTACCTTGAGCCGTTTGACTGAAAGCACAAGAGTTTCCAGATTGCGATATTACTGATGAGGATAATTTTAACTTTCTTGTTCGTTTTCTGTTGGAAACTTCACTTGAGATGAGGGCAAATTTGCGCTAGCTGTTAGTTGTGTTGTTTCACCTTGGTATCTCGTACTTTCAAGGGAAACGAAAGAGTTTGAAATAATAGATGATAAATAACTGACATTAGACAAAGCCGTTAAATTTGAATACGAGATAATGGAGGTCAACCCTGATTTTCGATCAACGAGATATTTCATCCAAACCTTGTGGTTTTCTTTCCAGGTCAGTTAGAGCTGAATCTGAACCGTATGCCCAAGCCAGCCAAGAGTGCCAGGAGGTGTAGTCTGCAGCAGATACCCTCATACGAGGAAGGAAGAGCCAGCAGCAGTGTAGAGACGGTGTCCTTGTTTGAGTCGAAGAGAGTATACGGTTGGTGGCCTTGTGTGGCTCAGGAGGCAGGCGAAGAGATGCAATTAACGGTAAGGTCAAAAGAGAAAGTCTCCTTTCACTTGACGTACATAGGAGAATGGAAGTACATATCATCAGTTTCTCCCGGTTGGCTTGCAGTACTATGCGTCAGATGCCATCATGGACATAGAGCTGTTTTCAATTGAGTGTCGAAAGTAATTCACGATTGCTTTGCTTTTGCTCAATTTCGCACTGTGATTGGTCCCAAAAAATCGCGCCACCTTCTCATCCAATCAGATTCAAAACTAATTTGCCTGTTTTTAACTTGAATTCCCACTGGCTGACTTTGATGTCGACCTGCGCTCCAATTGGCTTTCGTGAGTACTGTGGTTTTGGTCTTTCGAAACTGAACTGAAAATTGCTCTATCATAAAGATGAATTTAAATTTTGATGATTTTGTTGGCTTTAAGGTTTGAAATAGTTAAAGAAGAGAAAAGGAGACGGAATTTTTACAAGGAGATATAGGAAAATATTCCATTTGCCATTACAATGGAGGCTTGTTATTCCGTTGTCCTTTGTTATCAAGGAAAAGCGCGGATGAATGTCAATATCGGAGCAACTGCGCATTTACCCTTCTCTTGACTCAAAATCAGTTGACTACTGTTGTTATTGGTCTTTTACTGAGTTTTGCTGATAAAATAGATCTAGCTAATTCACATGCTTAAGTTTTGTAATGAATTGTTTGAGCAACGATAGCTTTTTTATTTTCCTATTTATTGCAGGGTAAAGTAGAAATGGCCTTGGAGTTGTTGACCCACGACGAAGCTGAAGGAAAACCGGCTGGCAAGGGGAGAGATGAACCAAATCAGAACCCGACGTTAGACGAACCTAAGTAAGTAAACGAGCTATTCATGTTGGTGATATGAAGAGCCTGGCAGTGTTGATATTCAGCGAAGAGTTCGTTGCTGAACTTTGAAGGAAAGCATCGACTCAATTTCTAGGTAGTAGCTGAAATTCACGCTGTGTGAATGAACCATCAAGGGAGTAAGTATTTGAATCAGTACGAGTAGTTTTTGTTAAACTGGATTTATGTTCCCTTCGTGTTGTTACAGTCGCCCAGCAACCTCGTTTCGGTGGTTCACATCCCCTCTGAAGACCTTACGGTACATTATATGGAGAAACTACAAATGGATCATTATTGGAGTACTTATCACTCTACTGATCGTGGCCGCCATTGTTATCTTCCTGTATTCCATGCCGGTGAGTACGATGTTTGTTAATAGTTGAGCTGTATGAACGCCTGGATTGGTGAATCAGAGCCAGATATACGGCTCTGGTCAATGCATAGAAATTGAAAACAAGGAGATTCATACAACCCTTCCTCCTCCTCCCCCCATAAAATGTGGCGGTGAAAATGGCGGGAAAACGCGCAGTACGTGTGGTTTTTATGCACATCTGATTGGTTGATTTCGAAAAACGAAATTCCGTAAGAGGCCTTGTGAACCAAAGTGTCTTAACAAATTTTGCGGTGTATTCCGGCACAATGGTCTATAGGATTAAATGGAATGAAATTAAATGAAAACTGTTGATCGGTTCCCAACTAACGTCAGGAAAAAAGAAAAAACATTGATGACCATATGGTACACGTAGTGTACCGAACACTTTAGTATATTAAGGGATTTTAAATTAAGGGTGGCAGATGGTTGCTATGGTAACCCGACATGACCAAAATAAGTGATCGCAATTTGTCGATTAATGAGGATCTTCTTTGGTAGCTCAAAAGAAAAGAAAAATTGTGGTAGTGCCGATTCGTCAGAGAATTGATATTTTTTAAAAAAAATACGAAACCACTTTGCGTCAGCTAAACACTTTATCTCCCATGAACGCCCAAGACAGAATTACTCCTAACAATATCAATATAATATCAAGTAGACAAGTGATGAGAATAAAGTAAATATCAGTCGGAGAATATTAGTTGATCCAATACTAAATTCTTCAAAGTAACATCATAAGGATTGTATGACAGGAGGTAAGGAGAATGATTATTAGAACGAGGGAGTGAAAGAGTTTGTAAAATAATTATGATTCTATTTTTACATCGTGTTTCTTTTTTTTTTACCTTTTTGATGATCCTTTTTCCTTTTTTTTCTTTTCAGGGATACTCGGTGAAGAAGATATTCAACGTTTAAATCGTCCCCTACGACGGAAAACTAACACAGCTCAATACAAAGTCTAATTTGTCGAATTTATACTACTATTTCAAAGAATGAAATGTTAATAGGATTAATATATTGGGAGTGAATCTTCAGTATTATGTTAATCAGAAAAAATTAGTGGGAGATGCAATGCAATGACAATTGAATAGCTATTACGTAATTATCAAAAGTTATGGAAATATGTTTGAACCTTTGTTCAAATTGTTAGGTAGCATAATGATGATTGCATAACTGGTCATATGTTTGTTAACCTAGTTACTCTTATATATGCCCTACGTAATGTTTTGACTCCTTTATACTGGTGGCATAGCTTTCAGTGGAATCACTTAGGTTAAAAAAGGGTGCTTAGGAGTCTTTTCAGAGAATTATTTGATTTTGCTTCATCTATTTGTTTGATTTGCTTGTTTTCAATGTGAAGCGACTGTTTCTTTCTTCTCGTGTTCCATGCATTTGCATTATCCAATTGAGGTTTGAGATGTAAATTCGGTAAAAACGTAGAGTATTCGCCTTTTGCGTAGTTTTGTTTACTCTAGAAATAGCGGGCGAATAGAAATAATGTGTCTAACATTTTGTCGCTGGCGATGAATCCCTTTCTGTATTTGACCAGTAGACAATGGAACATGTAGGAATGAAAGGGAATTTCACATTAAAAATTTTTTTTCAATGTATTGTTGAATGCTGAAACCAGCTGGTTTCTTAGGTAGTGGTCTATTTTGCTCTCCCATGGTAAACTATCCGTCACGCAATCTCCAACTTTTTTACGTGACATCCCTATCAAATGTCACGCATCAAAAATATTTTAGGAGAGCGTGACGCTTAATGTGAGGCCATGTTACAAAATGGGTCAAGTTAGCATGTTAAAAGAGGAAAAAATACTTTGACAGTTTCAAAGGACAAAGTTAATCTTTTAGAACTGCTACTTGTCTAGCAATGTTTAGTAGTGCGAACGGATAACTCAAGTATAATAGTATTAAACATAAGCTGATATGACATGAATTCTTCCTTGGAAAATTTTGAAATATAGCATTTGACAATGAGTCCTTAGGTTAGCCGCGGGAATGAATATATTATTGAGAAAATGTAATTAATCTTTGTGGATACAATTCCTTTTCTCAAGTTAATTTCTTAAGCGTTGTTATTAATTGATACATCCATTCTGGATGGGTGCGACAATTGTTTGCATTTTGTTAAATAATCAATTATTTTTTCATTTGAATATTGCTTAACTAAGAACTATCTGAGATAGAAGGGTGTTAGCTTGTAGCTTCAATAAATAGGATTTGTGCTCTCGAATCAGAAATTGCTTCAGTGATCTTTCTCAGTTTGTTAGTTTAGCATTCTGAAGGGCGTCGAAAAATTGCCCCCGTCCTTACAAGAAATTTGTCGCTTGCGGTCTTTCAGCAATGAACGTAAACCTAGAGTACGTTTTTGATGGAAAAACTTACCTGAAAATAAGAGCCAATCGGACCAAATGAAAATATCGCAGGGTATCAACGATAATAAAAGCCACTCTGCCCTTATCAGGGAGAAATAACCAATAACACGTCACGCCTTTCATTGGGGTTAAGTTTTACAGTTAAGTCGCGTGGTACATTTCTAAAACCAAGGAAACGGTATGGTGGAGTATAACCAGAGTAACCAAATAAGGCCTCTGTTCAACATTCTATTGCACTTTTCCTAGAGTCAAAGCATTGTGACTCGAGTGTTAGCTGCAGCTTAAAGCCGACACCCCGGTTTGTTCGTCATTTTAGCTATCGCCGCCGATAGACGCTCTGTCGAAGTTACACGTCATTTCACCTAAAGAAATTGTCGTGAAAAAAGATAGCACTAAAAACGGTCCATAAAAATGCTATTAAAAAAGCAAGTCAGTAGTAATTTTATCGTTTTTCTTATTGTATACGGCCCAAAAAACACTTACATCCTTTCTCAGAGTTGTACCGCAAGCGTTCCTTATAAAAATAAATTGATCAAATACGACTGATTTCAAAGTACTTCACCGAGTTACATCTTGCGAAAGTACAACGCATTCGCTTGAATCGATGTTATCGATACATCAGCACTCCCCAGTCATCAAAGATAATGAGCAGGAAACCAGTTAAATATTTCGTGTAGACAGTTCGTTGTCATATTGACGATCGGACAGAATCGTTTTGAAACTAACCGATATGTTATTCGCCCTTTGATCGGTCAGAAATTATCATTTATATTACAGTGAAACTCGTAGCTATTCAATGAAAGCAATAGACCCCACTAAATGTCGTTATACCGGGGTATTAACCCATGCACTTACGATATGAAGCGTAGACTTGAAAACTTTTAAATCACTCGCCTTTGGCTCTTGACCCAAAAACCTTTCTCGTGTTTACCTATTAGAAAGCTCTTCAAATTGAGTGTCTTTCAACTAAGACCAAAGTTATCACAATGGCCAAACAGAAGAGAGGAAAATTCCTGTAAGAGCCAATGAGAACTAAAAAAAACCCGATTATTTAGCCTAAATGCGGGAAAACGCGAGCTACCAAGTCGTAATTGGTTTTTGTTTGATTGATTGATTGATTGATTGATCGATTGATTGAGCGACTGATCGGTCGAGAGGGTCTATGGAGCGAGTTTTCTGGACCAATCACAGAGCGAGGAAAACCAAAAAATAACTTTGAAAATTGTTTTATTCTGCGTCGGTTGTTACGCCAGTTCACCGATAGAGCGTGAGGTTTCATGCTAAGATAAGCAAATGTTCAAACAATCCTACTTGCATCAGGCGATGTTTTGTAAACAAAAAGAGGAAAATGACCAAGGTGATATAAAAACGACAGGTAGTCGAAAGACTTGATCCACTTCGATTGTTTGATCCGTTCAAATTACACATAACAATTGACGTTTTTCCTTTCTAAAGTAAATATCACAGCAGGTGCATGATTTTTGTGTCTATCGAGCGTAGTATAATTTATAGAATTGATTGATTTCTTTCTGATGGATTATTACGGAAATCTCCTTAGCGTTTAGCAACTGAAATGTTTCAAAATAAGACGAATTAAGGTTTGTGTTTTCCCAACAATTTATGCACGTCAATACCCTTTCAGTCTTGGTCAATAGCTATTATTTATCAAAAGCAGGTGAATGTCCTTGAGTAAATAGTCTTCGCCATCTGTCTGTAAAAAATCATTCAGGCTCTTTTTTTCTTTTCCTACGGTTTTGCCTTAACGATAAACCACATTATTAAAGTTACCTTTGGGGATGAACACACGTGGCCCTGCTCTTTCTTACTATACAGTTGGATACTATAAATTTTACTGCGGAATAGATTTAGAATTACAAATACAAGGAAAATTAAACATTTTGTCTCTGCTTGCTTCCCCTTTATAAGCTTAATTTAGCAATGTAAAACAATTTCGATGCGATACCGCTAACAAAGAGAGAGTACTTATTTAAACGCTAGCCTAACAAGACTGCAGACTCTGCCAAATTAAGGGGGGATAGATTGTAGTATTAAAACACACCTTTCATTCTCAACAGGTTCTATATTTTTATCAAACTGGGACGGAAGGGGGAAAGAAAGGTGGAAACCTTTCGTCTATGAATTTACCTTCACAGAGCTTGTCCCAGCTGATAGATAACCAAGGAGTGATTTGTAGTAGTCGCCTTTTCGATCTCGACAAAATATAACAATAATACTCAAAAAATATTTAAATTTCATCGCACACAGTTACAATAACTTATGAATAATAATTGTTCCTTATATTCTTGTGATCGACTACACTGGTTGTGAAATTAAATCTGTGGTTATTCACAGCATCTCTTCAAACAACAGATTTAGACAATTGTTCTCTTTTCAAAATATATCAGTGATAAAGTAGTTTGCAGTTTAATATCTCATCGTCAGTGTAGGCTTTGTGGAAAGTTTCAAGTTCAAACAATCAATTCAAATTTTGTCTGCTTAGCGAACGTTTACATGGTAACAAGTCAAGCCGAAGAGCATCGTTAAAATGCCATTGTTACTTCCATTTTATTTGTTTCCAAACCCTTTTCATTTTTCCCTCGCGGCCACGAAGAGAGTTTATTGTTATCACAATTTGATATCCATGTCGGAGTTAATCATTCCCTTAGGAAGAAAAATGCAAGTTTGAGGCAAAGAGAAGATTTTAAAGGTGAGATAGTTAAATATTTTTTTGAGGAGGTAAATTTTCAATATACGTGGGGAAGCATTAAACCCAGTGTTGACGGAATATTTGCACGTTGAATTTCCAAACAAATAATCGTGTCCACCTCTCGGAAACTTAGCACATGGTTTTGGAATTTATGATCTTGAGTGATTACCGCGTGTTTAAGTGTTCTCTTATTTCTTCTGATAAAATTTCACTTATCTTCATTAAAATGGACTAAGTGGAAAAACGTTGAGGTTGTAGTTTAATGTGCGTCGCGCTAATGTGTTGGTAATTACATATCTTTTGGAAGTTGACTACCGACAAAGAAAAGGCTGAACTGTTACATGCATTTGCGGAATAGAACTGTTTTCTTAATTTTGCTGGTTCGAATTTCTTACGGGTTTCTCTATAATATTTTTGTCTCAAAGAGTCACTCAGCAGGTCATTGTGAGTTGAATCAAATGAACCTTTCAAAAGTATTTCTTTCCCTGTCCAGTTTACTTCACCTCTTATCATATTATGTGAAAAGAAAGACAAATTCTTTCAAGAAAAAGAATCGAATGCTTTGGTAAGATGTTTTCGTGAAGTGCCCGGCTGTGGAAATTTTTTGTTGAAATAATGATTTAAGACAGTAATTAAAAAATATGCAAAGCAAGTTAGAAAAAAAAATAATAAAAAAATAAACTCCAAGGGCTAACAAATTACAAAAAAATACAATAAAGTATCACGTTTTACAGTCACGGTGAGATTCAACAAAAAAGTGTATGCCCAGAAATAAACAAATCGGCCACAACTGGCCCTTTTCGTTTCGTGTTGTCAGGGGATGGGGAAGCCCTTATTATTTCCAATAACCTTTTTTTTTAATTCCCAGGGAAACAACGGACAAATTTAGAGGGTTAGTTGTCAAGGTAACGATACGTGACGTCTCAGGTCAGATGAATTATGTACGCAAATTCGGGCATTGTGCTTTTGTTTGGGTGTCGCTCCTGAAAACGTGGCATTATTCCTACCAATTATGCTCACAATTTGTCATTAAAAAATATGCTCAATTTAATGATTCAAAATGATAGCTTTTGAGAGCCCCTCAAAACCTCCCCCCCACCCCCTCCCCTCCGCCATTCCCACAACAATCAGCTTAGTAAAACTAGCTGAGAATAAAAGACTTGCCGAGGTTCACAGCACAACATTTTGCAAATTCCAGTGCAAGCGGGAAAATCAGGCTCTCTGATGACAGTACTCAGCCTTGATAACTTTTCTCTTGTTTAAATGTGTTAAAAGACAAAAATGGCATCCAGCAAGAATTTTCTGTATATGTGTTTTTAACTTATTTAAGTATTGGAAAATGAATGGAAATAATATATTACCATAAGCCATTCAGTAAAAATTATAATAAGCCAGTTGATCGTTTCTTATTCCTTTTGGCGGTCTTATCCTACAGGTAGAATTTCGGTCTCCTTCTTCTTATTGTGATCGTAAATTTGACATGGAGTCAGATGTTTCTACGTAAACTACAATTTGCAGCTAAATCTTGGTATATTTCCATTATGTTGAGAAGAGATGTTTAATTACGAAGAAGAATGATTTTATCTTATAAAAATTGATCCCGTACAGGAATTTCCTGGAAGTAACCTTTCTCAAATTTTTTTTAACCTCTTTGACTATTCTCGTTTTTTAGGTTAAGTCCATATCGAATTCACGATCAAGAACATAGTTCTTAAATTTCAGTTTAACACGTTCGACACCTGTTTTTCTTAGAGGTGACTTAAGGTGTAAACATGTAGTACTTTTCATCGTCTGTACTAAAGTTATAATCACGGAACTTATATGAGGAGCACGTAGCTCTTTCGAGGCGGTACTTTGGGTATGCCCTTTCTTCTCCGAATTTCTGCATGTTTATTCTGTTGTTATGAAACAGTCTTCGAAGGCTATTTTCTCTTAAGACGTCTTTCTAAGTATGATTCTAATTCTGCTAGTAAGTTCATTATACTTATCGTAATGTCAATCTTGTTTTTGTTTTGCCCGACCTTGACCGTAAGACTAAGAAATTTTAGGTAGAAAATCATTTTGTAAAGTGTAAACATCTCGAAGGTACATACTTAGTACGCAGGAACTGTTTCTGGTAATTTAACGGGATTTGCTAACTGAGTGATAATTGATAACGTTGCATGAGGATTGAAAGCTTAGTAAGTGTCACCTTTATAAGCTGGTCACCTGCATTCTCACTCAGATCTGAGCTGTACCCAGCATAGTGACTTATATAGCATAAGAGTGAATAAGGAAAGAGACAACCGAACGAATGTTAGAAATACTACTCTAACAAATGTAACATAGAGAAATTTTTTTAAGACTTTTAGCCATTAAAGCGGCATTATGCTCGAGCTTTTCTTAATTTTTTTCAACACACAACGGTATAATTTGCGGATCTCAGCAGTATGCAGATCTGCATGTGGCTTGCGCTCCAAATACTGTTGTGAGACTTGCACCTTTTCATTAGTTTCACATTCATGTTAAATGTTTAAAAAACAATTCTAAAAATCTTTAAAAACCTTCATTTATATCATCCTCCTTTTAATAAAGGGTTGGGCGCCTTTATGGAAGAGTAACTCTAATAACTCTGATTTGCCTTAATTTTCGCAATCCCCCCGTAAAACATCGGATGAAATCGCGGATGAACGACACTTTCATCTTGATTGAGTCAAGATGAACATGTCGATCATCTACGATTTCTTGGTTTGACCACCAAAATGAAGAAAGGCATTCAAAGAAAAAAATGGATCTTATCGGTTTGCGAAACAACCTGAGAAGTTTCTCAGAATACCTTTCGCCTAGCGCTTTCCTCACCGTGAGAGCGATCATGGGGGTGTACTGGAACACGGAAACATGGAAAAGGGGGTTGCTAAAAGATCAGTTAAACCAAAAGCACTGAACAGCAAAATCACGAAGTTTTTGACAGTTTAACTGTGTGATCGCGCTTCACTTCATGGAAATATCAATTGTACACTTTATAATCTGTCAGTGTGTGTAAGGATGCATCCATATGAGGGTAATGAAAACTTACGCAATAGATTTCGGTCTCCGTTGATATTAAGCGTATTTCTGACTTTATGTCGCGTGTTTGAGGAAATTACTTTTCCTTCCATGCCGACTCCAATGCGCATCTTCGTCATATCTTGTCCAGGCAAAGATCACTAAAAGCATTAAATGTAGCATTAGACTGGATTACAGGATAACCTTTAACTCGCCGAAGTGATCAGCGAGTAACCTCTCCATATAATGTCTTAACATTTTCCAATAGTCAAGTTGTAAGATGAGAATACTAAAACGTATCTGGTAACAGTTGTCATCTTGATCTAATGACAAATTTTTGTAACTTATTTACGAGGAAAGATGCAAGGAGCTCGTGGATAGATTTAACAATCAGATCATGGGAATTAGGGTTACTCATTAATTTTCCAAGATCTTCTGCATTTGCCTCTGAATCGATTTTCAAATCTCAGTAAATCATAATTCAGTTATCATTGATCCATCAGAATGATATAAGTTCAGTTAACATGGCTATGGAGATCACTGGTAGTTACAAAGCTTATACATGTAGCATTCTTTCCCGCCAACAGCTGACAAAGAGAAGCGTTAATTGAAGACAACTAATTCTCATTTGAATCCTGGAATACTGGCAAAAGGAAAACATAAATCAAAGTTTCTTGTTACAATGTATAGTCTTGTTTGCCTAAACCTTAATCTTTTCTCTCCTTAGAGCTCAATCAATAGCTATTTTCCTTACTGTCTGCCCTCAAATTTCCTATAATGCTGCTTCTAAGAATTTGGTGTTAACTCAAACAATAATCCCCTTGTTGATATTTTTCTTTGTTCTCATCACCTACCAGAATGGTATTAAAGAGAAAATTACAAGTCCTAGGTCACTACTACTGGAAGTGAAGGGGTTAATACCAAAGATAAATATATCATGAGGCTGAGTCTCAAAACTGGATTTTAAAATATACTATATAATTGTGGTTAAATTCAATATCCACATAGCTTTTGTATTGTTTCTTTTTAGGTTTGTTTTACGGGACATCATGGATGATGATGGGGATGCTATATCCTCCCCTCCCCCACCTGCTCCAGCCCCAACTCCATCTTCCCCAGTAGAAACTCCGCAGCCAGTTGAGAGAGCAGTTACTCCAGAACCTCCACGTGAGACAGATCAGGCTCAATCGAAGGTTGAGCAGCCATCCAAGGATGAGAGACCAGAAGGCACAAAGACACCACCTGGTGGAAGTCAAGAAAGGTAAGCAAGAAAACATGTTTGTGCCAAAAAATTCTGTTTGTTGATAACAATAAAAATGTTGTGCCCCAAGGGAGGGTGGGTGGGAAAGCAAACTCGAATGAGAACCTAGCACACAAAGCTAGCTAGCTGACAGTGTGGAGATGCAAGCATGATACTCATTCAGCAATCCTTGTTATTAATTAACCTCATAATGGAGGTCTGCTTGCAAGCTAGACTGATTGGGTTTGAAGATATCTTGGGTAAAGTATCCAAATCCTCCCTTAAACATTACTTTCAAGGTGTGATTTGATGTGGTTTAACTACAATACACATTTAATGGCTTTGTCTTGAAATTATTTATCCAAAAAAAAAAAGGATGCATGAAAAACTACATGGAACAGAGGATTTACTGGCAAAAAGTGAAGCAAGGAAGAAGCTACCAGACAAAAATCTTGATTTTCAGGTCTGTAAATTATAATTTCAATGTTTGGAAAATAGCCATTAACCCTTTAACTCCCATGAGTGATCAAGACAGAATTTCTCCTTTTAAGATCAATACAATATCAAGCAAGCAAGTGATGAGAATAAGGAAAAATATTAATAAGGGGATTACTAGTTGGTCCAACACCAAATTCTCAAAACTACTCACAAGAACTGTATGGCAGACAGTAAGGAGAATTACTAGTGAGGTCTTGGGAGTTAAAGGGTTAATTAGCTATTAACTTGGGGATGGTTTAAATCCCATCCAAAGGGGGAGTGCATGCAGTAATACTCCTTGTTGCTTCATGTTATGGAAACTAGGATAAGCTTCCTCTGGATGGGCCACTTAGCTTTAGTACAGACTTTACCTTCCCTGTCAGTGGTTGTTGTACTTATTTTGTACTATCCATATGCCTTGCAGTTTTAAATAATAAAGGCCTGATCCGTGTTTTATTTCATTAATGCTTATCTTTTCACTTTTCAGGTGAGGGTTAGGATTATCGAGGGTCGTCAGCTTGCAGGAGCTAACATCAGCCCTGTGGTCCGTGTGACAATGGACAATCAGTCACGGCAGACTAAAGTCATCAAATCAACCAACAAGCCATTTTATGACGAGGTTCGAAAATCAGAAATAGAATTGCTAGAAATATACTTTAGATTTCCTGAACCTTTGACACCCTAACATCATGTAGTGCGCATATTCACCATAGGGTTCTCCGTACATTTCCCATAGTGCTTGCAAAGAGAATTAATGTTTAACAGTCAGGAGCTCCTTTAGTTGGTTATCATTTCCTTTATTCTCATGTCTTAAATGTTTGATTCAGTGGTGATTCTGATTCTTTTTTTTGACTCAATCAGAAGACCTGATTTCTTGAAGAATTCTGCTTTATTTCCTTAAGGCACATTGAACTAAACTGACTATAGTTGCCATGTTGTTAAATCTCAACAGGTGTTTTTCTTCAATTTCAATGTTACACCACACAAACTGTTTGATGCTCAAGCCCTGTTTGAGGTATGATGTGAAAGAAGTTACGCAGATGGATAAAGAATTTACTCAATTTACCTGCAATACCACAGTGAGATTTTTTGTGGCCAATTTGAACAAGGAAAGAGACAAATGTTTTAAATAAGAAAGAAATAATCAACAAGTAAGGGCTATTGAAAATGATTAAGAAATGATAAAATGCTGTACTTTAATTGTTCATATTTGATCAGGAAAATAGGTTACATTACTTAAATAATTCACTATTCTTACTTTGCTCAGGAGTTTGCTGAATATAAAATTTTGTTCTCCAGGTTTTTAATTCCAAGAAATTAAGAGCAAATGCAATGGTGGGGAGTTTTCAGGTGAGATCTGCTTAGTTAAATGCAAGGCATGTGACATCTTCTTCTCATTAGCATAGTTGTTTACAGTAAAAAAAAAACATGGACAATATCTATATTATAAAATATCTATATTATATATTATATATTATATTAAAATATCTATATTATATCTATCTATATATCTATATAATATCTATATCTATATATCTAGTTATTTGGGAAGTTTATATGTTGTACTGTCATTTATTTATGCAAGAATTTTTTTTCAGAACATAGTAGGAGGGAGCTAAAGGGTTGTTAAAGTCATTCATACATAAGCACTTTTGTTCACCTCAATAAAGCATGAGAAAAATGTTTATGTTGTACAAATCACACATTTTATCTAGTTTCAATACTAGCGCCAAAGCTATTCGTAAATCTCATTATGTTCCAAATTATTGATGATGAAGCTGACATACATTCTGTTCTGGTCAAAAATTTAAGGGAATGTTGATATACTTCACAATTATTTTTGTGTTTTATGATGTTTCATAAAAAGTCAGATCTGACTATTTCATTTATCTTGCAGTGTGATGTTGGATTCTTCTATGATGAACCTTGTAAGATCACAAAAATCTACCTTATTATGAAAATTATAATTATCTGTTTAACATTTTTTAAATTTGAGGTACATGTAACTTTAGTTGAAAGATTTTGTACCATATTCTTGTGCTGGGGTTATATACCTCAAATATGTCTAGAGTAGTGATGTTTGGTTTAGATTCAACTTCAGTTGCTTTATTTTTTCCAGCTCATTCTGTACTAAGGAAGTGGATACTTTTATCTGACCCAGAGGATAAAATGGCAGGAGCAAAAGTAAGAAGCATTTCTTGTATTTTGGATAACTTGTCCTGTATTTTGATCTATAGAGCAGCTGATACACTCACATACATGTTCACATTCATAGTGGCTAAACTAGTTCTCATTTTCACATTTTCCTTCCTCGATGGTTTGATATCTGAGTTTGATTTTAATCTGATAACTGAAAAAAATCAAGATGAGATGTTAATTTTCAAACCAAGGAAAAAAATTGATCCACACCAATACATAGTGGTTTTAGTTTAGTGCATGAGGGTGATGAGGAAAATTAACCATTTCCCCAAATAGTCTAGTGGGAGATTCAGTGGCGTATATTTTAGTGCACTGGACTCTGGGTGCCTCATGAACAAGGCATGCTCACAATACATGCATATAATTGAATTCAACAACTTTCTTCAATTCAGATCATACTTTTATTACATTTTCCTTTTACAACCCTTCTATTGTACTTCATTCTTCAAAGATAAATGGTAAGATACATGTGAACATGTATCTCTAAATTTTTTTAAACCACTCTTTGCAGGGCTACTTGAAAGTTACAGTTATGGTTCTTGGACCTGGTGATGAAGCCCCAGTAAGTGAGAAATATAATAGATTTCTTGATGTAATGACTCTCATGTTAGTAAGATAGTCTAAGGTTGAGTGGTATCAATAAACGAGTGTGGCATCAATTCTCTCTTGTAGTCACTTGATATTTCCTTGTAAAAAAGTCACAAGAATTTGACGTTAGACCAAGATAACAACTTCTACATGTACCTGATAAGTTTGAGAAATCTTGATACCTGTTTATTGGCTAATGTATGGATATTTTAAGGGGAAATTTCATGTTACTTCTTAGAATTAAAGGATTGGTAAAGAATGCGTTGTCCATGTTTCACTGTGATTGATGCTTTCGTTTGTGTAAAGAAAGCATGGAACACCACTTGACTCTCCATAAACAAATACCTGAGGCCTAAAATGCCTTGAAACATGAAACTTTTTGCACTTTTTGTTCACTTAAATATGTGTTACTTTCATCAGTTACATGCATTGATAATGATTCAAATTGTGTTCTATAAATGTATAATATCAAATTGTGCAAGGTTTGTGAATAATTCAACTCAGCATGTACACGTATTAGATGTGGATTAATTACTAGTGTTGGAGATATCTCAGGGTGGTGCATCGATACAGTTTGGGTGCCACAGGGTAACTAAAATATGTCTTTAATGAATGCTTGTATGGTTTGAGCACCCTGGCTTTCTGAGATCAGAGCTTTGATCATCCATCCAATCGTGTAACCCTTTATTTATTTTTTGATTCCCAAAGAGTGCCTGCAGGCTTCTAATTTCTTGTTACTGTCTCACTTTTAAATCAGATATAGAGGTCATAAGAATAATAAAAGTAATAAACCATTACCAAATTAGAAAGCTCCTGATTGATCGTCAAACAAAATTTCTTAGTCAGTACCATAGGAAATGTAGAGAGAACAGTGTGGAGAATATGAATACTGATGTCAGGATGTAAATGATTGAGAGTGCTATTTTTTATGTGATATCTTTGTGCAGGTAGTGACGATAACTGAGGATCAAGATGACCTTGATGATATTGAAGAGTGAGTGATATTAAGTTTGGTTTGTTTAATGTTTTTGTTTCTTTTTTTTGGATGTTGAGCTCACATTTGAAATTTGCTGCATTTGGTTTGTGGGCTTGAAATGTTTGCTTATGTACAAAGAAAGCCTCTTCATTTATTGAATCTAAATTAGATTTTTTGTGTGTGTTAGCCATAATGATTGTGTTTCTGTTATCTTGTTGTCCTTATTAATTTCAGTTTTCCATACATGTCACGATCATTTTATGTAGAGAGTGAAGTTTTATATTTATTTGCACTCTGACTGTGTTTTCTTTCTTTAGTAACTTGATCCAACCTCCAGGCATGATGCTTAGACCTGCAGTTTTCTCCTTGAGAGTGTATAGAGCTGAGGATATTCCACAGAGTAATACTTTATTTTTATTAGCAATTTATTAGTAGTTGTAGGGGATCCGTGTGGTTTCTCCTAGTGCTGGGAGTAATGCAACCCTGAAAAGATAAAAATACATCTTTGTCTAAGTTCTCAGTATCTCATTTGGTAGAACATGGGAAATTCAGAATCGGACTTTTCTTTGAACTAACTTTGCGAATAATGTTTAGCATCCTTTTCTAGTTCTGAGCTTTTTACCTCTTGAAGTTCCTAAAATTCAATTTTCTTCTGTCTGAATCAAATCAGTGTACATTTTAAAAGCTCATTAGGTTGTGCAATGTCTATAACTGTCTGAGACATATGGACATGCATACCATAGAAAATAAATTTTCATGGACTTGTTATGTATTTATCTTTTTGTTCTGTTACATTTGTTTCTTTGCAGTGGACTCTGCTGTATGTGAGACAATTAAAAAATCCTTTGTTGGTGGGGAGATGAAAGAGTTGGTTGACCCTTACATGATGTTCTCATTTGCTGGCAAAGAAGTATGCCCTTTTTTTTCACCTGTTTGATTAAATTTTCTAATTTTCCTTTGCTTTAAAACAATATGGTCTCAAAAACTTTGCACCAACATGAACCAGAATGTATACATGTATATGTAGCTGCTGACATATACTCGTATATCTACAGAACAGTACTTTTGTTATCAGGAAACATAGAGATCAAATGGAAATTCTTGTTGCCATAACTGATTTCAAGAAATAACCTTTAAGAGTAGGCATATCTATGTGAACTGCAAGTTTTACAACAAATTTACTTCAAAATGCAATCATAGTTCTTCTGATGGACACAGATGCCTGGGAGTTGCCAGATCTAGTGAACAATGCCCGTACAATAATTCCCCTGAAGTTTACTGAACTAGGATCAATACATATGTGTTATTGATCACGTGTTAAGTCAAAATGGCAAGACTTTTGCCAAGCTCCTTTTCTATGTTTTATGAACCAAGTTGAATGTTAAGTTTATAAAAATTAAAAAAAAAGAACGTAACTTTCGGCCATTTTGAAGGAATAGGCTTGGCTATAAGTAAAAGATTATCATGTAACAAAAATATTTTGCTTCTGTGAGAATTGAGAATGACTGGTTAATTTTTGTGCGGTGGGAAAGAAAGCCAATTGGGGGGTACATGTTCGTTTTTTATTTAAAAAAATGGGAAATATCAATAAGCTTACAATCTCAGTTAAATAAAATTAGAGAGCTGCACAAAGTTAAATTCTTTTTTCTTGCTTGGGATAAAAGCTGGCAATCCCACTTGGGTAGCAATTTAGAACAAAGGATAGGCTTCATCTTACCCACAGGATCTTTAAGGTCTCAATAATAAGATTTCTCCTTTTCTAGGCAAGAACGGATGTACACAAAAACTGTGATCACCCTGAATTCAAACAAGAGCTACATGTTCCATTTCAGGTACAAGTTATTTTTGCTTTGGTTGCTACATTAGAATTGAAATCTTGTTTGTGTCTTTAACACTTTCTCTCCCAGGAGCAACCAGAATGAAATCTCTCCTTACAATAAAGGGCCCAGTTGTTTTAAAGGTCAATCTTGCAAATAATATTTTCAAATTAGTGTTAATGCCAAGTGTGCTGTCCAAGCAGGTTGCCCTACTACTGAGCCACAGAGAAAATATTGGTGAGCTTGGCCAGGAACATGTCTATTCAGTGCTGTTTAGAGTATAATAAAGGATGTGGAAAAATTATGCGCTTCTGATTGGCTGAAAATGAGTGCATTCTCATGTAACATGAGTGAAAATTACAAATAGTGTGCACATGCTTTCAAAATTTTCATCTGTCTTGCCTTCCAGTCGTGTTTTACTCATGTATACTAGTAACAAGTAATAACAAGATTTCTCTTGCAATTTGGTGTAATATGCACTTGTAAATTTTTCAAAGATTACAAATTGCACCTATCCTACAGGCTTGTACAATTTTGTTGTCTTTGAAAAATTTACTCGTGCTTATTTACACCAGATTGCACTCAAAATAATGTTATTACCTTTACATATATAGGGCATTTGTCATGTTTTAATTGAACCTGGTAATGACCTTGCACACCAAGAGTTCTCCAAGGCTAATTAGTAGAAAATCAAACTGTGAAATCTGAGGTTCTAATCTTTGGGAGTGGGAATGGGATCAGGACTGAGTCTTTTTTCCTACCCTTGTGACAAATAAATAATTTTTTTCATTTGCTGACCAAACTTTTAAAAGATTTACAACATTCCTTGATTAATCTGGTGTCATGGAGTCAAAAAGTGACCATGCGTATAGTGTTGCCTTTTTTAATATACACTTTACATGATACTGGTGGACATTTACTTTGTGTGTTAAGATAAATTCAAGGGTTATAGTTAGTTCAGGAGAAGTCATGTACAGTTACATGTACATATGTGCCAACAGTATATTTATGCCAGACAGATGAAATGAAGTACATAAAATTTATTTTCCAGTTCCCTACAATGGCAGAAAAATTAAAGTTGCAGTTATGGGACTGGTATGTAATTTTTAAAATAATATTCATAGTTTAATTTATTTTATTATACTTCTTTTAGTTAATTTTGAAGTTGAACAAGTTAAGTCTAATAAAAATTATGATTGGTACATGTCAACAATATAACAGATAATCAACAAATTTATGCCTAGAAAAGTATATTTTGTTGTATACATGCTATTGAAAAAATTTTTCTAAAGTTGCAAATATTTTTCCCGGTTAGAAATTTTTAGAATTCCTTGCTGATGGATGTGACCTCCTTTAGAGAGGGTATCTGGATGACTGTAGAATATATCATTTTGATGATCAGTTTTGAGCTAAAATTGTTCACTGCCAAATATTGAAACACTTGTGACGCTAAATTTGAATTTTTAGGTAGATGGCATTATAAAGGATAAGCTCTCTCCAGCTTAGTAGTAGAGTGTTGCGCTACAAAATCTGCACCTCTGAGGTTCCAGTCCTCATGAAGCACTCAGAGGTTTTTTCTTTTTCAGGTGCCCTCAACATAAGAACCATTTTTGAACACAATACTTATGTTATGCAAAACTGTTGTTTTCTAGGGACAAATTAAGTGGCGATGACTGCATTGGAACGTATTACCTTCCCATGTCTGAAATATCTGGACAAGGAGAGGAAGGTTGGTACATGTATAAAAAAAGACTTAACATACTGTTTATTAGTCCTGGAAGTGCAGTGTCCGAGACAAACTTCTTAGGAGGAACATAATCTTGAGGGAGGCCAAAATAAGTTCCAAAGTAGAGTTTGAAGGAGATCCATGGTGTATGCTCCCCAGAAAAAGCCAAGGTGGCCTAATCTATTCCCTGATCTGCGCAGACAAAACAGTCGGTGTTGATAGGCAGCAGTAGACCACCGGTAACTAGCTGTTGTTGAAACATTATGAAATTTGGTCATGAGCTGCACATGCTTTTCATTGCTAAATAACCGCAGAAAAACTGAAGTTCAGTTTTTCTGCGGTTATTTAGCAATGAAGATGAGAACAACAACTTGCTTCAACAAGAGCAACAAGTGAAAGGATCTTTCTTGTTGTTTTAAATATTTGTTCTCTGGAAGTACATTTCTGTTTGTGTCTTCCTCATTCATCAACAGTCTACTGCCATGATTTGACCAACTCTATTCTCTTGTACTTCTAGGTTACCTGCCAAGGTTTGGACCCTGCTTCATAAACTTTTACGGCTCCACAAGAGAATACTCAGATCTTCCTGATGAATTTGATGATTTGAATATTGGCGTTGTAAGTCCTCATGAATACAAACGTTTGATTGTTTACACCCTTACAGTCCATCAATTATTTTCGCTCGCTCACGAGCTATTGATCTCAATCTATCACTTGACCGCATATGCCCTCAGATAATAATCTTAAATTTGTAAACCTTATGTCCAGTGCGATGAAAGTCTTCGTTTAAGGTTCAATTCAAGATGAAAGAGTCTTTAGCTGTTATTTCAGAAGAAGGGACATGTTTGTTTGTTCATTAAGTCGTTCCAGAGAAAACTGAAAAGTAAACAAACCAAGCATCAAGTGGGAAGCAATTCGTTACCATTTTGTCTTACGCGTTGCAAAAAAGTTTTGATAGATGATAAACATCGTAGTGTTTATTTGGCGCGAAAATATACTCGTACATTAGGGACATCATGTGTTCATCGAAGCTCACAGTTTTCGTTGAGCTTTAATCGCGGAAAATTGTTAGATATACCTTTATTGTGATTGGCTGACGTGTTTACTTGAGTCTCAATCTACTTTCAGGGTCAGGGTGTAGCATACCGTGGCCGAGCTTTAGTTGAGCTGGAGACAAAGTTGGACACTCAACCTACCAAGATGGTCGAAGAAGTACTAAATGATGACATTATACGAGTTCAGGTATGCGTAGCTCCTGCTTGAAAAAAAGAAACGATTTACTAGTTGGTATAACGTGATATGTTCGTAGACATCCCTTTCTTTCCATCAACGGACATTTCTCAAAATCAATGCGACGGATGTTAGAGAAAGAGGTGTAACGTAAGCACCGAACAGTTTTGCACATTTGGATCGAGCAGTTTTCGAATGAGTGTTGAATGTAATCGGGCACTGCATTGTTTTTGCTTTACTTCACTCTGTGATTGGTCCAGAAAACTTGCATCATTCTCTCAGACAATCACATGATAAACTAAAACCAATCACGACTTGGTCGCTCGCGTTTTCCCGCGCTTTAGGCAGTTTGGTCGGTTTGAGATCTCATTGGCTTTAAAGGTATTTTCCTTTTTTCTGATTGACCGTTGTGATTAATTTGGATTTGGTTTTACGACAGTCGATTGAAAAGCTCTCTAACATGCTGCACAGACTATGTGACTTAGACCCTAGTGTTACCAAACCCAATAGGGTGTTAGCTCAAGTCACATACCTTTGCCCGTCTTGAAAGTGGCCTGACTTCTGGGAAATATTTCTTAAAAACCAGAGCATGTTTAAGTTCAGTTATTTTCCCTTCCAGACTTATCTACGTCGGCGTAAATACAAGCTGTTTGCCTGCTTCCTGGAAGCCACACTGGTCGCTTGTACTGATGGACCTGTTACTTTTGAAATAAGCATAGGTATGAATGGATACGTGATTAGCAAATGTTGACTTGTTATGTGTTCCATTACTGAACAGACCCACGACAACATGGCATTTATTTTATTTTAAATGATAGAAAAACAAAATGCTGTTAACGGTGGCGTCGTCTATGGGACTGTCCTTTAATAGATCATTAACAAGAACCAATCAAAACGCCCGTAGGAGTCACCTTATCATATTAAAAAAAAATTGCTCACGGTTGTCGCAATGCGCACAGTTTTTTGTAAAAGTACTGATAGGAAAATTCCCTTGACTCAATTTCAAGAAGTATTGCAAAGTGATAAACTACTTGTTCTTCGCTTGCTTCTGTTGCTACACTGTTGTTTGGTTTCTGTTTTGGATTCTGATATGCAAATTTTAATTTTGTTACATGATGGTAGTCCATTGAAAGCATTCCTTGAAATAAAGTTGTTAAAAATTTTGGATTCCCTTCCCCTGCCCCCCCCTTAAAAAGACAAGTGCATATCACATCCCTGCCTTCTCATGGCAGTTACTTCCTCATTCTTCTGTCCTCGAGATGGCCATTGTAGTTTCTGGTATGCGTTTTTTTCTCAGGTAACTATGGAAACCAGCTGGACTTGTCAGTGCCGCCCTCGTCGTCTTCTACGTCACCAACAAACGCCATATTTGATGGAAGCTACTATTACTTCCTGCCATGGAATGATATTAAACCGTGTTGTAATGTAGATAGTCACTGGGAAGATATCGCCTTCAGACTGGAGCCACGAAATATTCTGACACGGATATGTGAACAACTTGTGAGTTTTAACATTTCGCTAAACAGATGTGCCAAAAGTTCCATTTATTTACGGAGGATTGATGTGTGTATTGTGATTTTCCAATTAGGAGTCAGACTTGGAAAAAGTTCAGCTGGCTGTTTCTGAGAAAGCAACTCTAACAACCGTTGCTGTTCTTACAATTAAAATGCTGGATACATTGATAGAGAGCTGCAGGTAAGAAAGCTGGGAGGGTCATCACACAATCCGTCTTAGGAACGTTGATCATGTTGAGGCGGTTTTGTATCTATCAGCAAGTCTTGTGATTTTTAACCCCTGTTTTGAACCCCCGTGATCTGATTCTCAATTCTCCCATCTAGCTGCCCTAAATTTCTTTTAGAGGCAAAAAGAAGAATCTGCACCCGCTAGTTAATAAGTTTGTTTCCTTCTGATCTCTTGATTGTTGGATAATGTGTTGATTTTGCACGAGAAGTTATAGATCGATCAAGTGAGGAGAAGTGAACAGAACACATTCAAAAGATGAGACATCTTAGATCAACACTCAAATAAATACGGCTTTATTAAAGTGATCTCCTATGATTCGCAGAAAACCGCTTCCGCAGTTGGCAGCCAAAACACCCGGAATCAACGATCTTGATCTGAAGAGAAGAGACACACGAGAAAGTGAATTGGTCAGTGTGAAAGTGTCAAATCCACATCGATGCTAATTATATATCTTTGATTCAGAGCCACTTTCAATTGATTGTCGAAAGTAATCCGAGATGTTATTGGTTTTGCTTTTCTTTGCTCTGTGATTGTTCCAAAAAAACTCGCGCCACTCTCTCATCAAATCCGATGCACAACTAAAACCAATCATGACTTGGTCACCTGCGTTTCCCCGCTCTTTGGTTGGTTTCTACTTTGAGTTCACATTGGTTCCTAATAATATTTTCTTTTTTTCTTATTAGTAGATTTGACAACTTTGGTTTTGGTTTTAGCGGTACTTAATCGAAAAGCGTTCTAAGATGTGAGATTTTGTAAAGCCATCCCTTTTGGTTGCGTTGATTGTTTCATTTACTCTCCCGCATATGTCTCCTTGACACTCTGTCGGTGTCGCAATTGAGAAAACTAAACTGAACGTCGCGATATTTTGAGTCGCTCCTCTGCGAAAAAAAATTTACTTATTTACAGGAAAACTGTGAAATAATATTTTGCCTAAGGGGTACGTTCCCTCGCTCCTCGAGTGAGGGGGGCGGGGGGTGGTACGGCTACACGTAAGCTACCCCTGAGGAGGTGAGCCCAAACGAGAAAGGGATAAGGGTGGTTAGTGGTAGCGAAGATAACACAGTAAATGTGGTAAATGACGATTTGGAAAGTGAAAAGCAAAGTTCTTTACTTTTAATTTACAAATTATTGTTTCTACGTTTCTTTTAATCAGAAATGTATCATCGAAGAGGCCTCAAAACTTCGTACAAGTGCGACTGACGTAGATGAAACGATTGGAGTCGTGGAGGATTTTTTAAAGAAGCTTCATTTCCTTGCAGTAGAGGTACGAAACATGCTTGAACACAATACAGTAAATTCCTTTCATTCCCAACTCTACGAATTGACTGTGGAAAACAATTTCGAGTTGTATTGCCTTTTCGCTGCTTTGGCTGTTTTCTCTTTGATTGGACTACAAAACTCGCACCTCCCTCTCGGCTAATCAGATGCAAAACTAAAACGAATGGAGACTTGGTCGCTCGGTGTAAATTTGGGTTTGGTTTTCCTGGCTAACTCAATCGCAATGCTCCATGGGAATGCTTTTTATCATACCCACTTCCTTTACCTCAAAGTGGAGGTCGCATCCTTGATTAGGTGGATCTTGAGGCCCGGGACTCGGTCAGTAAGGTAACTTCAATGAGTTTTAAGCTATTGCAAGCTCCTTATTCTCAAGTCGAACATCTTTTAGAGGGTAAAATGGGACGTTAGGGCAATTGTTGGAATAATGATATACTTGAGGCGTTTAGGACCTCTTACCGCCGTCTGTTTACCCTGCGCGCACGCTCGTGTTTGGGTTTCGCTTAACGGCCCCTTTTCCGGCCACAGTCGCCTATTACACCATCGGCAGCCGCCTATGAAAACTTTTCCATTTTAAACCTCTACAGGCATGTTTTTTTAATCGTGTTTGAATGTCTCTAAAGCCGCAGAATAGTATGCCAGATGTGGTGATTTGGATGATGAGTGGAGAGAAGAGAATAGCTTATCATCGTATCCCTGCCTATGATCTTCTGTACTCAACACATGTAGGGGCTCGTGGAAAATACTGCGGAAAGACACTGGATTTATTTATGCAGGTAATTTTTCGAACAAACGTTGCCTTGCGAGCGGTTTTTAATGTTCAGATATCATCGAAGGAAAGAAATGAATCCTTTCTCTAACCTCACAGTACCCCGGAAAGAAACAGTTTAACCTAGAGGACTACCCAGAAGTTCCCGCTCAAGTCCGCGTCATGCTGTGGCTTGGACTTGAGAAAGACCAAGAGGCCTGGACTAACCGCCAAGAGACTGAGGGCGACTTTTGCGTATTCGCGGAAACGGTAAAATTAAGTTAAAAGTGATTTTTCAATGATTAGCTTGTAAAGATACACTGGGTGTAACTTTCATTATAATGACGAACCAATGCACATCGGAAGTGACTGCAAATTTGAAAGAGTACTTCATTTCAAGGCAATTCTCCTCAATGAAAAACGGAATCTATTTTTTACTATATTATTGGTTTAAAAATCTTTTGTCTTCTTCTCAGCCAAACAGATTAAGGACTAAAGGCAATTGTGACTTATTAACTCGCGTTTTATGCGCTTGAGTTCTTATCAGAATGGTTTTAAATCAGTCATACCACTTCTAACTCTGGTCTCATTGAGTCATTCCTTTCCTCTCATTATGAGAACTTAGAGTTTGGTTTACGGCACTCAAACAAATTGCGATCTGACATCCAACCCGATTTCATAGGCAGATCGCTGGGCAGTGTTTACACAAGGTAGGAATAAAAGAATTCAATCTATGAAAAGAATGCCAGGCGAAAAGCGTAATCCTTTTGCAAACGGCTTGGTTACTTTTTAATAGGCCACTAGTGACTAACGGTTCTATAGCGTATTTCCTCACGAGAAATCAACTAGTGGCCAGAGAATCTGCGTTCAAATGAAAAGCTATGTACGTTGCGCTTTTGTCCTCAGTACGAGAACCAAATGAGTGTGCTTGGTAACTGGACTGCTAAAGGACTCCCACGGCCTGCCTGGTCAAATGCTGGTGGAACGGTGAGTTAACTTATTCTCGAGAAAGTGAAAGAGTTATTATTCCAGGGAATTGATTGAGTCCTCAGCTTCCACTGATTTGTTGCTGCGTATCATGAAAATTACAACCTCTACTCTCTCCCCATTTAGCAATGGATTTTGAATAGTTAAAACTGCTTTTTCGAGCTCTGAGAGAACTTAACAGAGTAAAAACCTCGCTGGATTTCTAAAGGTCTTAGCTTGAGAATGCCACGTATGTACAGTGCATACTAACACATACTAAATATGCCTCCATGAATTTGCTAAAGGGCATTGGATTGCGCAATTATAGGTCCAGCCTAGAATAGTTCTGACCAAGGCTAAAATGTTTTTCTTTTTTCGTGGGAAGTACAATTTACTCCATGTGTGTTGGCCTCCACTCAGGAGTATATTTAGATAACTCCTCTTCTCAGGATAAAGCGAAGTACGAATTTTAGGCTAATGACAATAATTGTTGAATTATTATGCAGCTGAAGCTGTTAAAGGACTCGTTTATTCCTCCTGATGGCTGGAGTTTTGATGGAAAGTGGTTTGTTAATCCAGAGCTAAGGTGGGTCATTAGAGTTATAAATAACTTATTCTACTGTGTAACATAATAAGCTATGCTAGATTGTAGTTTGATTGGTTCTTACTAATGACACGAGCGTAGCCAGCCTATAGCCCCGCAGCGCTGGGCTTACAATTTTTTTCCTCCCGCTTGACTCGAATAATGTGACTCTTACAAAGGTTGAAACAAAAATTGAACTTTCTTTACGACATACTTTCGAGTTATTAGATAACAAAGAAGCATCAAGAATTAATCTCGTAACGTCAAAGCACTAGGTTAGCAAACTTCCAGATCTCTAAAAATGCCTACAACAAATCAAAAAGGTGGATACGCCCATGTATGATTTAGTGGAAGACAGACTACATTTTGACGTTACCTGTGATCTATTGCTGAACGGATTCATAGCAACGTGGAATCTGAAAACAAATCGTGGCACTCGAGGCATAGCACAGTAAATCATTAATATTCTTATCAAATTTTGATGTCCCTGTAACCAACGAACAGACGAATGACAATTTGAAATTGATTTGTTTTGTGTGATTAAACTTTAACTGATTAAAAGAGGCAGGAAGTTTTTCATGGTGACGTCATCTATGTGTCTTTCCTCCATTTTAGTGTTCAGATCGTAAATAAGAACTAAGTTAACCCTTTAACCCCTAGCTAAGAGTGACTAGCATCTAATTTTTCCTCACAATATCACCACCGAATCATACATCAATGTCACGAGAATAAAGAAAATGATCCCCAACTAAAGAAACTCTTGATTGTTAGACAAATTCTCCTTGTCAGCACCTTAGTAAATGTACAGAGAACAGTATGGAGAATATGAATACTGATGTTTGGGTGTAAAGGGTTAGATGTGTGTGAAGTTCAGCTTATCATCTAACACTCAACAGGCGCACGGCGAGAGGGAATCTACTGCTTACGTAGAAATAGACAGTTATTTAGTTATTTTCAGTGTTATTAGGGTAGCATGGAACTTGCAGTGGTCAGAGCACCCCTGCTTAAGCTAGGACTCTGCATTTTTCCTCCTTGTGCAACTCTAACTCGTGGATCTCTAGCCGTGATAGCCTGTCTTAGGCTCTATGTTGGAGGAAATGAGCTCCAAAACGGCTGTGGTCACTCGTATTCCTAAAAACCACGAGCGCTCTTTGTGACTCGCCTACTCCTTTTCCATTTACACTGATGTAGGGCCTGGAACATGCTATAGCTGAGGTCATAATAATGCATTGGAAATTTCTGAAGTATTGCTCACCAGTTTGGTCTATTAGTTAAGCAACCTCCAGAAAGTAGAAGGATTTGCTGTTTATCAAATACCATGTTTCCTATAAATATGAACTGTGAAATGATCTTTTAGCTTAGCGTATGAAAAGGACTCAGGCTGTAAAAGTTTTATGGAGGACGTGTTTGAAAACGAAGAACGTTTTCCTGGGGGACACTGGTCGCCAGCATCAGTAAATTGGACAGACATTGTGAGTACCTTGTAGCAATACCAATACTAAGCTTTACGCGCTATATGCCAACTGATAGAGTGTCATATGTTGTCCACTGAGCATGGAAACAATGGAGCTTTTACGCGTGTTTACTGGTATTACTTAATACGGATTCTTATAGAATGTGCGATCATGTAGTATTGTCCTTTCGCTCGCGTGTGTCTCGTTGTAACTTTTTTACATGCAAAGAGCGTAGATTACGGAAAGGGAGAACCTCGGTGAACATTCCCCATATACAGTTTTGGAATCAAGGTGTTTGTTGTCTTTAAAAAAAGTATAGTAGGGTAGGTGCCGTTAAGGGAACTGCAAGGAAATCACCATGGCAACTGAGCTAGGCGATTGTCAGCACCGCACCAACCAACTCGTGTGTGGAATGAGCACTTACCCTGAAAATGGAAGGGAAGGAGGGAAACGAAGCGAGAAAAATGCCAAAACAAATTGAGTGGAAAAACAGCGCCATGCCCTGAAAAACCTCACTTAAGCCCCCCACAACAAACTGGTGGAACCGCGGCGATGTATCGGTTTCAACCTTGCCTAAATTACACCTCGCGTCGTTAAAACAGTTAAACTTTCGGACACAATTCATAGTTAACGGAAATGCACGTGATTTATTCCATTTTAGCACGAAAATGCTGCCACTGCTAAGGACTCAATAGTTGCCCCTGAAGGCTGGGAGTGGACTTCAGAATGGAACGTGGACACCAACAGGGCGGTGGATGAGGACGGTAACAAGATAATTGATAAACAAAAATGTGATTTGTTTTGTCACTTTCGTGGGACAAAGGAAAAATGCCTGATTCACCCAAATGGAATGGAAGGCCAAGCTTTCTGATTTTGCACGCCGTGGTCCTTGTACCATCAAGTTCTCTGCGGCTCATTGGTAAAGCATCAGAGTGAGGGTCTGGGTTTCAATTCAAAATGTTTTCTCTGTCTCACAACCGAACTCAAAGTGAAGGGCAAGAAAATAAAAGAAGTGATCACCAACAAGAGAATCTTTGTCGCAGCGCCTTAGGAGATGTTTAGATTACAGCGAGAAGAGTATGCCTACTCAATCGGTCTTAGTAAACTTTTGTCTCACCTAAGTGAAGTCGAAACTTTTCAAAAGAATGTCTTGGAAAGCTGACAGCTGTGCTGTTATGAACGTCATGATAAGACTGTTTTGTTGTTTGCTTTCAGGCTGGGAGTACACTGTAGACATAAGTATAGGAAGTTATGTGGCAGTGGAGAAAACGTATCATATGTCGAGGAGAAGGAGATGGGTTCGCAGCAGAAGCTTGATGAAATCTACCCACAAAGAGGAAAAGGTACAAAAGTATTTGTAAAAAACACTTGGAGGATTATTTCTGGGAAATAATATAATGATTCACTCTAGCGTTTAGAGGCGCCTTTTGCCTCTCACCCGGGGTGAGGAAGAGCCTACGGGAGGTTAGTTTGGGTGATAATTTATCTCTTCGCATCATTTCAAATTAAGCCAGCCCTTTGCTACAGACTTTGAAAGAGTAAGATTTCATCACTGCAGATTAAAAAAAAATAAGAAAACAAAACTGAAAGTTCTGAAATATTAAAAGAAGACACCCTTTCGCAAGGTTTATTTAAGAGAGTACTTTAAGGCAAGGAGCCACATGGCCTTGTAAGATCGGTTAAAAAATATGGGAAGAGCCTGCATTTGGGTGTCTATTGGAAAGTGGGTGATTATTGTGTAAAAAGCCATTATGTGTGAGGGTGCGCTCGGTGTAGATACCGTGCTTCTGAAACAGGAGAAATTCTGTTTTGTTATCAATGTCCATATAATAAAAGTGCATTATCTGCGTCTTGTAGGGCCAGGAAAAGGTCGACACAGAGGGGTGGGAATATGCTGCAGTGTTTTCATCAAAGTTTCACAGCAAATGCCGCACTCGAGATTTGGTTCGGCGTCGAAGATGGCATCGAAAAATGGTTCAAACAGATCCGACAGCGCCAGCTGTGTTTCAAATTTCTGACGAGGTTTGTAAATCGGAGAGCGCTTTCACGGTTTAGAAAGCACGGAGTCTATGTTGTTGTTAGCATGAATGCCGGATCGAGAGGTCCAAGGTCGAACTCTGGCGGGTCCTTTGTGTTGTAGTGCTCTGGAGTAGGAATGGATACTAACAAACTGTTGGCGAAAATCTGACAAAATGCTGGGGAAGAGGGGTAGGGGTAGGGGTAGGGGTAGGGGTAGGGTTAACTTTCGGTGTATTAGCGTTTTATCAAGGGATGGTAGGAATACGCTTACTCACTCAATGCTACAGAGAACTGGGTATGCGTTAGCGGTATGATCTAGTGAGAAAGTGTGGTCAATTGTCCTTACCATGGTCCAGTCGTGGGCGAAGTTCTGCAGTTGTTCTTTACAAAAAATGTTCTATCTGCAAAAGCCCTTACGGAAGTTAAACAAAAAAAAAGACACGAACTCTGCCTTACGGAAAAAAAAGAAGCAAAGATTCTCTTTTTCTTTAAAACTGAACCTGAGAATAAATTTAAAGTGATCAGAGGTAACTAAAAACTGTCCAATCTCGGACAAATAATTTTTCTCGTGCTAATCATAGCTTCTGACTGGACCAGACAGTTATGGAGTTACTCTAACAAAATAGTAAATCTGTTTAACAGGGTAGAAAGGGAATAATGATGGTGCCCCGGATGTTCATCACATTTGAAAGTACGTAAGATAGCTTAAGGAACACTTATTTAAATTTAAAACTAAAATGAATTTTAGGAAAAATAAAATTGTTCTTTACACGTAACCGTCCTTCATAAAACACGAAATAACCAGCTGGTAGAAAAGCAAACCTTTAGCAATTCGTGTCCTTGTTAATCATCAAGAAGGATGCATTTGCCTTGCAACGTTGAGTTTTAAGCTATAAAATACACGACAGTTTGTATTTTACTTCAGCTACTTGACATGTTAGTTTTTAATCGATATTGATAGAATGACCATTACTAAATTTAACCTTTATAGTTATCGGGAATTTGTAAAATTTCAATGGAACATTTTAGCCACAAAAATTAATAATTTGGTCTCGTTCCAAGGACTTTCATAATAATACAGTTTGTAATTGCTCCCCCGCCTTACAAAACGGTTTATCTCCCATAACTTTGCCTTTTCAGTGACATAGACTCAAGTATGCATTCATGGTTATTTTACAGAACCTCACAAGTATCAGCTGAGAGTGTACCTATTTCAAGGGCGGGACCTCCTGCCTGCAGACCCTGATGGACTGTCTGGTGAGTGTAATGTGGCAAGGATGATTCAGTGGCAAAATGCCTGGATGTTGATTATATCTCGTTCTTCATTAGGTCGTTAGCTTAAGTCGTTTTGATATGATACATTGCTTGCTGAACCACAAGAAATAAAATGTGACCAGCTCTGGTAAACACAAGATAATATTGCGAATGTTAGACCTTGACTGCGAAAGTCAGTGTAGTCTGAAATTCCAGTGTAACAGTACTGAACAATTGTATGAAAATCTGTTCCACTTAGTGCCTGGTCACTTCGCCGACATGTTAATTCTCCAACGCCATTAGTCAACTCGCTGACACCGTAGATCAATTGGCCGACATTTGTCTTTGTTCTTTGCCAAAGAAAAAAGATGATGATGTTACCGGGTAACAAATCCAGGAACAAAAATTAGTGTGGCGAGTTGATCAAAGTTGTGGCGAGTTGACCACTTGTGGTGAGTTGGCATTTCGGTGAAGTGGCCGGTAACCTTCTATTCAACCATCAACTAATACAACAACATCAATACAGTAAGGTGAAGATTAATGCTTTTTTCACTCTGGATTCTATTTTTTCTGTTTAGATCCCTATGTCCGCATTTCTTTTGGTACTCAGAGTCAGGTATCAGAGATCATTCACCGCACATTGTGCCCCACTTGGGACCAGACTCTCATCTTTGAAAATGTCCACATCTACGGTAGTCCTGAAATCACTGAGGCATCACCTCCACGTGTCGTCTTGGAACTCTTTGATCAAGACCCTGTGGTAAGACGACTATAGTGACATAATCGTGCTATAGCGTGATGTCTTAACCCTTTAACTCCCAAGATCTGATTGTTAATTCCCCCCTCTAACTGCTGTACATCTCTTTGTAAATTAGTTAAGAGAATTTGATGTTAAAATAAGATATCAAATTTTACCTGCCAAGTCTGGTTATTCTCATGACCTGTCTGCTGGATAATTCATGGATAATATAGGGAGAAGTTACACGATGGTCACTTCTTGACGTTTCAGGGTTAAACGTAACTTTCCGGGGAAGGGATATCTCTATATAGGTGTTACCGTGTTGTTAATATGAGAATACTCTTCAAAGATTTTCCTTCTCCACCCAGTAAGTTGTCTGAACGCGATTATAACGCTTAATCGTGTAGTTTGATCGTCGGGGTAAGAGTAGTCCTGCGAAGGATTGTTGTCGGTAATGGTGACTGACGTTTTGACAACCTGAGCGGATGTCATCATCAGGGTCGTGTGAAGAGTTCATGGCAGTTGAGTGTTATAAGTCTGGAATAAGCGAAGCGATGAGGCAAGAAGGTAGGAGACGAAGAACCGAATAAGAACAAGTAGAAGGAAGAGGAAGGCTTTTTACCCATTATCAAGAGAAGTGCAAGTCTGCGAAGTCTGACCTTCGTATAAGAAGTGAAATTAAGCACCTTCCTAGTGAACCACTTGCACTCACAAACTTGAACGGTTTTGATGTTCTTAACATTCCTTTCAAATGTGAAGACATTTTTTTTCTTACTAGGGTAGAGATGAGTTTATGGGTCGCTGTGTGGAGTCACCTGTTGTTAAATTAAATGGCCAGGCACCGCCAGCTCCAAGACTTCTTTGGGAACCAGTGAAAAAAGGCACGGAAGATGGCGGGGAAATTTTGGTTGCGTTCGAGCTTTTCCTGGTAAGTGTTGTGGCATATATGGAGAAGAATTTTTTTCTTATCTTAAGTGGCACTTTGCCCTAGCTACTCGAGTTTACCTGTATCTCTTGGTCCTCAAAACGTCCTTCTCGAGTTTTAAGCTATAAAATACACGACAGTTTGTATTTTACTTCAGCTACTTGACTACTTCAAATTACGAATAGTGCGCACACGCTTTCAAAATTTTGTCCGTCCTGACACTCTGTGATGTTATGTCATGTACATTATTAACAAGAAATAACATGATTTCTTGCAAATAAGTGTAATAAGCTTTTGTAAATTTTTCAAAGAATACAAATTGCACTTGCCCTACAGGCTCGTGCAATTTTGTTGTCTTTGAAAAATTTACTCGTGCTTATTACACCAAATTGCACTCGAAATCATGTTAGTACCAATACTAATTGAATGCTACAAACCTTTATGTGGTTGTTTTATTTTGTATTTACTCCACAGGACGAGGGAGCTGACTTACCTTACTTTCCACCCACCAAAGAACACAAACCGTCATTGTACATGGTACCCAGTGGAATCAGACCCGCGGTTCAGCGCACAGCTATTGAGGTATGAAAACCAGGGGCCTGTTTCTCGAAAGTCCCGATAACCTAACAGGCCCGAAGCCATATTTTATAATTAAAATGTAAAGAAAAGAGAAGTAGGTTTTGGCACCCTTACCAGTCCATTTTGTCTCTCTAGCTGATAGTTTTATTGTAAAACTTTTGAAATCATCATCCTGAATGAAAACAGATCAGCTTTACGTGCCCATTAAGTTACCTGGACCTTGGAGAAACTGGCCCCAGTATCACTAATCTACGTGTGTGTATGTTGGTAGCAAGCCAGTAAACTTTACCTTTTATCTCTTACAGTTTGCTCATTAACTTTCTCTCATTAGTTTCTTTTGACCACCGAAGTTCTTCGGTCGTGGACACACCCTTTACACCCTTACATCAGTAACATCAGTATACATATTCTCCAAACTGTTCTCTATATATTTCCCGTGGCACTGATATGGAGAATTGAGTTTTTTTTGACAATCAAGAGCTTCTCTAGTTGATGATCATACTCAGTGTTCTCGTGCCTTAATGTGTGATTCGGGGGTGATACTGTAATGAGAAAGTAAATGCTAATCACTTTTAAGGATTTAAGGATTAAATAACGCAAACTACACTCAACTCGAAATTTGCATTAAAAAAAAGAAAAACTTACAGCCAAATTTTTCAAGTTGTGGTTTATTGTTTGCCATTCTTGTCACCTGTTGGTTTTTTCTTGTTCCTTTGGTTTTTGTTTACATCCATAGTGATTACATAGACTTAACGATGCAGAAAACTAAGCACAACATCTTCACATACTCCTTTAACAAAAGACAATTCTTTCGAGGAGACATTGTACATACTACTTCACAGCACGGGCTCTATGTTTTGAGTGGCGGAGCCATTCGAAGGGGGGTGGGGTGGGGGAGTAGTTTACTTCCTCATTAAGCTTAGTGCAATTTAGTTCCACCTAAATTTCGCTCTTTTTATTACAGGTCTTATGCTGGGGCGTTCGAAACATGAAGAAGTTTCAACTGGCCAATGTCTCCTCGCCAAGCATCGAGTTCGAATGCGGAGGTCACGTGATTCAATCGTCGACTATTAAGAACACTCAGAAAAATCCCAACTTTGACGAACCGCTGTTCTTTTTTGACACGGTAGGGATTGCCTAGCTTGGTTACCCAGGATCACCATCATTGTTGTAGAGGTGATTCTTGCTGGGAATTAGTCACTTGTGGTTGTACTAATCAACCAGGATGATGTGATATGCTATGTAGTCATTTGGAATTTCCAATTTTCCAATTTTCTGGTGCTGCGTCGAAGGGGAGTGTTAAAAGATAATTAAGTTTTATCAACTGACTTGATAATGTAAATTGACCAAAGTAAAGAGTTTCTAAAGCTGTCGTCTCGAGCGTTAGCCCTTTTCAGAGCAAATAGAGGAATTGTGGGTTGTGTCATTGTGGCTGTGTTCTCTCTGGTAAAGGGCTAACGCTCGAAACGTTAGCTTCAGAAAAATTTTACTGTGATCAATTAACATTAACAACTCCGGCAGTTGTTAAAACCAAGTAACTTTTGAAAGGAGAAAGATAATGTTAACGTCTTGCTTTCATACTTAAAGTTAACTGTTGTCCCTTGTGGACCTAAAATAACTTATGTTTATACGAGTTACTGACCACACGCGTGTATGTTTTTTTTTTTCGTTTTGAATTTTTATTGACTGAGACAACGTCGACGTCCTTTACTGGCAATCAAAGAATGAGTTTTCAAATAAAATACAAGTTACGCCCAAACATATCCAGGAGTTTCAAAAGAACTGGACAACAGCGGTCTATCTCCGCTTACAAGACCTCTCATCGCCGTCTGTTTAGCTGGCGAGTAGAGTTTCGTGTTTGGGTTTCGCTTCACAATACAACCGCCTATTACAACATCGGTAGCCGGGTCATGGAAACAGATATTGAAACCCTGCGTATTTCAGAGATGGTTTCTTTTTCAATATTCTTTTCTTCTCCATCTTAGTACCTTCCTAAAGAGGAACTCTACACTCCACCCATGAATATCAAAGTGCGGGATAACCGCTCATTTGGCCGCCGACCCGTTGTCGGTGTTTACTGCATCAAGTCACTGCAGCCTTACAGGTGCTTGCCTCTGGACGGCAATGATTTGGGTGACGATGAAGGTTGGTGTTGAAGGAGAAAAATAATTCCCTCGCGGTATCTGCCACCTCCGGCATACCCCACTGTTTTAACGCATGATCCCCCCGGTGGAGTTTTCGTCTAGTTAGTTTTCGTCTAGTTAGTTTTTTTTTTCCTGGGGCGAGACGAACCAGCTTTCTTCTGGTAAATTTAATTGTCGTCCATTCTTTAAAGGACAAAAATAGAGAGAAAGAGAGAGCCATTTGCAACAAAACAAATCTCTCAATCTCTGAAATCTTTCTGTTCTTCCAGGCTCCTAAATTTGCTCTCGCTTTAGATACAGTATTCTCTCAATTAAGTGTACTATGTAAATTTTACAAAGACTACAAATTGCACGCGCCCTACGGGCTCGTGCAATGTTGTTGTCTTTGAAAAATTTTCTCGTGCTTATTAACACCAAATTGCTCGAGAAATCATGTTGTCACCTATAAAAATTGCATTGTTTCTGGTTTAAGTTTGAAGTTTGCTGGAAACGTGCTTGTAATCTGGGTATGATTTAACATAAGGAAACACACAAATGGTCCACTTGACTTTTTTTCGCAGCCGATGCAGCCAAAGATGAAGAGTCTGGTTCTTACTTACTTGACATCGCTGAAGAGACGGACAAAACGGTAAGATGAACGAGAAAATTGTCCTTGAAGGAAAGGACACTTTGGATAGATTGTACGAAGGGGTTTTTCCAATAAATTTCATTATTTTCGATGTTTGTCAAAGATGTCGTCAAACTTTTGTAGCGGTCGATCATTGAAGGGCTTTGTTTACATGGCCATAGCACCATTCGTTTTAAAAATGTTTGTTTCTCAACAGCTCCAATTGGATTGTTTTCAAGGCGTTCTTTTGTGCGATCCCAATCCCTCAAACTTCAATCGTCAACTTGTTATTTCGTACTAAAAATTTATTGGAATTTGTACTCTGATGGATTATCGGTATAGAACGTGCATTATTCATTTCATAGCATAAAAAGTAAGCGAAAAAAATTTCCTGTATGGTAGGGATTTCAATTAAAATCCGTTTAATGGCGGTCTACCGCCGCCCATAAGACCTCTCAGGTGGTTTGGGTGTCGCCTTACGACACACGCAGCCATCTATTTCACCACCGACAGCCGCTAATGGAAAAAGTTATCGAAGCCCGTGTGTAAGAGGTGTTGATAAATCATGGAATCCTGATTTTTTTCTTTTTTTTTGTGGACAGGAATTGGTTGAGGAGGACATTGACTGGTGGTCGAAGTATTACGCCTCACTGAGCGATTATGATAAATGTGGAGATTACATAGAGCGTGGCTACGACAAGATAATTGTATGTACATATGAAATAATTGTTGCTTTTCCTTGGTATTTTTCATCAGTATCCTACGAATTAATATTGGCACTTCCAATCTTTATTCTGCTATGGAAATACGTCGTGGCTTTCATAGAGTGTTCTTTACAAAGTACGAAAAACGCAAATTTAAATTGGTAACCGGATAGAGCCTTGTTAAAGAGGTTTGAGTTTCAGCGCTTTCCGAGTAATTGTGACCTGTTCTTTGTAAGACACATTACCCTCACTCTGCCCATCCCTCCTTCAGGAATATAAAGCAGATCATAGAGAAGCCTAACAGAATCCTGGGGGATTGGTGGGGGGTGGGGGAGGAGGAGGAGTAATCTGCTATCGGTTGGCATCTTACTTAAACCTTTACACCCTAACATCAGTATGCATATTCTCCATACCTTTTCCTCCTATACAATTCCAAGGGTGCTGACAAGGAGAATTTGTTCAACAATTGAGAGGTTCCTCATGACCTTAATGTGTGATTCAGGGAAATTAGATGCTAGTCATTCGAGGGGGTTGTAGGGTTAAGGGTGATAATCATACTGAAGTTTCCCAACAGCACTCAACTTCAACTTTGCAAATTAGCATGATTAGTGGAAAGAATAAGAAGTGGTCTGTCCTTTCTGATGTTGTTGTTTTTTTTCTTCAGGTGTATGAGCAAGAGCTTGAAAAAGTGGACGTTTTTGAAAAGTTCCAAGACATGGTTAAGACGTTTGAACTTCATCGTGGAAAAGCCAAACCTGGAGAGGACGCCACTGTAGTTGGCGAATTTAAGGTACTGAAGTCAAAATTGAAGGGGGTTGGGGTTTTAATTTGATCGAAAGTCCTCGAGGTCAGGTTTGACAAGAAATCAGTTTGATATCCTTCTACCATGAATTGAGCTAAAAAGATGTCTATCCGACTAAATCTGTGTTTCTTGTGGGTTTAGGGAGCATTTCATGTGTACCCGTTACCAGGCAACCCAAATCTCCCATTGCCGCCTCGTATCCTGAGAAACTTGCCTCCCAGCGAACCGGTTGAGTGTCTGGTCAGAGTTTATGTCATAAAGGTTGGTTCGAAGGCGCAATGTTGGGATAATGATATTGTGTTTTGTTGTTAATTGGAGTATTAAGTATAACGGTTATTCACGGCACATTTCGCAAGGTGCTCTTCAGACAAATGCAATAAGAATTGCCAATAACTATGACCTCTCTCCTCGTTTTCCATCAAAGCAATACTTTCATCTTAATGTGTGTAGCTAGGTTAGAACAGATTTTATGGGCCGTATATCCGTTTTGCCGCTATAAAACCAATACGATGGGGGTATGGAACATCCGTTAGGTTTGAATCACAGCAAGCACCCCAATGCTCTTGTCGTGGATTGATGATAATTTTCTTTTTAATTGTTTCTTTTCTTGTCATAAAAATGGACTCAACCTTGAGTTTGAGACATTTAATTACCTTTTTCGCTTTCCCGATATTAGGCTATTGACCTTCAACCCATGGATCCTAATGGCCTGGTGAGTACTGACAATTTTTTTTATGTGCTGTGCAACCTGTATAGGTAATCACATGATTTCGAGTGCAATTTGGAATAAATTTCGAGAATAAATAGCACACTGGCTAAGCTGATTCGAGGCCTGCCTTGCATCCCATCCAAACAATGAAGTTTATTGTCCCTTCCTTAGCAATAATTTGTGAACCAAGAAAGACTAACAAAATTGCACGAGCCCGTGATTGTTGGCCTCGAGACTGCGGAAGGCTTTAAATTGTTTCTGCGTGTAAAAGCTTGTCTCAATAACCAAATAGCAAATGTTAGACTAACAAAATTGCACGAGCCCGTAGGGCGAGTGCAATTTGTGGTCTTTGAAAAAATTAACAAGTGCTTATTTATTCCAAGTTGCAAGAGAAAAAATATGTGATTACGTGTTAATAATATACATGGAAAAATACGAGATGGCTTATCATAATTATGCTAAGCAAAGCGCACGCATCAAGTGCAAAAAAATTTATTCAAACCGTGCGTTCGTTCAAAACAACCGCGTACGATCAAAACAATAATATACAATGATATCTTCACATCTTTAAGGCGCAATAAAGTTCAAAGTCCGTCTAAACAGTTCAAGAAATTGTTCAGTCTGTGTCCGAATCACGTTTGATGAAATGGAATCGCCGTTTCCGAGGTTTAACCATGTTTAGAGGGAAGGGCTTTTCAGTTCTTTTTCTCCCTATAATAAAATTTTAGTCCTCTTGGGTGGAAACGATCCAATAGAATTTCTTGTTTCGGTGAACCGTCCGTCTGCGGAACCTAATCTTTTATCTTGAGCGAAAGTATTGCTAAGTTGCCTGATATATCCCTTTTGGAGTAACACCTTTTGGATCACGTCTCTGTGTTTTGTTGTGTTGTAGATTGTGTAAGATCTTTAAAAAGCGTTTGTATCAGCGATGCTATTGTGATTTGAATTTTGCCTTCTGTTTTCTCACAGGCTGATCCGTATCTAGTCGTATCTCTCGGGAAAACTAAGATAAAGGATCAAGACAAGTATATTCCTAACACGCTGAACCCTGTCTTTGGAAAGTAAGCTTTTCACCTTTGCATCGTAGTGACAAACCATCTCACGTGAGGTGGCTGGTTGCTGTCTTTTTTACCCTCACATCCTAACCCATCTTTGTTTTGTTATCATTTCCTTCATTTCCATGACCTTAATGTTTGAATCAGCAGTAATACTGTAAGGAGAAATCACATGCTAGTCTCTTTATTTAACAAAGCAAGCCTTTAACGCAACAAATGAGTAAAGAAGTGACACTGCTAAAGGTACTGTTTCCCCCTTCATTAATTAGAAACAAGTCTTTGTCGAGTCCATGAAAAATTTGCGTTATACAATAGAGCTGCTACACCTCTTTACACCCTGTTGAGTCCATGAAATTCGCGCTTTACACTGGAGCTGTTACACCCACTTAGACTATGCTTTGTTATTTTTTTTTAAGGATGTTTGAGGTTACGGCCCACATCCCAATATCTAAAGACCTGTGTGTCACAGTGATGGATTATGATCTGATTGGTAAAGATGACAAGATTGGAGAGACAGTTGTAGATCTGGAAAATCGGTTTCTGTCAAAGTTTGGAGCCATGTGTGGCCTGCCTCAAACCTACTGCACGTAAGTATTAGCACTTAATAAGAAAGTAACAGAACAATGAGAGAAAGTTGAAAGTGCTGATACAGAAGCAATTTTCACTTTAGGATCGAAAATATTTTTGTTTGAGTGTTACGTTAGTGATGAGCGCGCTTTTTGTTTTCTGTTTGAAGGTTAAGTTAGTGATAAGCGCGCTTTTTATTTTCTGTTTGATTATTACGTTAATGATAAGCGCTATCTCTATTTTGAGTTTGAATGTTACTTTAGCGATAAGCGCGCTCTTTTTTCCGTTTGACTATTACGTTAGTGATGGGCGCTATCTCTATTTTGTGTTTGATTGTTATGTTAGTGATAAGCGCGTTCTCTAATTTTTTGTTTGAATATAACTTTAGTGATAAGCGCGCTCTATTTTCTGTTTAATTGTTACGTTAGTGATAATCCCGCTCTCTATTTTCTGTTTTTTTTTCGTTAGTGATAAGTGGGCTCTTTACTTTTGGCTTGATTGTTACGTTATTGATAAGGGCGTCCTCTGTTTTCTGTCTGAATGTTACTTTAGTGATAAGCGCGCTCTAATTTCTGTTTGATTGTTACGTTAGTGATAAGCGCGCTCTATTTTCTGTTTGATTGTTACGTTAGTGATAAGCGCGCTCTATTTTCTGTTTGATTGTTACGTTAGTGATAAGCGCACTCCATTTTCTGTTTGATTGTTACGTTAGTGATAAGCGTGCTCTATCTTCTGTTTGATTGTTACGTTGGTGATAAGCGCGCTCTATTTTCTGTTTGATTGTTACGTTGGTGATAAGCGCACTCTATTTTCTGTTTGATTGTTAAGTTGGTGATAAGCGCGCTCTATTTTCTGTTTGATTGTTACGTTGGTGATAAGCGCACTCTATTTTCTGTTTGATTGTTACATTAGTGATAAGCGCACTCTATTTTCTGTTTGATTGTTACGTTGGTGATAAGCGCACTCTATTTTCTGTTTGATTGTTACGTTGGTGATAAGCGCACTCCATTTTCTGTTTGATTGTTACGTTGGTGATAAGCGTGCTCTATTTTCTGTTTGATTGTTACGTTGGTGATAAGCGCACTCTATTTTCTGTTTGATTGTTACGTTGGTGATAAACGCGCTCTATTTTCTGTTTGATTGTTAAGTTGGTGATAAGCGCACTCTATTTTCTGTTTGATTGTTACGTTGGTGATAAGCGCGCTCTATTTTCTGTTTGATTGTTACGTTGGTGATAAGCGCACTCTATTTTCTGTTTGATTGTTACGTTGGTGATAAGCGCACTCCATTTTCTGTGTGATTGTTACGTTGGTGATAAGCGCACTCTATTTTCTGTTTGATTGTTACGTTGGTGATAAGCGCGCTCTATTTTCTGTTTGATTGTTACGTTGGTGATAAGCGCACTCTATTTTCTGTTTGATTGTTAAGTTGGTGATAAGCGCACTCTATTTTCTGTTTGATTGTTAAGTTGGTGATAAGCGCGCTCTATTTTCTGTTTGATTGTTACGTTGGTGATAAGCGCACTCTATTTTCTGTTTGATTGTTACGTTGGTGATAAGCGCACTCTATTTTCTGTTTGATTGTTACGTTGGTGATAAGCGCACTCCATTTTCTGTTTGATTGTTACGTTGGTGATAAGCGCACTCCATTTTCTGTTTGATTGTTACGTTGGTGATAAGCGCACTCTATTTTCTGTTTGATGGTTATGTTAGTGATAAGCGCACTCTATTTTCTGTTTGATTGTTAAGTTGGTGATAAGCGCACTCTATTTTCTGTTTGATTGTTAAGTTGGTGATAAGCGCGCTCTATTTTCTGTTTGATTGTTAAGTTGGTGATAAGCGCACTCTATTTTCTGTTTGATTGTTAAGTTGGTGATAAGCGCGCTCTATTTTCTGTTTGATTGTTACGTTGGTGATAAGCGCACTCTATTTTCTGTTTGATTGTTACGTTAGTGATAAGCGCGCTCTATTTTCTGTTTGATAGTTAAGTTGGTGATAAGCGCACTCTATTTTCTGTGTGATAGTTAAGTTGGTGATAAGCGCACTCTATTTTCTGTTTGATTGTTACGTTGGTGATAAGCGCGCTCTATTTTCTGTTTGATTGTTACGTTGGTGATAAGCGCACTCTATTTTCTGTTTGATTGTTATGTTAGTGATAAGCGCACTCTATTTTGTGTTTGATTGTTACGTTGGTGATAAGCGCACTCTTTTTTCTGTTTGATTGTTAAGTTGGTGATAAGCGCGCTCTATTTTCTGTTTGATTGTTACGTTGGTGATAAGCGCACTCTATTTTCTGTTTGATTGTTACGTTGGTGATAAGCGCGCTCTATTTTCTGTTTGATTGTTATGTTAGTGATAAGCGCGCTCTTTTTTCTGTTTGATTGTTACGTTAGTGGTAAGTGCGCTCTTTATTTTTGGTTCGATTATTATGTTAGTGATAAGTGCGCTCTCTATGTTCTGTTTAATTATTAGGTTAATGGTAAGTGCGCTCTCTATTTTCTGCTTAATTATTAAGTTAAAGATAAGGGCGCTCTCTACTTTGTGTTTAAATGTTACGTTAGCGATAGGCGCTCTCTTTTTTTTTGTTGGATTGTTACATTAGTGACAAGCGCGCTCTCTATTTTTTTCTTTGATTGTTACGTCAGCTAGTGAGAACGGAGTAAAATACTGCAAGTTCCTAATACTGAAGATTTCAATGTTAAAACAAACAATTTGCTTGAGGCGCCTAGAGTGATGATTTAGCGATTGGTTTAAGTTTTAAATGTGAGTATTTGAGATTGTAGTACGAGTTTACTGAACTAATCATAGAGCAGAGTATAGGAAAGCTAGAGCAATTTTGGAATACTTTAGACACTTAATTGAAAATTTATCTAATTCCTTGGAAATCTGATCTCAGTTCCGGTATTAACAAATGGCGTGACGCTCGCACACCAAGGCAGATTTTGGACAAGTACTGCGAGACAAACAACTTCCATAAACCGAAATTTATGGGTAACAACAAAGTAATATTCCACGGAGATGCGTACTGGCTGGAAGATTTTGGTAAGTGCGGGACGTGTAATCCCTGAGGGTGACAAGCATCTAATTTCTCGGTAACTGGGTGTTACCGCCGAATCAACCAAAAGGTTCATGAGAATTGAGGAAATGATCGCTGACTTAAATAACTCTGGATTTTAACTAAATTCTCCTTGTCGGTGCCAAAGGAAACTGATGGAGAATGGAGTGAAGAATGTACTGACTGGTGTTAGGGTATTGAAGGTTAAACATTACATTATCTTTTCAGTTATGAAATATGTGCTTGGCAACTTTAGGATAGTTTTTGTATTAAAAGTCAGAAACTTGTTTAACGAAGGACGCCAAATAAGGAAAAACTGTCAACTTAAAGATGGATTACAATGGCTTGCTTTTAAAGCACTAATGATATATCGATGTTATCCCGATGATATTTCCCTGAAACTGGTCATTAATTAACATTTAGAAACTGCTAATATTTACTGTAATTAGAGAGTTAGCTTTTAACGACAGCCTTTCGATACAACCTTAATTTCAGTTCCAAACGAGTTCGTAGACGCGTGTGTTACACGAAATTGGATTCAACATGCCAAGATTCATTTTTCTGCCTGTCCTTAACAAATCGGTGTTGTTGGTTAACACTACTACTACGAGCGATGTTATTATACTGACAAGAGAAGGATATTTGTGGTGTGAGGCTTCCATTTTTTCATCCTTCCATTGCACATGAATCAATTTGATGATTCCCTTTACTTCTTTGCAGAGATTGGAATGACAATATCTCCTCACATGGGTCCCCCTGATCAACGCCTTGCCTTGCACTTGCTGAACGGTTTACCACTGGTGCCAGAGCACGTGGAAACGCGACCGCTGTACAACACCTTGCAGCCTGGTGTAGAACAGGTTTGTTACTTAATTAATTTACATTAATATGAACTGGTTTGATTCAGAGCTGAAATTGTTTATCTTGAATTTTGGATTCCAGGAAACTATAACGACGAGTATGATACATTACCTGGAAAGTTTACTTTTACTTTTCGATAGTTTTGCCCTTTCGCTTTTGCTAAATGACTGAATTTTTTAAAGCTAGCGCCTTTTCCAAAACGTGTGAGGAAAGCTTTTTTACTCTTTTCGATTTCCTTGCCTAAACTCGCCCAATAAAAGACCATGGAAATCACCCTTTTCCTACGAAACGTTCTTTATTTTGCAAGGGCCTCTTTTCACTCCCAAAGTCACGTTCTTGAGAGACAAAACGTTTAGAATCTGATGATTTTTTTTCCATTTATCCAGCAGAACTAGATAATACACATGTTCATGATATTTTTCGTAATTTTACTTCAGGGAAAACTTCAGATGTGGGTGGACATTTTCCCTAAAAATTATGGACCGCCAGGGTTACCGTTTAACATCTCACCCCGAGAGCCTGGAGAGTACATGTTACGTGTCATCATATGGAACACGAGTGACGTCATTCTTGAGGAAGTGTCTGCTTTGGGTGAAGCGATGAGCGACATTTACGTGAAAGGGTAATCTAGATGTGTTGACCTTTTGCAACCTAACATCAGTACGCATATTCTCTATGATATTAGGTTTACATTTTCTATGGCACTGACAAGGAGAATTTGTCTAACAATTATGAACTTCCTTGTTGTGGCTTGCGCCTGTGTTTGGTTCATTAGTGCTACTTTGAGATGATATTAGATGCTGGTCACTGTTATGGGTTACAGGTTTAACTGGTTTTTTTTTCTGAAATGTTTAAGGCTTCCTTTATGTTTCTCAGCCTTCGATCGAGGGAAGTTTTTATACACAGAAAACAGAACGACGGTCGAAGAGCTCTCCCATTCTATCAGGACCTATTTTTCAATTATTTGAATTTTCTTTTGTAAAGGAAATCATCGGCTGAATTTACTTTTTTTACCGCTAAATTTCCGCTTGGCCTGATATGACATGAAATTATTAACTTAAATCGAGTTTTTTCGATTTACAGATGGATATCGGGGATTGATAAACAAGAAAAGACAGATGTTCACTACAGGTTAGTTATAGACAAAACGAAACAGTTTCACATAGGGACCTGATTTCCTAGAGTCCTTAGTTTTGCCTTTATCTCTTAGATTAATTGATTGATATATTATCGAAAGTAGTCAGGGATTTCTTTGGGTTTGCTTTACTTCGCTGTGTAATTGGTCCAGAAAACCTGCTCCATTTTCTCGACCACTCAGTTTCCATACTAAAACCAATCTTGACTTGGTCGGCCGCGTTTTCCCGCGCTTCAGGCTGTGTGGTTGTATCTCCTTTGGGTTCTCATTCGCTCCACGGGATAATTTGCTTCCATTTGATTGGTTGCTCTGATTACTACGGTTATTTTCTGGTAAACTCCGTCGAAAAGTGCCTTCATGATTTGACGATTTTTTTCTAGGTCTCTGGACGGTACAGGCAACTTTAACTGGCGATTTCTGTTCCCGTTCTTGTATATTCCGGCCGAAAAAGTTATGGTTGTAAGAAAAAAGGTATGAAATAGCCTGCTTTTGAAGTAGTTCATACGTAATTGTTACTGAACCAAATACATTTGATTGGATGAAGTAACAATTTAAATCAAGAAAGAAGAGTCTGTATCTTTATCCGCTTTAACTTCCCAGATCTGACTGTTTATTCTCCTCTCTAGCTGCTACACATTTCCTTTTAAATCAGTTACGAGAATTTGACGTGAGATCAAGGTGAAAACTTCGACCCGATAATGTTGAGTATTCTCATTGCCTGCTTGCGGATAATTTATGGAGATTATAGGGAGAAGTATATTGTCGATTACTTCAGAGAGTTAATGGTTCAGCAGAACCACTACGGAAAATGGGTTTAATCATGTACATGATGGCGAAAGAAATGACATCCAAGCTTAATTAGACTTAAGCCACAGTCAAATTATAACCTGCGATCAAATATAAAACACTTACTGCTCGATCTGCCCAACAAGACCGAGAAGACAACAGGAGACAGGGCGTTCTTCGCAGCCGCGCTGACCCTGTGGAACGCCCTTCCAGACGTTTTGAGAGCTTTGGGCAGTCTCAAAACTTTTGTGGCACGGCTTAAAACTCATTATTTTCAATTGGCTTTTACCTTATGACCTATGGTATTTTAACATAGATCTTTATATGCATATATATAATATTTTTATTTAGTATCCATTTATTAACTATTTAGATAAACTGTGATTTTTTTTTCATTTCATTGTGATATTATAGGCATGTTATAAGCATTGTAATTTAAAGCGCATTAGATCATATACCCATGTATTTTGCGCTATATAAATAACAAAGTTATTATTATCATTATTATGTTACCATTAAAGTTCCAATTTAATGGGGGTTAACTCTTTCTAAATCAAGGTTTCGCATTTGGGCAGCATTTGTTATCACTATGGCAAATTTCCATCTCTTTTTGTTTCGACAGGCACACTTCTGGAGCCTTGATATAAGAGAGCAGAGGATTCCCCCTAAACTGATTCTTCAGATCTGGGATAACGACCTTTTCTCTCCGGACGATTTCCTCGGTAAGTCTCTTTCCCTCATTTGTGAACTGCATAAGTTGTGTTCTTGAACAGTTTAATGTTATTTTTAGATTTATTGCCATTCCATGGACACCCTAAGTTGAAGATACAGCTCCGAAAAAAGCAATCTTACTTACAAACTGACTTTCCTGATTTGCCGCGATCGTAGCACAAACCTGTTATCGTTTTGTCTTCCAATACATTCTTTTAAAATAATAATAGACGTAAGAAGTTGGCTTCAATCATGTTACTTCCCCTAATTGATAATTTATATCCTCATTACCTGTCTGCTTGCTGCTGTCTGCTTGAATTTGAACAAAATGATTGTTTGTCAAAAAAAAAAAAATTATTTGCAATTCGGTGCATGTACTCACACGTTCTGTATTTTTTGCAGTCAAAATACAAACAACTGTAGTTGTTAACCTGCTTTATTTTATGGTTATAACGTGTCTCTTTCAGGTTTTTTACAGTACAAGATAACTAACTGTTCGATATCGCGGAATATTTGTACTCGACTCACACGTTCTTTGCACTCTGTAGTTGAAGTGGTTTACGTGTCTTTTCTTTACTAGGTACGTTAGAATTGAACTTAAACAAAATGCCAAAACCTGCCAAAAATGCCCGCAAGTGCAGCTTAGATCAGCTTCCAGGATTGAAAGACAAACCGCGACGAAACATAGAGACAGTGTCACTGTTTGATTTGAAGCGAACAAATGGATGGTGGCCTGCAGTCGGAACGGCGGATGGAGAGCAAATCTTGGCGGTATGTACTCAATCTTAATAAAGTGCTGAAGCAAAGGAAATTTGTGGCTCTAATAGACAGGCCAATAGTGGACGTAATTAGATAATTAATTACCCTCAAATGAAGCTTTTAAGTACTACTGTTAGCAAAGAATGTGACAATTATTCCATATGAACAAAAACGAAAAGAATACTTCGTAAAGTGTTAACCTCGAAGAGACACTATGGCTTTTTACATATATAGTGTGATGGAATTATAAGAATGTGACTCACCATTCTCGAGCTAAGGCACGGCTTCCATTTAAGCCGAGGTACAACTATAATGTTGTGTATATTACTGAAGTAGTGGACTCCTTTTCACTTGCAGGGTAAAATAGAGATGACTTTAGAACTGTTGACACAACAAGAAGCTGAGGAGAAGCCCGCTGGAACAGGACGAGATGAGCCGAACCAAAACCCAACACTGGATCCACCAAAGTAAGTACAAAAAAATCAATGAATATTACACAAATGCTCTCTAAGTGTCAGTTCCAGTGATGGGTCAAGGAGCGGCTATGTTTTAAGGTCTTCCAGGAGACTACAGGGCGAGACACACAGAACGAAGGAAAAGGTCACGTTGTGTTAACTAGCGGCTCCTGTAACCGAGTTTCCCGACAAATTTTTTTCCACGATGATGACCTAAGCAATATTTTAGTCTTGACCCTTTACAATCTAACGTTCATATCCGTATTCTCCACACTGTTCTCTCTAAACTTTCTTTGTTAATGGCAAGGAGAATTTGTTCGACAATCAGGTACTTCTTCAATTGTTATCGTTTCTACTATTCTCACGACCTGTGCATTTGATTTATTTTAATACTGTAAGGAGAAGTAAGAAGCCAATCACTCGTAGGAGTTAAAGTATCAAAGCGTTGCCAGTGATAAATTCCGTTGATCACTAACTGCTGGTTACCGTTGGCAGGAGATCCTCCTTTCCTGCCCTTTAACAATACTCTGTGAGGCCTAGTGAGGTAGCTTGCTATAACTAACACTGAAATTTTTTTTGCAGTCGTCCTGCCACATCCTTTGCCTGGTTCTCGTCTCCATTCAAAAGCCTGCGTTACATTTTGTGGCGCCGTTACAAATGGAAGATCATCACATTCTTGGTGATCTGTCTCCTATTAGCTATGGTAGTCCTGTTTTTTTATGCAATGCCGGTAGGTTTATATGATAGTTCTAAAACACATACTGAAGGAGATTAATGGTGCAATCCGTTATATTTTAAGGGTTAAGTTAGCTTAAGATAACGAAAAATGTTCGGAAAAATTATCGATTGAGTTGCGATCCAAACTTGGCAGAGGCGAACATGTTATGGACGTTATAATGCCCTTTGACATCCTCTCTGACCAAAAGTACAAATGTGATGACCTGAAATCGTATGAAAGGGTAGAACTTTTGGCGGTTGATTCACACTACAAGCATTGATCGTAGAAGGACCTTGTCCTCTTGTAATACAAAACAATTCTAGACGGAATCGAACACCAAAAACCCTTGCTATGCCTCAGATTTAACCGCTCCAAGCACCTCTCTCACAACTCTGCTCTCATTTCCTCTCTCCCAGTATTTAAAAAATGAGGGCAGACTGTGTTATTTCCATTACTCAGCCCTTTGTCATATCTTTTCTCGGACAGCAAATGTGCCCTAGTTTTCACGCCTTACCTTCGACTCACATCATGAGCATGACTTCTTATAATATGCGTTTACTTTGCATGCTTTTCAGGGTTATACTATGAAGAAGATAATCGGTGTTTGAAGACAACCAATCTCAGCATTTTACCACAGTATTATCAGCGGGGAGACCACAATTAACAGGGATAGTTGTACGTGAAATCGACATGAGGCTGGAGACTTTAAGGGAGCGTTTCTCTCCGAATTTCAACAATGACCCAAGAACGGTTTAGCAACCTATCGCTACCAGACTGTTTTATATTAATTTAATATACCCGAAAATATCACTAAATTAGGTTTGTGTCAGTTGTACATTGTAGAGGATATGTGATATGTCGATGAAGCAATAATGAATCTGACAGATATCGCAAGGGATATTTGGAAATAAACTTTTTCTCCTATTAATAAATCGGCTAAGCATCATGCCCCCCCCCCCCCCCCACACCTCTAGTTGGCTCAAACTCACAAGCTCGTCTTTGGCCCCACAAAGTTGCTGCGCGGGCCCTGATTTAAGGTGTAGTTACTCTGATACTCATATGAGCACTTAAAATAAAACAATAATCCTTATCAATCTCAGCGATTCATTCGCAAATACCAGCGAGCTTTGTCTCGAGAATTATTATGTCTATTTTGTCACAGGTAAGTCATGAAACATATCACCATAATTATACATCATTACGCTTCATCCACCGTCACTGAACATCATTCACCGTCATTGCATATCACTCACCGTCATTATAAATCATTGCGCACTGTTGTTACAGGTCATTCTCTGTCACTGTGCATAATTCACTAAAATTGCGCGTCATTCACCGTCATCACACATCTTTCGTTTAAACTACGCACAATTCACCATCATTATGCTCTATTTAAATCAGCACATCTTTCGCCGTCACTGCACACTGTTCACCGTCTATAAGTTGATTCGGGAGAAATAAAGGTTGTCGAACGTTTTTTTTAATTTCCATGATTGTTCCCTACCAATGTCTGTTTTGAAAAATACAATAAAAAATGTATTAACCGAGCTTGCTAAAGAGATATGATAAGCAATCTTAACCCATTTATGCCTGTACTAGTACCAAGAAATAATAATAATAGACCCCATAATATACAAATGATTTGTATCTGGGTAACAGGTAATCCGTCTAAATCTTCTTTATACATCCGTGTTCAATATCTATTTTCCTATCATATTTATAGTTCAATTTTCTCAATTTAAATGTTATTCGAGGGTATTGCGAAGAAAGTTGTACTACTCCAGTCAAGATTCGTGAATTTGAAAATAACTTGTCTCTTTCCAGTAGTTTCCCTTCTATCTTCAAAAAGAATTTGAGACAAGTTATATGGACTCCCCAGTTGATTGGATTGGGCTAGATTATAGTCAGTGCCTGCAGTTTCCCCTCGTTATTTAGAAATTGATTTGTATTCAAATATATTCCACGTATTCAAATATTATTTCACGTTACGTGACGAACCTTGCGTAACGCATTTTCTGTAGAGGACGAAAAACACTGGAACTAGTTAACGAGGAAATTGGATTTTTGCTACGTCGTGAACGATGGATGCAAACTGTCCATTCTGTTTCCCAAGCTGAAGCAAAAACAGCAGCTTAAATAACAGTTGCGTTTCAATACATTTTGGCTCTTGTTTGATGGTGTTTAGATAGGAAAATGGCCTCACAGTGGATGAAAAACTCTGAAATGTAGACCACGTGGGACAGCCAGTTCCACGACACGTTATAGGTAAGGAATAAACATGATCGTCATTAATTTAACCTTTATTTGAGCGCGATAATCTTAAAGCTATAAGAATTTGAGTCATGTCTTTAATCATTAAAAACGAAGCTGCAGACTACGGACTTGGTACAAACGTCGGACTAAGAACAGGAACAATTTGTCGTGTAAACCGATCCTACATGTAAACAGTATTTTTGCACAATTTGTTACATTTGATAACTACGTATTGTCGCCCAATCACCTTCCTGAGGTCGTCTATCGCGGATCTTTTTCGCCCATTCTTTGGTGGTGAGGATAAACTCTTTTCCAAACGTTGTTTCAGGCCTCAGTCGGGTATTAGATGAGGCTTCAAACAAGCTCTATGCAATTCTACAGTACATGTAGGAACTAAATAGATAACGCGTGATCTAAAACAACATGTTGTAATGCTCGCATTGGATCAGTTCTTTCTTTGTTTTCTTTCTCAACGGTGTTGGAAGGCAAACTTACACCATGAGGTTTTTTTTACTTGTTTACCAAAAAAACGACTGGAGCAGAAAGTGTGCAGTGCACTCAACACAAATACACTGTACCTCCAGACGTCATGTGATTCTAATCTATTTGTTTTCATACGATAAGTTGAACTTGATTGGTTCTTATCTATGATGCTACAATTAACAGTATTTTGCTTTTTTATGATTTAAAACAATTATATTCAGGTCAGTAACAGATCACAGGAGATGTCAAAATACAACAGGAACAACAGTGATACAATTGGCTGGGCCTTGTTTGTCACTTTCTTGTTCTAACCACATTTTGAGGTCATCCTTGATCTGTTACTTAGTAGACACTAGTGTTCAAAAGCAAAATCCGAAAGAAGTGACAGAAATAAAAAATCAGACACCAGTGTCCAAAAACAAATATTGCACACAAGTGTCTAAAATCATTAGGTAGACATTTATGTCCAAAATCAAAAATTGCACTCTAGTGACCTTTAACGTCTAAGAAAAAATTAGACATGAGTGTCGAAATGGAAAAATCAGAGACTAGTGTTAAAAGCAAGAACTGTTCACTAGTATTTAAACCAAAAACTCCACCAATAGAGTCCTAAATCAAAGATTTTCATACCCAATTCAAAATGTTCACTGATTATTTGTTATTACTCACCGTATGTACCAATAATTATAATGCTATTCTCCGTTTGAGGATTGATTTTGGTTTGGTGTCTAGTTGCTTCATGCAAAAGCTAAACTCTGGCTTGATGGGCAACTTGGCTCAAGTACAGGTTTTACTTTATCTTGCCACAAGTCAGGAAATGGTCAGGAAAAAAAGGTCCTCCAAGGTCAAGGAAAAGTTAGGAAATTTTGCTTTAAGTCAGAGAAAATGTATATTTTTCAGAGAATTTAGGATTATGATTTTTTTACCAATTCAAGTTTTTAAGTAGGTTTTTATAGACATGAAATGTAAATAAATTGGTTTTCATAAAACAAAAAATATGATTTGGTTTTAGTGGTATGTACTGTAGCATATCCACATAATGGCTTTTCTTTCATCTATCAAATCCTAGATTGAATTGTAATGTAGAAAAAGCAGACAACAAATGTACTGGATTGTTTAAATATAGTTTCATGAAAATTAAGAGATGCAGGTGGTAGGTTTCCAAAAAAATCAATGTATTTTCCATGTTGTGTCAAGGAACTATATATTCATCTGCCTTGTATGAGACTCACTGAAATCATATTAATAAATATTTGGGTGGAAAGAATGGTTGTAGGGGTGGTTGAAGGTCATCACTAGAGCCAATTTGGGAAATTTTAAAATTTTCAGGGAATTTCATAAAGCTATGGCTGTAGTAACCATGTTGTATATTCATGCACTTCTGTCTCAAAGTTAACTGAAAATTTCTTCTTCAATATAATTTGTAATAATATAATGTCATAAATATGTTATTCTTTTGGATTGTCCAAATTGTTTATTTTGTTTTGTTTTAATATTTCCTAAATGCCTCTTTACAAATATTTCACAGGAAGCCCCATATAGCATCTTTCCCTCTGTGGCATAGTTCAGGACAAATACCTTTGTACTGAAGAAAAATAAACAACATTTGTCACTTGAACACTTTGTGGAAGTATAAAAGCCAAGACCTGAAGTTCAAATTACACCTTTGTTAAAAATTGGACAAGATGGAGCTCAGGGGAGGACATCAAGATTGCTACTAAATTAGAGAATCTCCAGAGAGCAGAGAAGTAAATTTCACTTGTCTCTGATGAAAATGTCAATGGTGTGCTTCAAATTAACATTAATGATTTTTAAGGAAATTTCCTCTTTAATTAAAAGCAAATTTTTTCTGTGTCTTCAATTAAGTGTGTGAATGAACTCAAACAGGATATGGACACTGAGCAGGAAATTTATTGTGGAAGATCATAATAATGAAGTTTATGTTCAGTCACTGTACATTTCCTTCTGCATATTTGGGTCATCATTTCCATCATTGTTATTATTGCATGAAACTGTGTTACTGCTCTGACCATGGCTTTGGGTGTTAATAATGTACCTCATTTCACTTAAGTCCTGGGTCTAAGCTTTAGTTTCTCACTGCAAAAGTAAGAAATAATATGATCATTTTCATTGTGTCCTCACTTTTACTTTATCTATTTATTTAAAAATAATGTATCTTCTTGATTGGCCTTGACTGAAGTAGTTTTATGTGGTTATTCTTATGTTCTAAATTAGATAATTTTCAACATTGCAAAAGGTGTTATCAAACAAATTTGTCCTACTGCTTTCCATACATTAATTTATCAATGGAATTTTTTTTTCATATGTTTTGACCGAAATAAACTAAGGTTATTTCATGTTGCTCTTAACTGAGGTTTTTTCATCGAAACAAAGTCTTGCTCATGGTTTCCTCCACAAAACGTCTTGCACTCCGGCTAGGACATTTTCTAGCTTTAAAATGTTTTCAGTCCCTGTTCAGTCTGGTCCCTGTTCAGTCTGGTTCGGCTTCCGAATGCTATGTTAACTATATTATTGTTTCCTTAGTAACATGTCACTTGATCGTGAATCTGAGCGGCGATTGGCTACCGATTTGTTTTCGTCTGAGTAATCTAATTTTAGAACTATTCCAAAAAACGGTGTTGCCACGGGTAACACCGTTTTTCGCGGAAAACGGTGTCACCACGGGTAACCAATCCGATCCGGGTTTTGTCGACGCCGTCAAGGGATGACTCGTAGGGACCTCTCTGAGCGACGGCAAAAGATATTCGTTTATACGATATGCACGACAAAACCTTCACACGCTACAAACTTATGAAAACAAACACTCATGGAAACTTCAAACCTACCGTACAGAATGGTAACTCTTTGCAGAAGAACATAGTTTTAATGTGAACTAGGAAATCGACTGCAGCAACTTTCGGCCGCTATATTAAATATTTGCCGAACATTCTTCGGAGACGTTGTCTGACGTTAGTGTTTTGAATATTTAATGCAGTCCTTCCGGGTCACGACGGAGCTGTGTAGCGCAGTTTTTGCG